CATTTATTTGATAATTTGACAGAGCTAAATTGTATACAAATATTGTATTTGGCCATTCAAATTACATTCGCCCTGAAAAAATTCATTTCAAGAGTTCAATTAAGGTGTCGTATTACATCAATTTTGCTAACGAGATGCATAGTCTTCACGGTTAATGTCCCATTGGGTGGGACACTGGCATGACTAAGTAACTTCTAATTCTTTTAAATCTGAGGCATATATAATTGATGTATCGAAAAGATATTCCCTTTTTTACCACCTTACCATTCTGATTGATTTTGCACATGACTGACATGTTTTAACTGGAGAAGGGGTTCCCACAGTGGTAGTTTTATAAACCACTTTTAATTTATTGACCTATTATACTTAGTGGTAGTTTTATAGACCACATTTAATTTATTAACTTATCATACTTAGTATTTTTTTTTGGTGACTGTATCACCCAGTTTTAACATTTGATAATTGTACAGTTTATTGACGACACATTGACTGAATGTTATTTTATATTCTAATTTATATTCTAGATATTTTATTTATTTTACAACAGACGACAACTTCCTGTTTTTTCTTCTATATTAGTTACTCATATCTCTTGTACAGACTTTTTTACAAGGACATTGACAAATGATACTCACATTAGGCATTCATTATTGCATCTAAATTATTTCACTTGCATTAGGCTTAGAAATTTATTCTCTGGTCAACAGATTTCAAATGTTTAATTAATTTGTAGTATGACAGTAAGGTATATAAGAAGTTATTTAATTTTGCTTGGGCTATTATATTGACTAGGTATTGAGGTTTAATGATGATATGGAATTTGAATTCTATATAAATTTACACTATGTGGTTGGGGCATTTTGCATAGTAAATATGGTTACTACTCATATATATCATACAGGGTGGCCCATAAGTGACTACCCACACGCAACCTCTTAATAACTCACGTAATTCGTCTCCAAATTGCACCAAAATTTCAGAGATTATAGATATGGGTCAAACTTAGATTTCCTGAAAGTTTCGTAAGCCACGCCCAATTACAGTGGGCGTGGCGTGACACTCCCTCTTTTTCACTATTGTCTTCATAAAATGAGAACGCTTTAAGCTAAGAACTCAAACTTTTTTGCACACATTTGGCTTGATAATTGAAAACTTTTCCCAAAGTTTCAAGTTCATTGGTTAAAATATGGCTAAGTTATGACCATTTCAAAACTCATCGGATACGTGATCCGAGCACTCAGTCAGTGATCTCGTCACTTGGTTAATGGCCTGTTTGGCTCACATGCACCGCTTGATTGGTTGCAGCCTGCTTATGGGCCGGCCTATACAGCTGACAGCACCTAAAACGCTATCACACGAATTTATGGTGGTGTCACCATTTCAGGGCTTGTTAGCCCTGCTAGTCACAGGTTCCTTACAATCAATAAAAAGGAATGAACCATCCATTGAATCATCGAAAATGGTTCACTATCCTCCCTTTACTGCAGAACAACGATTGTTCGTCTACCTGAAGAAATAAAATGGGGTGTTCTACCCTCAGATTAAACGACAATTTCAGATGAAATTCAACCGACCACCCCCTTGCCTGAAAAGCTGCTTTGACATTCATCACAAGATCAAGCGAAGAGTCGGCAGAAGATCCCTACTTTGAGGTTGATTTCATTTATTGATTTATCCTAAAAATTTGTGTTTTCCTTTCTAGCAAAGTCATCATCGGTATCCAATCAAAGCCTAATGAACCTCATTAATACACGCTAACGCCTTACTCTTGATCAGATTGGGTGACGAGATCACTAATTGAGTGCAAATATCACTGACTGAGTGCTCGGATCACATATCCGATGGATTTTAATATGGTCATAACTCAGCCAATGAACTTGAAACTTTGGGAAAAGTTTTCAATTATCAAGCCAAATGTGTGCAAAAAAGTTTGAGTTCTTAGCTTAAAGCGTTCTCATTTTATGAAGACAATAGTGAAAAAGAGGGAGTGTCACGCCACGCCCACTGTAATTGGGCGTGGCTTACGAAACTTTCAGGAAATCTAAGTTTGACCCATATCTATAATCTCTGAAATTTTGGTGCAATTTGGAGACGAATTACGTGAGTTATTAAGAGGTTGCGTGTGGGTAGTCACTTATGGGCCACCCTGTATTATTTGATTGGTATTCGATTTCTGATTATTTCTCTAGGAATATGATTATTATATCTCAATTTGGCTTTAGGTAGGGTGCCCCGCTAAAAGAACTGGATTCTTCCAGGAAGCATCCCGTGCACAGAGCTTGGTCTACATATATATATTAAATTATTAACCATTCATTCTGTATGTGCACGAAAATTTATTTCAATCAATCAATGACTGAGAAAAGTTACTGAACTTCCAGAATCTACCAGAGCATCAAGCTCTCTCCCATTGACAAGGACTTTGGTAATGCTCTTAGACAAGCATGGTGGCAGCTGCTACGAATTTATTATCATGATTAGCACAGCCTTCGGAATCTGACACCGATTCAGTGTTATTAACAATCGCATTAAGGGATGAACCTTGCTTTAAATATGATTGAGCCTGGACCTTTGCTGCCTCTAGCCCTCTAGCTAAGGAATAAATATCAGTCTTCTCACTTTCTAATAGCTGTTGACGGATATCAGAAGACTGTAAGCCAGCTATGAAAGACTCTCGTATAGCTTGACTCTGGTGTTAAGCCTGATCTACAGCGCTAAAATCGCAGTCCTTGGCCAGAAATTTTTGATAATACACGTCTACTGTTTGGGAGTCTTGCTTGCACGTATTCAGGAAGTGCCACGCAAATATAATGTTCTTCTTTAGATTGAACACAATAAAGATCCAATGCCTCTATAGATTTTACATAGTCTGCGGCTTCTGAGATGTAGGCATATAATACCTACGTGCTGACATAGTTAAATAATAGGTCTAGTTTACTAGCCTCCGATACACTGTCGATCGATGCGATGAACTTTTGGAAGCGTGACTTCCAATGCAGCCATTCTTAATTTCCATTGGGTGAAGTCGGGTCCAAGTTGAACGTCTCCAGCTGCACTGAAGTAGCTTATCCATTGTAATATTACCTCAGTGACTTCAACTGAACTAAGTGAAACGATCTTATTCACAATGACTTAAAGTCACTGAGGGAAAAGAGATAACATTCTGAAACAGTTTATAAAGTTATAACATTAGGGGGGGGCCAATGGCATAAATGGAGAAAATGGAGAATTACTCATAGGTTTTTCCATTTTCTCCATAGAAATAGTCTCCATTTTATGCCATTTTATGCCATTTTATGCCATTGAAAACCTGAAAAATTTAGAATTTCGAGAAAAATTATTTAAAAAAAAGATATTTTCGGCCAATAATGAACAGAGTATCATGAAACATGGAGAAAAGTGGTTTTCAGAAAAACTTTGAAAAATGTTGACTTAGAAAATGTTCGGTCCGAGTCATTTTCGATACGTACCTCCCGTATCGAGAGCTCCCGATTCCGAGCTCGTGTTGCAAAGGGGAGGCCTGCCTTCCGAGATCGCATTACCTCGAGTCCAAAATTGTGTATCGAGGGGAAGGTGTGGACTTCGAAAAACCGAAAAAATATTTTCGGCAAATAATGAACAGAGTAGCATGAAACGTGGAGAAAAGCGGTTTTCAGAAAAAATTTGAAAAAATTTTGACCGAAAAAATATTTTCGGCTTAAAATGAACAAGGTAGCATGAAACGTGGAGAAAAGTGTTTTTCAGAAAAACTTTGAAAAATTTTGACTTAGAAATTACCCCTCGGTACACAATTTTGGACTCGAGGCTTCCCCCTGGTAATGCGATCTCGGAAGGCAGGCCTCCCCTTTGCAACACGAGCTCGGAATCGGGAGCTCTCGATACGAGAGGTACGTATCGAGAATGACTCGGGCCGAAAATTTTCTAAGTCAAAATTTTTCAAAGTTTTTCTAAAAACCACTTTTCTCCACGTTTCATGCTACCCTCTTCATTATAAGCCGAAAATATTTTTTTGGTTTTTCGGTTTATCGAAGTCTGCACCTACCCCTCGATACACAAATTTGGACTCGAGGCTTCCCCCTGGTAATGCGATCTCGGAAGGCAGGCCTCCCCTTTGCAGTGCGAGCTTGTTTCGACTGTCGAGGATGTAGGTCTCACTTCTCAGTGCCTATTACTCTCCCCTATTACTCACTCCTGCTGTAGCCTGTAGAAATAACTTTACACTAGGCTTGAGTAATTATGAGTTTGCCTGAAGTGTGCCTCTACTAACCTAGTATAAGCATCTAGTAGCCTACTATGAGCTTTCATAAGCTTGTTACGCCCCTAGTAAGCGTAAATAAACATGTTAGGATGTCCAATTTAGGTGTTAAATGGTGTTAAAGATGAAATTTCGAAGACAAAATTCATGGCATAAAATGGAGAAAATGGAGAATTACTCATGGGTTTTTCCATTTTCTCCATAGAAAAAGTCTCCATTTTATGCCATTTTATGCCATTTTATGCCATTTTATGCCATTGGCCCCCCCCCAAGCCAACATTAGTAAATATCAACGTACATAGTAAAATAATAAAATAAGAATTATTACACGAGATAAACAAATTGCTTGATAGCTTCGTCATTTTGAATCCGTTTGGCGCCATCTTTTCAGATCAAATTCCGGATTTAATTTAACCCTATTGCAATATGTTACAATGAAATTTCTAACGAATTTTTGGCCCCTAAAAACCGAATTTTCAAATTTTGGCAACAGAATCCTCGAATGAGTAGTATAGGTACAGTATGTCATCTGCAAAGCAACAAGTCTAAAATATGAATCACGGCGATGGTACCCAACGTATGAACTCTGAAAAAAAAATTCTTGTTTCATTGAAAAAAAATAGGCAAGAGGACCAAAACCAAACAGTTTACCAGACCGAGGTCCGAGACCAATGTCCTGTCATTGAAAGCTGCAAGCTTACCATTGTGTGATTCTACTTTTACCCGTTATTATGCAATCACCTTCAGGCGGTGTCGATGGATCAAGTGAGAAGCATTGTTGACAGGCTGTGCCTTTACCATAAATAAACCGAACCATTGCCTGATGTTTGAGTGTTGCAGAAGTGAGTTGCGTGAGTATGCGCATTTGTGTCGAACTGAGAAACAACAATTAATTTGTTTAGTAACAAAAGAGATGCTGTTATTTTTGCATTGATTGCAGCAGAAAAGAGAAGATTGCAAGAAACCTAGTTTAGGTACCCTTCTGGAATAGAATGCAAAACATATTTAGTTCCAACTTCCAATATATATAGAACATTTTCTCCCTGTAGCTCTATGGAATCAACAGAAGATGCACCAGCTGATATTGAAAGCAAAGAGGTAGAAAAGCAAGAATTGGAAGAAAACAAAGAGACTCCAGATGAGTTGAAAATAGATGAGGTGAAAATAGATGAGGTGAAAATAGATGAGGTGAAAATAGATGGGGAATCTCCAAAGGAGGTTACAAAAGCTGCTGATGACATATTTGAAAATGTCAGTGATGACGATGGAGATATCTTTGCAAATCCTACTGTAGAAACAGTTGAAATTGCAAAAAAACCGCTTCATACGGAAAGTGATCTTTTTGACGATGTCAGTGAAGGCGAAGATTTGTTTGATAACACTGTCGAAGAGGAGGCCTCAAAGAAAGAACACATTTTTGAGGAGGCCTCAAAGGAAGAACACATATTTGAGGAGGCCTCAAAGGAAGAACACATATTTGAGGAGGCCTCAAAGGAAGAACACATATTTGAGGAGGCCTCAAAGGAAGAACACATATTTGAGGAGGCCTCAAAGGAAGAACACATATTTGAGGAGGCCTCAAAGGAAGAACACATATTTGGCATTGACGAGGATGATCAGAAGGATGACAAAGATGACCTTGCTGGTATTGATGACAAAGATTTGTTTACTGGTAACTCACAGCAATGTGATTTGTTTGATGATGATGATGATGATGATGATGACGAAGATACAATTGAAAGCAATATGCAAGGTGCTATTCCAGTTCGCATGAATTCAGGTCAGTTTTTTTGTTTTCTCAAAACATTTATTGCTAGATATTAGCGGGTTATTCTGGACACGTTCATATAAATTTGGTAGCTCGCCATTTTCTACTATGTGTGTAAGTCAATATTTCCTTTACTACAAACCGCTGTAAAACTCACCTTTTTTGTAATTCATCATTAGTTGAACATCAATTTGATGCATTGAAACGATACTTTTGTCAGATCACGACCAGGTCCCATTTAACACACCTGCTGTCGGGTGTGCACTGGATGATGCACGCACTACAGCTCTGCTAAATGCAGCCAAGGAGTCAGCTCAACAGAACCTTCAAAAAACAGAAACTTTGCCTGCTGTGAGTTCCGGTTTATCCATTCATGAATAAGTAGTGAAATCGTTTTAAAATAAATTCCCTATGGTGGTCGTTTCTCAAACATGTTTTGAACTTAATTTATTTCTGCAGGTGAATGGGGAAACCAAAAAGTCAAAGGTTAAGGTCAACATTGCAATAACAAGTTTTACTCGTATAGGTTAGTAGTTCCTTTGTTTTTAATGTTACAATTTCTCCTCTGTTCGGACTTCAAAATAGCAGTTTGGAAACAATTTTTGAAACATAATTCCGGTCAGGAAAGCTTTACAATCAATCACATTGCTTGTGGTAGGCACCACTACACCTCTACATTCTACAACAAAAACCTATCTCAAAATATATACAGACACGTCCCCCCCCCCCCCCCCTTTACAGTCCTCTAGAGGCACAGACCGATACTGCCAGAGTCTGCATTTCATCTATGGCTTGCCAGGAGGGACTTCTTAATTCAAAACAGACCTACTTTTACTGTTTATCAAACAGAGCTCACCGCCATCATCGAAGCTTGCAAATATCTCTCAACTTATACCAACACACATCATCATATAATGGTCTGACAGTCTCTCCTTTATACAAGCTATATCCTCGCTCTTAACGAGGAGTAGAACTACTAAGAGACTGTTATGACACCCTCAATGCACTCGGATCCACTTACACTATAGAGATCCGATGGATAGCTGTACACATCGGATTGTGGGGTAATGAAAAAGCAGATGAGCTGGCCAAGACTGGTACAACCAGTAAATCCACTTTGAAGTGCCCAATTCCACAATCTTACATCAAACGCCTGATCGACGACAAAGTCACCAGACTAAATCAGGAAACCTGGTTAACTGATGGTCCCAGACACACCAAACTGACACTCCGTCACAAACGCATCAACATCATCAAAAATCTTAACACTACACTCAGCAACAACAGACAAAATTACAGAGCTACAGTGTCACGGTCCGACATTGTGGCTTAAACAAACACCTCCATACCATTCGCAAATCAAGCACCAGTACTTGTCCTATGTGCGGCGACGGAGAGGAAACTGTCTCATACTTTCTAAGACAGTGTTCGGCTATTGCTTAAATAAGAGGTCAATATTTCCAGGACTATTACCTCTCCGTCAATGACATATTCGACAACCAACACATCTCCATTATTGTCAACTTCGCAAACCGCACCAAACGCTTAATTGTGCCAGAGGAGCTGGACCAGACCGGTGTGACATAGCGACTACTCACACATCGTCTTAGTTCACCTTTCTCTTCCACACCCAGCTGCCACTTAAGCATTCATACACGACACATCTTACAACACTTACCATCATCCTACATTACACATTCTGATTCCCCCGGCATCCTCCCATAGGACTGCCATACCCCAGAGGTATGCAAAGCATTCACATGCTATCCTCTCGTGGGCCACCCAGGCCCAGCCTCTCTTTTTAAAAAAAACCTACTCTTAGAAAATTGCAAAACCAATTGCTGAACGATTTTTGGTGATTGGTTGTCGCTTTTAGGCACTAACAAATACTAATTACAAAATAGTGAACGGATATTTATATATTTTGATAATAATATATTCTAATGTAATTGTAACTTTCAGGCGAGGGTTACAATAGTTACATAGTGTACACAATCCAAGCAACGGTGAGTTTACCCAATATTACAACACTACACCCTGTATCATCACGGCTAGAAACATGAGAGGATCAGTGCCCGAGCCAAGTCAACAGAAAACCAATATAATAACCATCAGCCTTAACTCATGGTTCCATTAAAGAGCGCACGAGAGATTCTGAGTGTCCCCCCGCTTCCTACACCCCTGATTCTGAGTGTCTCATGCTCGCCCAAATAAACTACCTTTTGATAGAATCAAATGCGGCTTTTTGAAATCAAAATGTCTAGCATGTTCGCCAAGTATGAAATTTTGTCATGGTAACAAGACGAGACGAGTATAAGCCATACCACCTAAACAAAACGAGTGTAGGCAATTTAATGTTGAAAGGGCATGGCTTTCAACAATCGAATTTACTAATTTTGCCGACAGAATCCTCATTTATGAGTAAGTTGATTACTGAGAACTGACAACTGAGAACTGACTACTGACTACTGACTACTGACAACTGGTCCGTGGCCGTACACTGACTATTACACCTCATCACTTCCGTTTGAACCGCTCTCCATTTTTATTTAAATCGTTTTAGAAATTAACCCTTGTTAACTCCGCACCACACCCGCCTATTTGAAAACACGCATAACATTGTCGTATGAAAGTATGAACTCTCTCTGCAGTCCAAACAGACCCCAATGAAGCAATGAGTGTCCCCTCCCCTAATAGGCTTATAGTATTACATGACAACGAATCTTACCTGGCTTAACCTAATTATGATTCATGTACCAACGCTACATAATATGCAGTAATGGAAGAGAGAGCGAAGAGGGAGAAAAAGTGAGCCATTTTATGTCGTATTAGTGGTACAAAACCATCAATTAAACCACTTACCACCGGCCGATTTTGAAAAAAAATTTGCTTAATGGCTTCGTCAGAGTTTTGTCGGCACTATACCGAAAAAACCAGTCCCGTAACTCTTACCGTTTTAAAAATATTTAACCGCTCGAAAATTTATACAGGGTGGGCCAAAAGTCAGTACCCATACGTTGGGTCTTATACCTCCGCTGTGTTTTATATTTGAGAGTTGTTGCTTTGCAGATGGCATACTGTACCTACTTGTTCGAGGATTCCGTCGCCAAAATTTGAAAATTCGAATATTTTAAACCACGCCCATTCAATATTAAAACACCTATATTGTTCTCTCTGAACACGCTGAACGCCAAATTTTTTCAAAGACGGTAGATTATTAAATGTTGCATCTGATCTGAAAAAATGAGGCAAAACGGATTAGAAATGACGAAGTTATCAAGCATTTTGTGCATCTCGTTAGCAAAATTGACTGGGTGATTATGTGACACCACGACACGACACCTTAATTGGGCAGCCTTAACAATTCCCATAATGTTTAACGGGGTGGTTAACGGGGTCACCTTATCACGTGATTAGGTTAATCAATCACCTGATCACACGTAATGAATAAACTCGTTATGATTCGTATCTCGGTGATCTGAGAAGTTACAGCTCTCATTTTTTCAGGACAAACGTAATTCGGATGGCCAAACACAATTCAATAAAATTTGGCTCGATCCGACTATCCAAACTATCAAATAAATGCGAAAATGAACCTCAATTTTTAAAAAATGAACACGAATATTTTTCGATTTGACAAATTCCTCGAACCAGTGGTGGTAGTAAGTCATACCAGAAAGAATTATTTCAATTGGGAACTCAGTGACTGAGCTATTAAGGCCAACGTATGGGTACTGACTTTTGGCCCACCCTGTATTTAACCGCTCGGAAATCTCCCGCACACTCACACACACACACACACACACACACACAGATTTATTGAGATTATTATTTAAGATAATTTTTTAAATCTCACACTTATTTTACTTCGGAGTATTCCAACAGCCACATTGTTACACAAGTATAACTAGCCAATTACAGGAAGCCGAAGGATTTAATTAGGCCAGTGACGGTTAAGGTAGTGTGTACCATACTTTTTCGCCCGAGACTTCGCTGCAATGGACAGCTCCTCATTTAACCCTCACACACGATTTCTCGAATATTCGGCTGAGTAGACCGGGGGGCTGCATAGACCACTCAGGATCTTTAGCTGAATGTCGACGACACTCACCCCACGACTAGGCAGGCAGTGGGTTTCGAACTCGCAACCTCACGATTACAAATCCGATGAATAACCAACTGCGCTACCTGGCCGTTAATACTTATCATCCAGTAATAACTTTGGAGATCATGAAAGTAATAACACTTAATAACAAGTATTGAAGCTCTATACCTGAGTAAATATAAGTACTTACCACACAGTCTGAGGCGAGTCCAGAGACGACAGTACAGCGGCGGTTCAGTGATTTTGTAGTTCTGCACCAGCTTCTAATAGAGAACTACTTACCTCGCGGTGTAATAGTTCCTCCAGCTCCGGAGAAGAACTTCATGGGAACTGCTAAAGTGAGGTTCGGAGGAAACAACCAGTCCGCTGAGGATCAGAGTCACTTTATTAGGAGGAGAAAAGCAGCTCTAGAGAGGTAACTATACAGTAACTATACAGTAACTATACAGTAACTATACAGTAACTATACAGTAACTAAACAGTGACTATACAGTAACAATACAGTAACTATACAGTAACTATACAGTAACTATACAGTAACTATACAGTAACTATACAGTAACTATACAGTAACTATACAGTAACTATACAGTAACTATACAGTAACTATACAGTAACTATACAGTAACTATACAGTAACTATACAGTAACTATACAGTAACTATACAGTAACTATACAGTAATTATACAGTAACTATACAGTAACTATACAGTAACTATACAGTAACTATACAGTAACTATACAGTAACTATACAGTAACTATACAGTAACTATACAGTAACTATACAGTAACTATACAGTAACTATACAGTAACTATACAGTAACTATACAGTAACTATACAGTAACTATACAGTAACTATACAGTAACTATACAGTAACTATACAGTAACTATACAGTAACTATACAGTAACTATACAGTAATTATACAGTAACTATACAGTAACTATACAGTAACTATACAGTAACTATACAGTAACTATACAGTAATTATACAGTAACTATACAGTAACTATACAGTAACTATACAGTAACTATACAGTAACTATACAGTAACTATACAGTAACTATACAGTAACTATACAGTAACTATACAGTAACTATACAGTAATTATACAGTAACTATACAGTAACTATACAGTAACTATACAGTAACTATACAGTAACTATACAGTAACTATACAGTAATTATACAGTAATTATACAGTAACTATACAGTAACTATACAGTAATTATACAGTAACTATACAGTAACTATACAGTAACTATACAGTAACTATACAGTAACTATACAGTAACTATACAGTAACTATACAGTAACTATACAGTAACTATACAGTAACTATACAGTAACTATACAGTAACTATACAGTAACTATACAGTAACTATACAGTAACTATACAGTAACTATACAGTAACTATACAGTAACTATACAGTAACTATACAGTAACTATACAGTAACTATACAGTAACTATACAGTAACTATACAGTAACTATACAGTAACTATACAGTAACTATACAGTAACTATACAGTAACTATACAGTAACTATACAGTAACTATACAGTAACTATACAGTAACTATACACTATACAGTAACTATACAGTAACTAAACAGTAACTATACAGTAACTATACAGTAACTATACAGTAATTATACAGTAACTATACAGTAACTATACAGTAACTATACAGTAATTATACAGTAACTATACAGTAATTATACAGTAACTATACAGTAACTATACAGTAACTATACAGTAACTATACAGTAACTATACAGTAACTATACAGTTACTATACAGTAACTATACAGTAATTATACAGTAACTATACAGTAACTATACAGTAATTATACAGTAACTATACAGTAACTATAAAGTAATTATACAGTAACTATACAGTAACTATACAGTAACTATACAGTAACTATACAGTAACTATACAGTAACTATACAGTAACTATACAGTAACTATACAGTAACTATACAGTAACTATACAGTAACTATACAGTAACTATACAGTAACTATACAGTAACTATACAGTAACTATACAGTAACTATACAGTAACTATACAGTAACTATACAGTAATTATACAGTAACTATACAGTAACTATACAGTAATTATACAGTAACTATACAGTAACTATACAGTAACTATACAGTAACTATACAGTAACTATACAGTAACTATACAGTAACTATACAGTAACTATACAGTAACTATACAGTAACTATACAGTAACTATACAGTAACTATACAGTAACTATACAGTAACTATACAGTAACTATACAGTAACTATACAGTAACTATACAGTAACTATACAGTAACTATACAGTAACTATACAGTAACTATACAGTAACTATACAGTAACTATACAGTAACTATACAGTAACTATACAGTAACTATACAGTAACTATACAGTAACTATACAGTAACTATACAGTAACTATACAGTAACTATACAGTAACTATACAGTAACTATACAATAACTATACAGTAACTATACAGTAACTATACAGTAAATATAACTATACAATAACTATACAGTAACTATACAGTAACTATACAGGCAGAGAGGTGAGCTCATTGTTATTGGGGGAAAGGGTTAACTTAAGGGGGCCGGGGGGGGGGGGTACGGGTCTTCATCAAAATTCTCTCGAAATTGATTTTATAATTGTTTCTGATAGAGGGGAGTGATATCTATCAGCTGCTTTTGGTCCCATGGAAAAATATTGTTCCTAGCCGAAATTATCGCTGGTCAAAGGTCAGCGCTCATGTGTAATTGTATTGCGCGAGCGATTTTTAATCGCGCATCCTGAAAATCGAGTCTAAAAATCTATCTTCTCCTACATTTTTTGAGCAATCACCCTGAAACTTTCAGGATATGTTCTAGGGATCATTTAGAAGAGAATTATCGAGCCGAATTTTGAGATAGGCCTCAGAAAATGTTTAAATCGATTTTGAAAATCTTGGACCTGGAAAAATCGTCAAAAAATGAGGTCCAAGATTTTCAAAATCGAATTAAAAATTTTCTGAGGCCTATCTCAAAATTCGGCTCGATACTTCTCTTCTAAATGATCCTTAGAACATATCCTGAAAGTTTCAGGGTGATTGCTCAACAAATATAGGAGAAGATAGATTTTTAGACTCGATTTTCAGGACGCGCGATTGAAAATCGCTCGCGCAATACAATTACACATGAGCGCTGACCTTTGACCAGCGATAATTTCGGCTAGGAACAATATTTTTCCATGGGACCAAAAGTAGCTGATAGATATCACTCCCCTCTATCAGAAACAACTATAAAATCAATTTCGAGATAATTTTGATGAAGACCCCCCCCCGGCCCCCTTAAGGGGCTTACTGGATGAGAAGGGACAGTCTGCAATAAAACATTATAGTTTGGACCCGGTCCTGGTCATTGTGACGTCATAATACTTGAATTCTTGAATACATCTTCTGTGTAGGTATCTGAAGAGGTTGATGGGGCACTATCTTATCTGCAAGGACGAAACTCTGAGACGATTCATGCAAGAAGAAGATCCCCCACGACCTAATCCTAACGCTTCAGGCATCAAAGGTAAACACTTACTAGGTAAACACTTACTAGGCTAACACTAGGGTACACTAGGTTAACACTAAGGGCATAATTCATAAAGCTGAACTAAAGTTCATTATTCATAAAATAATTTCATCTTACACTTTGACACGAGGTATATTTATCATTATTATTAAATCAAAGTTCTAAACAAGGGATAGTTAAAAAACAACGCCCAAGTCTAATCTTTCCCTAAAACAAAAACTAAAAATTAAAAACTTCATTGCAATTTCCGCCAATATCTCTTGTCATAACTCAAATTACGGAGATAATGCAGGTCAAAGATATTATTCAAATAAATATTTCTTTTACATAAATCATGCACAATCAGCGAGAATAGATTGCTTTGGGGTCTTCCTCTTCTCCCTGGTAAGTCCAGTGTATTGATGGCAAAAATGAGGGAAGAAAACGCTGGTCCGTCAATAGGACCCCGCAAAACATGTATATGTCCTAACATTCTCCACCGACTACGGGCCACTTTTTCTGACAATGGTTCAGCATTGCAGCGTTTATACAAGTTTTTGTTGGAGATGACTCCTGGGTACTTTATATTCAAAATAGTGCGAAGATGTCTGCGGTGAACAACATCTAGTTTTTCAAGGAATATCTTGGGGACGGCCCAACAGGATGAGTTGTACATAAGAACCGATACGACTAAAGCATTGTACAGTATTAGACGTTTGTTTAGGGGCAGTTTATCACTCCAGGCCTTCTTGTAATTGTTAAAGGCAGCATATCCCAGGTTTATGCGACGCTGAATATCAGCTTTGCTACACAAGACGGACCCTAGAGTGATACTTTTCCTCCATGCTTCATTCCCCGACACTAATTTTCCATCACTGTCGACTTCACCCGTACTAGCTAAATAAACATGAGTGAAGTCCGTTTTGTCTTCATTGACAAAGAGGTTCCATTTCTCAAGTATAGCTGTTGCCTGGGGCAAAATAGCTCTCAAGTTGTCTTCCTCTTCATCATTGAAGTCAACATCATCAGCATATTCAGTGTCAAGTGGAAGGCCAGCAATAGTAATCGGGGGGATCGGCCTATCTAAACTGATTGTTATAGTCCATCTAAGTTCATTCAAAGCACCAGCCAAGACAAGGGTGAACAGACAGCCGGATAGACAGTCACCTTGGAAATTATTATTTATATTTATTTATTATTTATATATTTATTTGACACATGATATACTAGTATACTATATATAGGTATATATAGTATACTATATACGCCTCATAGAGCTTTATTACTGTGAGGAGAATGTTAGCTATGCAGAATGTTCACTATAATGGCATGTAACATTAGTAGTATATAATGGCGTGTAATATTTCAGGTTTTATGAAGAACATGGAGAGTATGGTATCTAAAGTAACGGCAAGGATTAACGAGGTAGATGAGTGGTATGAAGATAAGCAACAACACATATTGGGTAACTATACAGTAACTATACACTATATAATATAGTAACTATACAGTAACTATACGGTAATTATAATATACGGTAGCTATACGGTATCTATACAGTAACTATACGGTAGCTATACAGTAACTATACAGTAATTATACGGTATCTATACGGTATCTATACGGTATCTATACAGTAACTATACGGTATCTATACAGTAACTATACAGTAACTATACAGTAACTATACAGTAACTAAACAGTGACTATACGGTAGCTATACAGTAACTATACGGTAACTATACAGTAACTATACAGTAACTATACGGTAACTATACAGTAACTATACAGTAACTATACGGTAACTATACAGTAACTATACAGTAACTATACAGTAACTATACGGTAACTATACGGTAACTATACGGTAACTATACAGCATAACCACCTCAGAGCTTGAAGAGACCCTAAAGAAACTGTTGGTGGTGGTTGATAACATGGTAGGCAACAGAAGAGACCTTGCTAACAAGTCTGGTGCCATGGCTGCTAGTTGTTTACATCTAGGTAAGATGGCTGCTAGTTGTTTACATCTAGGTAAGATGGCTGCTAGTTGTTTACATCTAGGTAAGATGGCTGCTAGTTGTTTACATCTAGGTAAGATGGCTGCTAGTTGTTTACATCTAGGTAAGATGGCTGCTAGTTGTTTACATCTAGGTAAGATGGCTGCTAGTTGTTTACATCTAGGTAAGATGGCTGCTAGTTGTTTACATCTAGGTAAGATGGCTGCTAGTTGTTTACATCTAGGTAAGATGGCTGCTAGTTGTTTACATATAGGTAAGATGGCTGCTAGTTGTTTACATCTAGGTAAGATGGCTGCTAGTTGTTTACATCTAGGTAAGATGGCTGCTAGTTGTTTACATCTAGGTAAGATGGCTGCTAGTTGTTTACATCTAGGTAAGATGGCTGCTAGTTGTTTACATCTAGGTAAGATGGCTGCTAGTTGTTTACATCTAGGTAAGATGGCTGCTAGTTGTTTACATCTAGGTAAGATGGCTGCTAGTTGTTTACATCTAGGTAAGATGGCTGCTAGTTGTTTACATCTAGGTAAGATGGCTGCTAGTTGTTTACATCTAGGTAAGATGGCTGCTAGTTGTTTACATCTAGGTAAGATGGCTGCTAGTTGTTTACATCTAGGTAAGATGGCTGCTAGTTGTTTACATCTAGGTAAGATGGCTGCTAGTTGTTTACATCTAGGTAAGATGGCTGCTAGTTGTTTACATCTAGGTAAGATGGCTGCTAGTTGTTTACATCTAGGTAAGATGGCTGCTAGTTGTTTACATCTAGGTAAGATGGCTGCTAGTTGTTTACATCTAGGTAAGATGGCTGCTAGTTGTTTACATCTAGGTAAGATGGCTGCTAGTTGTTTACATCCAGGTAAGATGGCTGCTAGTTGTTTACATCCAGGTAAGATGGCTGCTAGTTGTTTACATCTAGGTAAGATGGCTGCTAGTTGTTTACATCTAGGTAAGATGGCTGCTAGTTGTTTACATCTAGGTAAGATGGCTGCTAGTTGTTTACATCTAGGTAAGATGGCTGCTAGTTGTTTACATCTAGGTAAGATGGCTGCTAGTTGTTTACATCTAGGTAAGATGGCTGCTAGTTGTTTACATCTAGGTAAGATGGCTGCTAGTTGTTTACATCTAGGTAAGATGGCTGCTAGTTGTTTACATCTAGGTAAGATGGCTGCTAGTTGTTTACATCTAGGTAAGATGGCTGCTAGTTGTTTACATCTAGGTAAGATGGCTGCTAGTTGTTTACATCTAGGTAAGATGGCTGCTAGTTGTTTACATCTAGGTAAGATGGCTGCTAGTTGTTTACATCTAGGTAAGATGGCTGCTAGTTGTTTACTCTTACTCTGCACTGTTATCGGATGTAAATGTTTTACATTGCACATTATTCGTCACCTGACACTTATCTTTATATCTTGTGGTTTAGAGTTTCAAGGTTACAAGACTTGTGTACCCACTGTACACTGTACACTTTGACAGTGTAAAGTTTCTTAATCTATTTACCGTGTTCTGCTCCAGAACAACCCCAACCCCCCCCTTATATTAGTGACACCCCCCCCCCCTTATATTAGTGACACCCCCCCTTATATTTAGTGACACCCCCCCAATTATATTAGTGACACCCCCCCCCCCCCTTATATTAGTGACACCCCCCCTTATATTAGTGACACCCCCCCCCCCCATTATATTAGTGACACCCCCTCCCCCCCCCCCCTTATATTAGTGACACCCCCCCCCCCTATATTAGTGACAAGAGAAACGCCATTGTCGGACGTGAGGAGAGTGAGGACTCCTCAAACTACATTAAATATATTCCTGAATAAATTTAGTTACTGTTTTAAACTTTACTGAACACCAAAAAATATATATAACTTATGCAAAGATAAAACAACGAGAAATAATTAAAAATATCACAAAAGAACAAATCAAAACAAATATCAACATAATATAACATAATACTAAAAGCAAAATAACAAAACAAGGGAAAATAACAACAAAACATTCGATATTTGAAGAATGATTCAAATTTGTACTTTCATCAAAACAAATTCTCAAAAATTATAATTTACAGAAAAGGGCAATTAAATAAAAATGTTAGTTGTTAAAACCTCCCAAAGCTTATAAGTACACGGGTGTTTAGCCTCTATGAAGTGTAATATTAATTAGTTTAATGTTAATTAGCGTAATGTTAATTAGCGTAATGTTAATTAGCGTAATGTTAATTAGCGTAATGTTAATTAGCGTAATGTTAATTAGCGTAATGTTAATTAGTGTTATGTTAATTTGTTAAATGTAAATTAGTTTAATGTTAATAAGTTTAATGTCAATTAGTGTAATGTTAATTAGTGTAATGTTAATTAGAGTAATGTTAATTAGCGTAATGTTAATTAGCGTAATGTTAATTAGCGTAATGTTAATTAGCGTAATGTTAATTAGCGTAATGTTAATTAGCGTAATGTTAATTAGCGTAATGTAAATTAGCGTAATGTTAATTAGTGTACGTAATGTTAATTTGTTAAATGTTACTTAGTTTAATGTCAATTAGTGTAATGTTAATTAGTGTAATGTTAATTAGTTTAATGTTAATTGTTTATATTAATACTGTCCAGGGGAAGGAGAAGATAACGCCTCGTTACGACGTGCTGTAACAAAACTATCCGAACTGGAAACAAAGATGGAAGCGGTTCACGTTGAGCAATCAGACAACGATTTATTCACTTTTGGAGAGACTATAAAAGACTACATTTCTATCATCCAATCTGCTAAGGTGGTTATTTTACGGGAAATATATTCACAGACAAATATCAAGTAACGAAGATATCGTGTTATTTTTACCCCTCTATTTGATGACGTGATTTTATGGGGTTTATGGCTTATGCTATTATTTTAAGAACCTATAATATTTTATAATGTATTTGATCAAATAACAGATACTGTATTGCTAATACTACTACTACTACTACTAACAGATACTGTATTGCTAATACTACTACTACTACTACTAACAGATACTGTATTGCTAATACTACTACTATACTACTACTAATAACAACCCATTTAACATTTCCTAGGCTGCATTTGACGAGAGAGTGAAAATATTTTCCACATGGGAATCAGCCCAGTCGACACTAGCCAAGAAGAGAGAAGCTAAAAATAAAGCTACTGCTCAGGGGAGAGCTGATAGAGTAGCCCAATGTGAGGAGGATATTAAATTTGTGAGTCAAACTATACAGTAACTATACAGTAACTATACGGTATCTATACAGTAACTATACAGTAACTATACAGTAACTATACAGTAACTATACAGTAACTAAACAGTAACTATACAGTAACTATACAGTAACTATACAGTAACTATACAGTAACTATACAGTAACTATACAGTAACTATACAGTAACTATACAGTAACTATACAGTAACTATACGGTAACTATACGGTAACTATCCGGTAACTATACAGTAACTATACAGTAACTATACAGTAACTATACAGTAACTATACAGTAACTATACAGTAACTATACAGTAACTATACAGTAACTATACAGTAACTATACAGTAACTATTCAGTAACTATACAGTAACTATACAGTAACTATACAGTAACTATACAGTAACTATACAGTAACTATACAGTAACTATACAGTAACTATACAGTAACTATACGGTAACTATACGGTAACTATACGGTAACTATACGGTAACTATCCGGTAACTATACAGTAACTATACAGTAACTATACAGTAACTATACAGTAACTATACAGTAACTATACAGTAACTATACAGTAACTATACAGTAACTATACAGTAACTATACTGTAACTATACCTATTTTCTCTTGGTCTAGGTAATTTCTAGTCTCGTCTAGGCATTCAACAAAAACCGTTTTCAACTGTGTTATTAATATTTAATAAATAGATTGTTGAGCTCGTGTTCAATTTGCGTATTTTCCAGTGGGAAGGCAAAGTGGAGAAGTGTCAGGAAGATTTTGAACTTATCAGCAAAAATTTGAAAGACGAAATCAGAATATTTGAGGTATGCAAACTGTGGATCTATTTAACTTAGTACTATTAATAACTTAATGAACTTTAATGAACTTAATACTTTAATAATTATTCACGGTAAACTTCAATTGAACAAATAATTCATTGTTTAAAGTAAACCGTGTTCAGGAAGTTTGGGTAAGAGAAGTGAAGGAAGCAGTTACCGCGTACTTCCAGAAAACTATTGACTGTCAGAAACAGGTGCGTTACATTTCTTTATCCCTGTAGCCATGTTACCGGGTAGGTGGAACATGTACTACAAGGTTACTAATATCTCAGTACCTATTAATAAATAGTAAATGTGATTAGTACTTCGTAGTGATACTTCTGGAGGATTACCGTTACAAATTCTACAATTATAAATATTGTAACGTACGTGCAGCTCTCTGAATTGGCTACAATGTTGTTTTCTTGGGTAAATTTCGATTGATCCCGTTTGATAGTTTGATGCGACAAGGAAAAATAAGTATTAAAATTTAAAAAGTGTTTTAATACTTTCAACATTACTATGATTATATAACAAATAATTTGAGATCATGAATACGATGTTGTCACATAGAAAAGTTGAATAATTCCTTTCCTGATAAGAGCCTTTTCCTTGTCGCTTCAAACGGGATCAATAGAAATTTAACCAAGAAAACATTTCAACTATGCGACTCATGAATAATATTTCAATCTGGATTTTACAGTTGTAGAGTTGATGAATCCGGATTTTTAAAACCAAATTGGAACCAGGGACAAAAGTGGGACATGCGTTTATTTCCCCTAATAAGCCATGAATGATGCCAAAAATAATTGTAAATGATGGATATAGTTGTAAGCTATGCCTAGTGGCCATCAAAAGTCGCACAAAATGATCCAGGTTCATGGAATGAACGGAAATGAACGAAAATTCTCCCAAAAGTGCTCAGAATGGTTCAAATTGGTCGGAACGAGTTTGTGTAGGATGACTCCAGCCAAGTGTGTCACTGCATGTCTAGAACCGATGTAACCATTGTTCCAAAATGTTTCAATTTTGTCCTAATAATCATCCTGAGTATCCAGATTTTGGGAACCATTTTTTGGACTCCAAGTATTGGCTGTATTTCAGTGCTGGAAAGCAATTACAGCCAAAACTTCTATGTCCCCATGTTCCAAAACTCTGGATACTAAGTAGGATTATTGTGACAAAATTGGAACACCAATAGGTAGGTAGGAACAATGGTAACATCGGTTCTAGACATGCAGTGATTCCCAAACTTGGTTTAAGTGGTCCTAGGACCACTATTTACTCTTTACGACCAATTTTAAACCATTCTGAGCACTTTGAGGTGAATGTTCATTTTCGTTCATTTCTGGTCATTCCATGGGTAATTTTATACGACTTTTGATGGCTCCTCGGCCTAGCTTACGGCTATATCCATCTTAGAAAACCGAACTGAGCCTTCCCAGCACTCAAATACGGCCAATACTGCGATGTGCCCATGTTCCAAATTTATGGATTCATCTACTGTCGTAGCAAGCGATGCGTTAGAAATGATAAGAGTATCCTTCTCGTAGCGCAAAGCGCGCAATCTCGCGCGCGTAATCCCATTCTCGCGCGCGCAAGCCCGATACTATGTATTCAAGCCATCGCAAAAATAACAACTGTTAATATCAAATATACACAACTGTTAATGGATACTGATTTCTGGGTGTCCCGAAAAAAAGGCGGATAAGTTTCGGTAACAGAACGGTTACGTTAGTTACTAAGTTAATTCCCTGGCGGGCAGTAGTCGTGTAATCAGCATGCTGACTGTTCTCGTACACACTGCACAGCAGGTCGGACCTGGTTTACTAGCTGGGTAGATATTGTAGTCCTTGGCAGGATGCCAGGACGGGTCACATAATTTCCACGCAGCACCCGAAAGAGTTTGAGCCTTGAAATTTGGGTATCGATTCATTCTTAGATTCTGAACAAAATACTTTGACCGGTGAAATGTGCTCAGCAGCGGCTAAATTAGCTCTTTTCGAAATCATATCAGATGAAACATGTAGTGAATCACTGACCGGAGAAAACATGGGGAGCCAAATATCAAAAGAGAAACCTCAACTAATATATTATGTACATCTCGGCGTCAATGACATACACAAAGGAGAGGACATTCTCAGAACCGTCGACAACTTCAAGATCTTTGACGAAATGCTAGAACGAGTATCTCCCACCACCAGAATGGTCATCTCTTGCCAGTGGCGTAACGAAGGACCCCGCTGACCTCGCGTTTTGCTCTAGATACACACTTTTTTTTAACCGGCGTATCCTCTAAAATCAACTAATTGGTTTAATTTTAGGGAGGGGCACCAAAAGGGGAGGGGCGCCAACAGGGGGGCGCTTTTTCGGCGGGGGCGCCAACAGGCAACGTTACGCCACTGTCTCTTGCCCCCTACTAAACGGAAACACAGTCCACTTCTGAGCAGAAATCCGCGATAATCTCTATCTATCAGACAGAGGAATGCACGCCAAACTCAAACCAAAATTATAAGCTGGAACATCCAATCAACAAATACAACTTCTGGCTCTAAGTTTGATGACCCTCAATTTTGTACCGTCTTTGATAAGTTTCCTGTCTTCATACACCCGGGTTATAGGGCCTTCAAAAAACATGGCAGCGTCTGCATCATGGTTTAAAACGAAATAGCCAGAGGCGTAAAACTTGAAAAATCCACAATCTGTGGATGAAATATCCACTGCACGGAAAAAGTTCCTCAACACTTACCCTCACCTCTAAATTAGCCTCTAGTATGACCACAACTCTTACCCTCACCCCTAAATAAGTCTGTAGTGTGACCACAACACTTACCCTCACCCTAAATTAGTCTGTAGTGTGACCACAACTCTTACCCTCACCCCTAAATTAGTCTGTAGTATGAGCACAACACTTACCTTCACCCCTAAATTAGTATGTAGTGTGACCACAACTCTTACCCTCACCCTAAATTAGCCTGTAGTATGACCACAACTCTTACCCTCATCCCTAAATTAGTCTGTAGTGTGACCACAACACTTACCCTCACCCTAAATTAGTCTGTAGTGTGACCACAACACTTACCCTCACCCTAAATTAGTCTGTAGTGTGACCACAACACTTACCCTCACCCTAAATTAGTCTGTAGTGTGACCACAACACTTACCCTCACCCTAAATTAGTCTGTAGTGTGACCACAACACTTACCCTCACCCTAAATTAGTCTGTAGTGTGACCACAACACTTACCCTCACCCCTAAATTAGTCTGTAGTGTGACCACAACACTTACCCTCACCCTAAATTAGTCTGTAGTGTGACCACAACACTTACCCTCACCCTAAATTAGTCTGTAGTGTGACCACAACACTTACCCTCACCCTAAATTAGTCTGTAGTGTGACCACAACACTTACCCTCACCCTAAATTAGTCTGTAGTGTGATCACAACTCTTACCCTCACCCCTAAATTAGTATGTAGTGTGACCACAACACTTACCCTCACCCCTAAATTAGCCTGTAGTATGACCACAACACTTACCCTCACCCTTAAATTAGTCTGTGTGACCACTCGTAGAGTTATTCGAAATCAGCGTCTAAAAATACTGTCGAAAGTTTGGTTGCATTGTTTAATGTTTCAAGAAATCTAATTTCAGTATTTCTCTCATTATATTCTTCAAACAACCGATATAAAAATACTTCCTTTCAGATTGTTGGACACTGGAAGGAATTCTTACCCGAAGCCAAAATCATAAACTGAATAATATAATAGACGTTGGCTCAGGTATAATTCATCATGCCATTTTCATTTAGTTTGACTTTTTGACTTGAAAATAGAATCAGCCTTATTTCTGTATCTTTTTGTCTTAATGTAAAGGGGTTGCGAATTTACCACAGTTAAGTACTGTTGCTGCTGGCAGTTGATAAATCTTTATAGATCCCTAATTTTATCGTAAACTGATAACAAAATTATTGATTAACTATTTTGAGAATGATTAGCTTTTATAATTGTTATGATTGATGCTTTGTTTTAAATAAATGTGTTTTAATTATTTAAAACATTACATTATTGACAGCAAGATAGATTTATATACTGGTCAAAATTCAGAATTTTGCCCGACAAATGTTGAAGGCAACAAGAATTTCGCCACAACTGCACCACACGTGATAAATTTCCCCTTCAATGTAACATTAGTACCAGTACCATTAGTGTTATCATTGAAGAGGGGTAATTGTTTTAGCATTCCGAAAATATACCGAAAATCATTATTTTTATACTAATTATGCTAATTAATGAAGTGTTTTTGAGGAATAATAAACCTCTCATTTTGTGGGTTTTTATTCTGGATTTGGGCTACACCTTGGGTTGTGGAGCTCAGTTATGCTTCCTATATCTTACTATATATAAAGCGAGACGATATATATATATATTTATCTGTGCCATTTTACTGACACCACGGCATCAACTTTAACACGACTTTCCGCAAAAACCGTAAAAGATATACAACTGAAACTTTTTTGACTGGGTCAAATGCTTTAATGGCCTTCAAATCAGCATGAAAAAATAAAAAATTGGCCAAGAAATAGGAGTTTTAGAGCCCAAAATTTGGACCCCGAAGTGGTGTCAAAAACGCGAATTAAATAGGTAATAATTATTTTAGTCTCTTGAGTCTTGACACCACTTTAGGGTTAGACGGGTTTCTGCTAGTGTCTATAATGTGTGGTTTTAAAGGCGGAATTTGCAACGCCCGCTCAATGAGTCAAAGTTTGCGCGTGCGAAAGATGAGAATTTCGCTCATTCGTGATTTCGCGATTGATTCGTCATCAAATTTCTGCCTTTCCACAGTTCGATGACATATATTTGTATTATTAAACGGATTAAACGATTCAAAAGTCAACTTGCAATGGGAATGTCTGACCCAATATAAAAAGTAATTTTACCCAAAAAGTATACATGATACAAGAAAATAAGAATAAAATAAAACGCAATAAACAAAGAAATCGAGCGTGCTAAATCACTCTACAGTCGATCTTTGAGATTGTTCTAAAAGGACAGTTGAAACCAACTTCAATCGATGTATTTTCGGACGCTGATTCCGAATCACCCCCCATGACATAGAGTTAAAATGCTCCCCTGACGAGATATTGGCGAAAAACTGTCTCGATCACGTGATATGACCGTATAAGGAAGTTAGTCTAATTTCTCGTTAGGGTTAGGGTTTCAGCATATGTTTTTGTTAAGGATTGGGTTAGGGTTGGGATCAGATTAGAGGGTTAGGGTTTCGAATAGTCGTTCAGAACCAGCTAGAGAACGGGTTGAAAAAGTCACGTGACAGTCGAGTGTAGAGTGATTAATCATCATCCAAATATTCAGGAGCAGGATACTGTATAATTTAACGGGTGATACTCGAGATAATTCGAGATATAATCAAATAAGCGAGGGCCAGAGACAAGTTTCTGCTTAGTAGACACCTAGGCAACTGTGTATCAACTGTTTGACGATCCCGTTAAACACATTTAGAAGTAACACCCACCAGGAACACTGCATACTCCTACGAGTTGCACATAGCAGGCCATGACCTCCCCTGGAAGTCCCTGTCTCTCCGTCTTTAAACCGACAGGGGTTCAAGACTCTCGGATTATGTTGTCGATATCTATGTTAAATATATTTAGTAGTATATACCTTGGTAGTTTCTCTCCCCAGCAGCAGGAGTTGGAGACATAGGGACGCGTTTTTGTAGCGCGATGCACTACTGGGCCGCGCGCGCATCCAATAATGCTTCTCGCAACCACGTATGCAGATCGGCGAGATGCGAAGGATTGACATCGTGAATAAAGGACGCGTTGTGAAAGCCACCGAAAGGAAGGCCAAGGCTTACAGTCGACGCTGACCAATCAGATAGAAAAAGTATATCTGATATCTTCGTAGGACCAACGTTAACATTACTCCAAGATTCGCTATATTAGTTGGCATCAGTTACTTCTCAGTATTATGCTTGAGTTCCAGCGTCTTCGCCACCTCGGCCCTCACCACGCCTTTGCAGATGTTACCATAAACAATAAAGATTCGGCGGAATGACACATGACAGGCTGAGCGCCGCCCAGTAAAGCAAATGTTAACCGCATCCCCCCTCACCATATCTTAACGGGTGATACTCGTAAAATATTTGTTTCAAACATTAGTCCAACTCGGCGCGCGTCCTGGTAGGTTATGTAAACCTACAAACCATATCACGCTCTACTCAAGTTCCTCCTTAGCACTCCTTTTTTACTTTTAGTCAGTGTAATAAGCGCGAGCTCAGAACTTTTTTTCTCCGATTTTGATGAATTTGGTACCAAAAGTTGTTTAAACATTAAAAATGTGAATAAAACAAATCCACCGTGTAGAAATTTTCGTTCAAAATGCTACACGGCGCTTGTTCTCCTCGCGCAAATTTTTAGTTTTTGGCCTATATGCTATAACTTTCACATTTTCAGTTATTATCACATAATTATTGTGAAATCGTAATCAGCTCATCGAGACGAAACTTTTACTTTTAGTACTAATATTTTAAGATTTAAAGGAAAATTATTTTCAAATTTTTAAAATCTGAACACAACTTGTGCATTGTGTGAAATTTGTGAAAAATTTGGTGCTTCAAATATTATAATTTTGATACCAAAAGTTGCATTTGACTAAGCTCATTACGATCCTGTAAGAATTATTTCAAAATATTCAATATGTTAGGAGTTATAGTGTATAGGCATTTTAAGCAATAAATTACCCATTTTTCGTCCTGTGTACACTCTTGCAGGCCCACATACAGCTCGACGTTATCGTGCTACACGATGAATTTTCATTATTCACAGTTAGAGGCAACTCTTGGTACCAAATTTATCAAAATCAGAGACAAAAAATTCTGTGCCAACTCATGGCGCTTATTACATAGACTATTTACCAGGACCTAGTTGAATGACAATGTCTATTTATAGACAATGTCTATTTATAGCATAGTAATAATAAATAGTGTGTTGTTATAACAACACACTATTTATTATTACTATGCTCTATTTTATTTCTGTACGATAAATACAAGCATCATATTTTGACGTGTTATGTATACAATTTGTTTGTTATATTCATATATTATATTCACTACCTTTGTTTTCTACAACATCCACTTTTTCCTTTCGTTTAGCTCGTCTTCTAAAATTCCTCAAGTAAGTGGGGTCAGTATTATCGATTATCCTTCTTCCACCTACTTCAAAATTAGGTAACAGGTACCATGGACACTGGATCTCAGCAACATACAGAAGATACTACCTAACTACCTGCCATAATTATAGAGTCTAGCGAACTCTATCCTGTATCCACAGGTTACTCAGGCAGTGGATCACACTCTGATGACATCTCCTTTTGAAGATTTTCGGACTCTCAGACTACCTAGTTGAGTGTGTACCATAACCTAGCACCCTGCCTAAACGTTCTGAACTCCCGGACCTATGTGGCAAGCCCCCTCAGTATGCGGAGATTTTATTACACCATCGAGTGACATGCGAAAACGTAACAGCCAGTCCTTTGCACCATGGAAACGTAAATACGCGCGCGGCGCGCACACTCGTAGTTAGCACCACAGCGCAAGAAGGCTTGAAATAACCTTATCGCGTCCAACAGAAAAGTATACCCAGAAGACGTTTCCCTGAATTTTGTAGGATGGTCGTGGCCTGGCCCTGGGAGTGGTCTGAGTGGGTCAAGAGGTCGAAATTTTGTTTTTCTAATGGTTTGGGACTGGTACTTCCTTGACCCACTCAGACCACTCCCAGGAACAATGCGCAACTATTTGTAGGGGATTTGAAATCCGTGTCAAATCCCCTACAAATCCAGACTGAGAATCTTTACCCCTGTAGGGGATTTATGTTCCGGGATATTTGGAACATGTTTAGGTGGTTTAATAGTTAGTACCTGTCCCAAACCATCAGATAAATCAAGTTTCGACCTCTTGACCCACTCAGACCACTCCCAGGGGCCACGCCCATCCCAAAAAAGCTGAAATTCAGGTCAAATCCAGAAATTCAGGTCAAATCCAGACTGAGAATCTTTACCCCTGTAGGGGATTTATGTTCCCGGGTATTAGGAACACGTTTTGATGGTTAAATAGGAAGTACCTGTCCCAAACCATCAGAAAAACCAAGTTTCGACCTCTCAACCTACTCAGGTCACGACCATCCCAAAATATCCGACAAACCCCGACATATCCTAGGCCTTCTTGTGTAGTGTTTTTCCACGTAAAGCTTGATGACTCCGTCTCGGCTTTTTGTTGGGAGACTCAAAAAAAAAGAAGAAAAAAAAGCCTCCAGGCTCGACAAACCCCGACAAACCCTGGCAAACCCCGACAAACCCCGACAAACCCTGACAAACCCCGACAAACCCCGACGTGTCGAGATATGTCGTATCATGTCGGGCCCACCGGCTACATGGGGCCTAATCTTTACCACCGTATGCGATTTGTGTTCCGGGGTATTCATTTTGGTATGACTTATTATCACCACTCATTCGAGGAATGTGTTAAATCAAAGAATATTCATGTTCATTTTTTTCGAGTGAAGGTTCATTATAGCATTTATTTGATAGTTTTGATATTATTATATAACAGATCGAGCCAAATTTTATAGGATTTTATTTGGCCATTCAAATTACGTTTGATCTGAAAAAATGAGAGATGTAGCTTCTCAGATGACCGAGATACGAGGCATAACGAGTTTATTCATTACGTGTGATCAGGTGATTGGATTACCTGTTCAGGTGATTAGGTGACCCCGTTAAATTACAAGGGAACCCAATTAAGGTGTCCTATCACATTATCACCCAATCAATTTTGTTAACGAGTTACATAAAATGCTTGATAATGCTTCGTCATTTCAAATCCGTTTGGCCTCAATTTTCAGATGAGATGCAGCAATTAATTATCTACAGACACAGTAATCTGAAATAAATGGGCGTCTAGCATGTCCGGAAATAACAATATAGGTGATTTAATATTATATGGGCATGGTCTAAAATATTCAAATTTTTATTCGGTGAATAAAAACCGTGAAGAAATAATGATAGATAGTAGGTGCTTCATTATAATCATAGATAGTAGGTGATACTACTGGTGCTACATTATCTCATTTGGAGAAGACCGCCCTGAGCAGGGAAACTTAAAACCGATTATTTAGTTTAAAACCGATTATTTAGTTTTTATTGAGGATCGCCCAAAGTAAGTAAGTATATATACAATACTCAATGCAGCAGTGGCGTAACGTTGCCTGTTGGCCGCCAACAGGCAACGTTACGCCACTGCTGCATAACTTTTTCAGCGGGGGGCGCTGAAAAAGTGCCACCCCCCTGTTGGCGCCCACCCCCGCTGAAAAAGCGCCCCCCCTGTTGGCGCCCCCCCCCCCCCCGCTGAAAAACCGCCCACCCCCCCAGTTGGCGCCCGGGCCCCTCCCTAAAATTTAATAAATTATATGATTTCAGAGGATACGCCGGTAAAATCTCTAAAAAAGTGTGTTTCTAGCACAAAACGCACAGTTTTGCTAGTACCGTAGTTAAGTTTTTCCAAATTGTCCCACATTCAAACGACGATTTGGCGCCCCCATAAGATTGCAACCTCCTGCACACTCAGCACAGTGGGGTCGGCGGAGCCCTTCGTTACGCCACTGCAATGCAGCATGAAGACTCTTAGCCATGACATTCCTGGAAATATCTTTACCACCAGTGAAACACTTGAGTTAGCATGTCCTGCTTTAACAAGCCGGACAGTTTTGTAGATCCACTCAATTCCATCATCTGTAATTAAACCCTATTACTTTAACTCTAACCGTAACCAGATTCCAGTTCGAGATATTCGCGTGCGATTATTATATTCAGGGGAACACACAAAAAATAATGTTTGCACTTTAAAATACTCATAATCATTTTCATTCTGTAAATTACAAATAAATATACACACCTAAAATATGTGTTTACTATCTCGATAGTTGTGTATTACTAAAATAGACAAAAAGTGAATAGCTTAACAGTTTGAAGAGTATTTACATATTTGTACACTGTACAGTTACCTAGTCTAATGTCTGTAACCGCTAACACTCAAGACCATATTTTCACAGTACTGTCTGAGCTGGCAGAAATGAGCATCTCACCGTTTCTATTGAAAAGAGCACCTTGAACACCGTCTTCATGGCCGTTAAGTTCTGTAACCTTGTTCTTCTCAATTTCTAACATCTTGACACTACCATCGTTACTAGCTACAGCCAAACAAGCTCCACTTGTGTCAAACTGTACAGAGTTAGCCGGGTGTGGCTCAAAGTCGTATGTCTCGATTTCAACCACTTGCCTTACATCCCAGATTTTCACGATACCATAGGCGTCGCAGGAAGCAATGGCTGTACCTTGCGTGTTGAAGCTTACGTTGTTGATAGCGTTGACATGACCGTAGAAGGTTTGAGCACAGAGACCTGTGCGAATATCCCACATGGATATGGTCTTGTCTGCAGAGCAAGTACACAGAATGTTAGAGTAGGGTAGGAAGGTGAGACTGTTGACGCTGTCTGAGTGTCCTCTGAAAGTACAACGACACCGCTCTGAAACCACATCAAACAGTTTGCTGCTGTTGTCCATGGAGCATGATGCGAGGAAGTTGCCGGAGTGGTGCCATGCGACACCCCACACAGGGTGGGAGTGGTCGTTGAACGTTGAGACGCACTCACCCTCACTGAAATCCCAAACTTTGACCGATGTGTCACCGGAACCTGTCGCTAGCTTTGTGCCCTGAGGATGAAAATCACACCCACCTATCCACATGGTGTGACCACGTCCCGTCAGAAGAAGTTCCCCATCTGGTACGCTCCACATTTTCCAGGTTGCGTCGTCACTAACGGTTGCTATGACGTCACGCAGCGGATGTAGCGCCATGTTACTCACTGCTAGGTCATGCGCTTTGAAGGAGTGTTGCTGGTGGTAACCTCCTGGTTTAGTGAGATGACAAGTTACGGGTAGACTGGAGTTAATGTCAGGATTAGCCCCTGGTTCAATAGGGATTACAGAATCTTTGGGGTGCTCGAAGGTTTTCTTTGGTTCTTCTGCCTTCTGAACAATCTCGTCAAGTTCAACCTCTTTCATCTGATTCAAAGTAACTTCATTGGCACTAGCTCTAGCTGTTTCGTAGTTAGTTAATGTTGTTGTTAAGTTGCTTATCTTACTCATGTTCTTCTCACACTCGATTTTAGTCAACATCTTCTCGCGCATCGCTGTCTCGTACTTGTTTTTTAGCTCTTCAAGCGCAGGCTCGTAAGACTGGTAATGTTTCTTCAAGCGTCTTATGTCAGTGAACAGTTTTTCTTTCTCCTGAACTATTCTGCGATGATGCATTCTATGGTAATCCCGCTCTTTCTTCATCTTGATATATTGAGTCCCGGCTTTGTTGACACTGCGTCTCATCTTCTCAATCTCACGCTGAAGAAACTTGACTCTGTTCTCGAGTTCCTCATTCTGCACGTAGCAGTCAGGGACAAGTTCAGGATTTTCCAGTCCTCCACGTGTCTGAAGCTCGTACCACTCGCGCTGGAACGCATCCAGGGTCCTGGTCATCTTGTAACGGATCAAAAAGTTTCTGATGAAATCGTCAACAACTTCAGGCCGTCTGGATACTGTTGCTTTAGGAATCTCGACTGACTCCTGCATTCCGTCGATCTGGAAGTTTTGTTGGATAGAACGGAGTGCAGTCTCCAGATCTTCCTCAGCTTCAGAGTCTGACAAGTCGTCATCGTACTTTACTTCTTCGTAATCTACACTCTCAGCATCTTCCTCTATCTCCACCTTCTCTATGTAGTAGATGGGATCTTGTGTCGGCATTGCTACTGATAATATAGAAGGGAGTGATTATTCAAAGTTCACGCCAACTTCATGCATTGAAACTTAATTAAGCTCATTTTATTGAAACGAACATCAATCATGAATTCTAAAAATTCAGAAGATCACATTTTTCATTACTATTTTTTGACAAGTTGTAGTTCAATTTACGCGGAATTTTGTTGAGTAATAATACTTTTAAATCATATTTTCGTTTAAACGAAAACGCAATCATTATTGTAATTTTTCATAGAAACGATATTTTATTTCAATAGCATTTTTATTATTTTACATAAGTAGCACACTATTGATCAGCATACAATCATCAAACAAGAAAATATTTCCAAACCTTCTTTTTTAAGTCAATAATATTATGTATGTATCTAATTGAATGTCACCAATAATAATCTAAGTCAGAGAAATTGGAAAGGCATAACCGGCACACTATAAACTGGCTTTACGTGTAACTCTAATACTCTCTATAACCGGCACACTATAAACTGGCTTTACGTGTAACTCTAATACTCTCTATAACCGGCACACTATAAACTGGCTTTACGTGTAACTCTAATACTCTCTATAACCGGCACACTATAAACTGGCTTTACGTGCAACTCTAATACTCTCTATAACGGACTTCTCGGTAGGAACGACAAATCGCTGTTACATAGGAAAAAAATACTGAAAATAGAAAGAGATCCCCCGTATGTCAACTGTCAAACGTTCATAAAGGATTGGAATATGGCGCGATAATATGTAGTCACATCACTATGACGTGTCAATCGTGTAATTTCTCAATGTATCAAAAACACAGCACAAATCATAAAAAACATGAAAAATTTGAAATTTCAATAATCTTAAAATAATCTTATCAATGATGAATTTAAAGAGAGGTTATACACCCTGCTACTAGAGGTTATTATCCTTGTCTTTAGACACCCAAAGTTAATTCTGGTCCGTATTATATTGCCGAAAGTAATAACCCATTACCAGGATGAATCTAACAACAATCGTCAACCGCCTCCCTAACCGCAGTTACTGGGTCCCTAACCGCACCATCAGAAGATCTACACTTATGATAAATTGCCTGATTGAAAACGGAGAGTTTCTGGTAAACAAGTTGTATTTCGTTCTGCAGTTGAGTAAGTTTATCGAATATGTCCGTCATCCAATGAACATTCAACATTATTGTACGATCGCAGTAAGCGTTCTTAGGTAGACTATATTTGTCTTTTACATGCAGATCTTGTGGGTTTTTCAGACAGGAAATGGTGAGAACCAACTTTATATCCTTTATATGGAAGTTTACCAAAACACCGGCTGGTAACTCAGGTGAGAAAACACAGTAGTTACGATTAAAAGTAGACGCGACGTCTTGACGAGGCAGGACTAGTTGCAGTTTACAACGCTTTATTTGATCCAGGATAAAGTCTAGAGCTCTCTTGGCTAGACTAATATCCGTAACCTTGCCTTTAGCAATGTCCTCGCACTTTTGTTTCACATAGAACATGTAGTTAGCAGCATGGCCCAGCTGACACAGCCTCCAGGGGTTGTGCTCCTCTTCTTTAATGCTCGCCACTGTTTTGATGGGGACAGGAGTGTTGTTTATCTCGATAGACAGCTCTGTTTTAGTGATCAGAGTTCCCTTCATTTTAATATGACCCTTGACATGGTCATCTCTGAGAGAAGAGCTCAGTGGGATTGTCTCACTGGGTATATCACCTGATTTGGGACTAAGCAGGCTCTGAGCCGGGTCAGTAGGGGCTAAAAGTGGACCAAACTCCTCAAAACGAGCCAGAAGATCGCTGAATATGACAGGTAGTTCGGCTGCTATGAACCATTCCTGCTCCTTTTTATCGCTCATTTCTCTGCTATCTATAGGGCGGAAATGATTTTAGTGGAAGTTTCTATAATGCACAAATGATTATTTATATTGATTAATAATGAATCATTATTAACCGAGCTGAATGTTAAATTTAACATTCCTCTTAAAAAATATGAAATTCGAAAAAATTAAGGATTTTTATTTGGAACTTTAAAATGATATCACTTCATCAAGAGAATAAAAAATGGCATATTTAATGTTGCACGTCACATAATGATAAATTTCATTTTTTACTACTATACTATACAATATTATATAATATAGTATAGTACTACTACTTTACAATACAATATGGTATAGTACTACTACTATAATATACAATATCGTATAGTACTACTACTATACAATACAATATAGTATAGTATTACTACTATACAATAAAATATACAGTAAAACCCCGATTTACCGCAAACCTCAATTTACCGCGGATGTTCCTTTTCCCCAAACTCCGCGGTAAATCGTGGTTTTACTGTATATAGTGCTACTACTATACATTATACAATACAATACAGTATAGTGCTACTACTATACAATGCAATATAGTATAGTACTACTACTTTACAATACAATATGGTATAGTACTACTACTATACAATACAATATAGTACAGCGCTACTACTATACAATACAATATAGACTATAGTGTAGTGCTATTACTACACAATACAATACAATATAGTATAGTGCTACTACTATACAATATGTTTTTTCAGATAAACCACGTCAAAAAATAAACTCAAAACTATTATACAAAGTCAACAACCTTCGAAAAGCAAATCCTGAGATTACTGATATAATAGATTATAGGGTTTAATAATGTTTGTTTTCTTTTGCACTGAGGGCCTTGTTAATGTTTTCCTGATTCCTTTCTTGCTTTCTGTCTCTCTCCAGATTCTTGACGATCCGCTGCTTGCAATAAATGATAAGATTGATGATCACCATTATTTGAAAGTTCCCCATTACAAGCCATATGTATTTGTACCAAATTTTCTTCCTGAAATTGTCGTAGTTTTTCTGTCCTTCATTCTCATTAGATACTAAAATACCCTCTCCCAATTTGAGCACCAATTGAGTTTGGTTTCCATCACAAGTTGGGGCACCAGGACCGTAATCATACCAAGTGGTTAGGTTAACGGTTCTGTCTGATGTTTTCTTATCGATACATATCTCAGTGCCAGTTACTATGGTGTTTCCAGAGGGGAAGGAGACATTAGTGAGGTACTGACCGCAAGGTGCCACATTACATGTGTGTGACACGTTGTCTGCCGTAAAACACCACGGTCCATGAAATTGCTTGTTAGGAGGGTTGCCTGGGTTACGACAGTAGTTCTTTGTTAGGTTCCTTGTTAGGTTTGTATACTCCTGAGAGAAATGAATCTATAATTAGTGGAAATTAATCTATATAATATAGTGGTGTACAATAATATGTACTGTAGAAATGTACTGAGTACTCGTCCCTGCTACTCCAGTAGATACTCCTCCCTGCTACTCCAGTAGATACTCCTCCCTGCTAGTCCAGTAGATACTCCTCCCTGCTAGTCCAGTAGATACCCCTCCCTGCTACTCCAGTAGATACTCCTCCCTGCTACTCCAGTAGATACTCCTCCCTGCTACTCCAGTAGATACTCCTCCCTGCTACTCCAGTAGATACTCCTCCCTGCTAGTCCAGTAGATACTCCTCCCTGCTAGTCCAGTAGATACTCCTCCCTGCTACTCCAGTAGATACCCCTCCCTGCTACTCCAGTAGATACTCCTCCCTGCTAGTCCAGTAGATACTCCTCCCTGCTACTCCAGTAGATACTCCTCCCTGCTACTCCAGTAGATACTCCTCCCTGCTACTCCAGTAGATACTCCTCCCTGCTACTCCAGTAGATACTCCTCCCTGCTACTCCAGTAGATACTCCTCCCTGCTACTCCAGTAGATACACCTCCCTGCTACTCCAGTAGATACTCCTCCCTGCTACTCCAGTAGATACTCCTCCCTGCTACTCCAGTAGATACTCCTCCCTGCTACTCCAGTAGATACTCCTCCCTGCTACTCCAGTAGATACTCCTCCCTGCTACTCCAGTAGATACTCCTCCCTGCTACTCCAGTAGATACTCCTCCCTGCTACTCCAGTAGATACTCCTCCCTGCTACTCCAGTAGATACTCCTCCCTGCTACTCCAGTAGATACTCCTCCCTGCTACTCCAGTAGTTACTCCTCCCTGCTACTCCAGTAGATACTCCTCCCTGCTACTCCAGTAGATACTCCTCCCTGCTATTCCAGTAGATACTCCTCCCTGCTACTCCAGTAGATACTCCTCCCTGCTACTCCAGTAGATACTCCTCCCTGCTAGTCCAGTAGATACTCCTCCCTGCTACTCCAGTAGATACTCCTCCCTGCTACTCCAGTAGATACTCCTCCCTGCTACTCCAGTAGATACTCCTCCCTGCTACTCCAGTAGATACTCCTCCCTGCTACTCCAGTAGATACTCCTCCCTGCTACTCCAGTAGATACTCCTCCCTGCTACTCCAGTAGATACTCCTCCCTGCTACTCCAGTAGATACTCCTCCCTGCTACTCCAGTAGATACTCCTCCCTGCTACTCCAGTAGATACTCCTCCCTGCTACTCCAGTAGATACTCCTCCCTGCTACTCCAGTAGATACTCCTCCCTGCTACTCCAGTAGATACTCCTCCCTGCTAGTCCAGTAGATACTCCTCCCTGCTACTCCAGTAGATACTCCTCCCTGCTACTCCAGTAGATACTCCTCCCTGCTACTCCAGTAGATACTCCTCCCTGCTACTCCAGTAGATACTCCTCCCTGCTACTCCAGTAGATACTCCTCCCTGCTACTCCAGTAGATACTCCTCCCTGCTACTCCAGTAGATACTCCTCCCTGCTACTCCAGTAGATACTCCTCCCTGCTACTCCAGTAGATACTCCTCCCTGCTACTCCAGTAGATACTCCTCCCTGCTACTCCAGTAGATACTCCTCCCTGCTACTCCAGTAGATACTCCTCCCTGCTACTCCAGTAGATACTCCTCCCTGCTACTCCAGTAGATACTCCTCCCTGCTACTCCAGTAGATACTCCTCCCTGCTACTCCAGTAGATACTCCTCCCTGCTACTCCAGTAGATACTCCTCCCTGCTACTCCAGTAGATACTCCTCCCTGCTACTCCAGTAGATACTCCTCCCTGCTACTCCAGTAGATACTCCTCCCTGCTACTCCAGTAGATACTCCTCCCTGCTACTCCAGTAGATACTCCTCCCTGCTACTCCAGTAGATACTCCTCCCTGCTACTCCAGTAGATACTCCTCCCTGCTACTCCAGTAGATACTCCTCCCTGCTACTCCAGTAGATACTCCTCCCTGCTACTCCAGTAGATACTCCTCCCTGCTACTCCAGTAGATACTCCTCCCTGCTACTCCAGTAGATACTCCTCCCTGCTACTCCAGTAGATACTCCTCCCTGCTACTCCAGTAGATACTCCTCCCTGCTACTCCAGTAGATACTCCTCCCTGCTACTCCAGTAGATACTCCTCCCTGCTACTCCAGTAGATACTCCTCCCTGCTACTCCAGTAGATACTCCTCCCTGCTACTCCAGTAGATACTCCTCCCTGCTACTCCAGTAGATACTCCTCCCTGCTACTCCAGTAGATACTCCTCCCTGCTACTCCAGTAGATACTCCTCCCTGCTACTCCAGTAGATACTCCTCCCTGCTACTCCAGTAGATACTCCTCCCTGCTACTCCAGTAGATACTCCTCCCTGCTACTCCAGTAGATACTCCTCCCTGCTACTCCAGTAGATACTCCTCCCTGCTACTCCAGTAGATACTCCTCCCTGCTACTCCAGTAGATACTCCTCCCTGCTACTCCAGTAGATACTCCTCCCTGCTACTCCAGTAGATACTCCTCCCTGCTACTCCAGTAGATACTCCTCCCTGCTACTCCAGTAGATACTCCTCCCTGCTACTCCAGTAGATACTCCTCCCTGCTACTCCAGTAGATACTCCTCCCTGCTACTCCAGTAGATACTCCTCCCGGCTACTCCAGTAGATACTCCTCCCTGCTACTCCAGTAGATACTCCTCCCTGCTACTCCAGTAGATACTCCTCCCTGCTACTCCAGTAGATACTCCTCCCTGCTACTCCAGTAGATACTCCTCCCTGCTACTCCAGTAGATACTCCTCCCTGCTACTCCAGTAGATACTCCTCCCTGCTACTCCAGTAGATACTCCTCCCTGCTACTCCAGTAGATACTCCTCCCTGCTACTCCAGTAGATACTCCTCCCTGCTACTCCAGTAGATACTCCTCCCTGCTACTCCAGTAGATACTCCTCCCTGCTACTCCAGTAGTTACTCCTCCCTGCTACTCCAGTAGATACTCCTCCCTGCTACTCCAGTAGATACTCCTCCCTGCTACTCCAGTAGATACTCCTCCCTGCTACTCCAGTAGATACTCCTCCCTGCTACTCCAGTAGATACTCCTCCCTGCTACTCCAGTAGATACTCCTCCCTGCTACTCCAGTAGATACTCCTCCCTGCTACTCCAGTAGATACTCCTCCCTGCTACTCCAGTAGATACTCCTCCCTGCTACTCCAGTAGATACTCCTCCCTGCTACTCCAGTAGATACTCCTCCCTGCTACTCCAGTAGATACTCCTCCCTGCTACTCCAGTAGATACTCCTCCCTGCTACTCCAGTAGATACTCCTCCCTGCTACTCCAGTAGATACTCCTCCCTGCTACTCCAGTAGATACTCCTCCCTGCTACTCCAGTAGATACTCCTCCCTGCTACTCCAGTAGATACTCCTCCCTGCTACTCCAGTAGATACTCCTCCCTGCTACTCCAGTAGATACTCCTCCCTGCTACTCCAGTAGATACTCCTCCCTGCTACTCCAGTAGATACTCCTCCCTGCTACTCCAGTAGATACTCCTCCCTGCTACTCCAGTAGATACTCCTCCCTGCTACTCCAGTAGTTACTCCTCCCTGCTACTCCAGTAGATACTCCTCCCTGCTACTCCAGTAGATACTCCTCCCTGCTACTCCAGTAGATACTCCTCCCTGCTACTCCAGTAGATACTCCTCCCTGCTACTCCAGTAGATACTCCTCCCTGCTACTCCAGTAGATACTCCTCCCTGCTACTCCAGTAGATACTCCTCCCTGCTACTCCAGTAGATACTCCTCCCTGCTACTCCAGTAGATACTCCTCCCTGCTACTCCAGTAGATACTCCTCCCTGCTACTCCAGTAGATACTAGGTAGTAATATAATCAATATTTTTATTAAAAGAAACGTACCGGAGCGAGGTTCCAGTTTTTACAAAGCTCCCCGTCAATGGTCCGGTGTACTTTACCTTCATACGTAGTACCATTATCAGTGTAACATGACATTCCCTCAATAAATATTAATGTCATTTTATTTTAATATCATGTACATAACTAATTTAAATTTTAACAGTAATTCTGAGTAAGATTAAGATTTCTTAGATTAAATGATAACATAGATCAAGTAAACATTAATTAGCATTAATTAACATTAATTAGCATTAATTAACAAGCTGAACTTATCTCACATATTCTCGGTTGGGAGTCTCATCATTAACCAGAACAACAAGTTGGTGATCGTTGCGGACTAGAACTCCACATATAACAGGATTTGGGGGAGGCACTGGACATCGTTCTTCCGAGAATTTCATTTGAAATGTGGCGGGCTCGCTTTTTTCACCAGTGGATTCGCTGATGGTCCACAGAAAGAAATTGTAAACTTTATCTAAGGAAGGTGTTGAGTAGGTATTCATGTAGAATACCAGTATCATTACCAGTATGTCATTAAATACCAGTATCGATACTGAAACATATTTTATGAATTGCTACTTATCACATATTTCATGCTAAAATTAGCTTGTATAATGTATAGTTATACCTGCTACAGTCAAACCTCTATATACCTCCCTACACCGAGTACCTTGATAAACAGGGCCTCTTCTTTAATCTTTTCCCCAACTCATAATTAATTAGCTCGTTTTGTGCAAGAAATGTTATTTATCATAGCTCATTATATCGCATTTTTGTGTGATTTGACATAATAATAATACGAGCAGGCCCCTAATGGGATACCTATATAAGAGGTACTACTAGTGGGGGAGGTACTACTAGTGGGGGAGGTACTACTAGTGGGGGAGGTACTACTAGTGGGGGAGGTACTACTAGTGGGGGAGGTACTACTAGTGGGGGAGATACTACTAGTGGGGGAGGTACTACTAGTGGGGGAGGTACTACTAGTGGGGGAGGTACTACTAGTGGGGGAGGTACTATTAGTGGGGGAGGTACTACTAGTGGGGGAGGTACTACTAGTGGGGGAGGTACTACTAGTGGGGGAGGTACTACTAGTGGGGGAGGTACTACTAGTGGGGGAGGTACTACTAGTGGGGGAGGTACTACTAGTGGGGGAGGTACTACTAGTGGGGGAGGTACTACTAGTGGGGGAGGTACTACTAGTGGGGGAGGTACTACTAGTGGGGGAGATACTACTAGTGGGGGAGGTACTACTAGTGGGGGAGGTACTACTAGTGGGGGAGGTACTACTAGTGGGGGAGGTACTACTAGTGGGGGAGGTACTACTAGTGGGGGAGGTACTACTAGTGGGGGAGGTACTACTAGTGGGGGAGGTACTACTAGTGGGGGAGGTACTACTAGTGGGGGAGGTACTACTAGTGGGGGAGATACTACTAGTGGGGGAGGTACTACTAGTGGGGGAGGTACTACTAGTGGGGGAGGTACTACTAGTGGGGGAGGTACTACTAGTGGGGGAGGTACTACTAGTGGGGGAGATACTACTAGTGGGGGAGGTACTACTAGTGGGGGAGGTACTACTAGTGGGGGAGATACTACCTACTGAGGCTTGTCAGGTTATTCTAGAAGCAGGATTGGAATCGTGTGAACCAGGTTTATAGAGGTTCTACTGTATATAACATAGTATATTATATTCTTATGTATACAATATACATTACACAGCAACAAAAACTAATTCAAAATCTTCAAGTTAGACTGCCACATACTTTGCTGAAATTTCTTAATTGTCAACATTTTGGATGTTGCAGTTCGTGCTATATCGTCCCGATTAACCACCACTTTCCATGTTTCCTCGTACTCATTGTCATTTTTGTTCATGTCAACGATAGATCCTTTTCTAACCTTGAGTTTGAAATTCCTTACCAAACTGAGGGGCCCAGTAAATTTCCATCTGACCAGTGCCACTACAAACATCTCGGTTTTTCCATCCTCAAACGCAATCTGCAAAAGAAATGTTACTTGGTGTCGCCTAGGCTTATTTTTCCTGTAAAAGTTTAATTTTCAGATTTTGGGAAAATTAATATATGCGTGGGATGTGCCTACCAGACAGTATCTTCCTTAACATACGTTAATTAGCTGGTGGGGTAGCTAATATAATAATAATACCCCGGCCTCATAAAGAATCATGAAATTATCATGTCTGAGTTTTTAATCTGGAGCCTTTAAGCCAACTTTCAAAAGAGAGACATGTATTTCAAACTGCAAGAGCTTCTTAAATAATGAACAAATAAAAGACATTCTTACTTTGATCACGTGTTGTGACGTCACAACATTCCTACTTTGATCACGTCATGTAATTTAGATCGTCCTGAACTTATTCTAACTTATTCTAACGATGCTCTGTGACCGCATAGCACATTATATTTGCCGTCTAGTACTGTAGACTGTCTGTAGTACGTGCCGTCTAGTACTGTAGACTGTCTGTAGTACGTGCCGTCTAGTACTGTAGACTGTCTGTAGTACGTGCCGTCTAGTACTGTAGACTGTCTGTAGTACGTGCCGTCTAGTACTGTAGACTGTCTGTAGTACGTGCCGTCTAGTACTGTAGACTGTCTGTAGTACGTGCCGTCTAGTACTGTAGACTGTCTGTAGTACGTACCGTCTAGTACTGAAGACTGTCTGTAGTACGTGCCGTCTAGTACTGTAGACTGTCTGTAGTACGTGTCGTCTAGTACTGTAGACTGTCTGTAGTACGTGCCGTCTAGTACTGTAGACTGTCTGTAGTACGTGCCGTCTAGTACTGTAGACTGTCTGTAGTACGTGCCGTCTAGTACTGTAGACTGTCTGTAGTACGTGCCCTCTAGTACTGTAGACTGTCTGTAGTACGTGCCGTCTAGTATTGTAGACTGTCTGTAGTACGTGCCGTCTAGTACTGTAGACTGTCTGTAGTACGTACCGTCTAGTACTGTAGACTGTCTGTAGTACGTGCCGTCTAGTACTGTAGACTGTCTGTAGTACGTGCCCTCTAACTTACTGTAGACTGTCTGTAGTACGTGCCGTCTAGTACTGTAGACTGTCTGTAGTACGTGCCGTCTAGTACTGTAGACTGTCTGTAGTACGTGCCGTCTAGTACTGTAGACTGTCTGTAGTACGTGCCGTCTAGTACTGTAGACTGTCTGTAGTACGTGCCGTCTAGTACTGTAGACTGTCTGTAGTACGTGCCGTCTAGTACTGTAGACTGTCTGTAGTACGTGCCGTCTAGTACTGTAGACTGTCTGTAGTACGTGCCGTCTAGTACTGTAGACTGTCTGTAGTACGTGCCGTCTAGTACTGTAGACTGTCTGTAGTACGTGCCGTCTAGTACTGTAGACTGTCTGTAGTACGTGCCGTCTAGTACTGTAGACTGTCTGTAGTAAGTGCCGTCTAGTACTGTAGACTGTCTGTAGTAAGTGCCGTCTAGTACTGTAGACTGTCTGTAGTACGTGCCGTCTAGTACTGTAGACTGTCTGTAGTACGTGCCGTCTAGTACTGTAGACTGTCTGTAGTACGTGCCGTCTAGTACTGTAGACTGTCTGTAGTACGTGCCGTCTAGTACTGTAGACTGTCTGTAGTACGTACCGTCTAGTACTGTAGACTGTCTGTAGTACGTGCCGTCTAGTACTGTAGACTGTCTGTAGTACGTGCCGTCTAGTACTGTAGACTGTCTGTAGTACGTGCCGTCTAGTACTGTAGACTGTCTGTAGTACGTGCCGTCTAGTACTGTAGACTGTCTGTAGTACGTGCCGTCTAGTACTGTAGACTGTCTGTAGTACGTGCCGTCTAGTACTGTAGACTGTCTGTAGTACGTGCCGTCTAGTACTGTAGACTGTCTGTAGTACGTGCCGTCTAGTACTGTAGACTGTCTGTAGTACGTGCCGTCTAGTACTGTAGACTGTCTGTAGTACGTGCCGTCTAGTACTGTAGACTGTCTGTAGTACGTGCCGTCTAGTACTGTAGACTGTCTGTAGTACGTGCCGTCTAGTACTGTAGACTGTCTGTAGTACGTGCCGTCTAGTACTGTAGACTGTCTGTAGTACGTGCCGTCTAGTACTGTAGACTGTCTGTAGTACGTGCCGTCTAGTACTGTAGACTGTCTGTAGTAAGTGCCGTCTAGTACTGTAGACTGTCTGTAGTACGTGACGTCTAGCATATTAACATAGTGGCTTGATATATTTATATATAATTATAATATACAGAGCTTCATTTATAATGGTAGGCTCCCTATTACATATAATACTGTATTAGTATTTAATAATTAGTATTTGATAATTGGGTATTTGATAATTAGTATTTGATAATTAGTATTTGATAATTAGTATTTGATAATTAGTATTTGATAATTAGTATTTGATAATTAGTATTTGATAATTAGTATTTGATAATTGATAATTGATATTTGACTTGATAAAAAAGGCCTAAAAACGTATTTAATATTATTGATAATATTATTGATCAGTAATCTGTGCTTCGACTGGAAACTAAAAAACGAAAGTGAAAGATAAGGACAGGACAAATTTGTAAATCTTGAACGCGACTCTTGTAACGCGATGTAATAAATTGTGACTCTTGTAAGTTGTAATAAATGTAAGCCTTTGCTGTGAAATTAATTCGTGTCAAGCGAGTAGCGAACCAAATATATTTTTGTGAGCAATTCCTGTAAGAGTGAGACCAAGTACACAATTTTTAGAAAGAGCTAAAGTGAAAGAGATAGTGAGAGAGAGAGAGAGAGAGAAAAGGTGAAAGTGAAAATTGTTGTTTGAAATGTTAGCAGCCCACGTTAGACAGCTTAGCAAGAAGAAAGTGTCTGACAATATGGCTGTTCACGTGACCACCCAATACATCACGTGATAAACTAAGAGCATAGCCTGACTCCGTGATTATCATACACATTACAAAATTTTATTCGAAAGTGCGGAAATGCACATTGTACAAGCTAACCACGTGAGATAACAGCTTCATGACTACGGAATGGTCGTAGTACTTAAACCGGTATCCGACCATACGATCATTGCAACTTTATAATAAGTTTACCTGTTGAACGTTCAACTTTTTGGGCTTGTGAGCCTCAACGTCAAACATTTCTTTAGCTGTTCGTAGTATTATTGGGTCAGTTGATGGTCCTCTCTTAGTCACATTCCTTTTTGTTAAGAACGCTTGCACGTAGAGAACGTACCTGTAATTAATCAACGATTGGTGGCTTTCAATACACTGAAACTTGCTAATTTTAAGTTGAGTCTTCGATAATTATTCTATTTTTAAACCGCACACAGTGTCTTTACCTGGTATCTTTCTCTAAAGAACTGATTTCGAGAGTTTCATTTCCATCAAAAGTAATCGTTGTTAATGTTATATCAGAAATCACTTCATCCGCTGGGTGATACGTTACATCGTACTTAACAGAAGTATTTCTATCCCTCAATTCTAGAATAACTGTATCATTCGTCACTTCAAATTTAGCAGGTTTAGTGAACACGATAAGATTGGTGTTAAATTCGGATTGTGGAACAGTCCAAGGAGTGGGCAATGAAAGAGCCGACATTCCATACTCGTTTGACACTGAGTACCGCATTCTATATTTTGAGTCATCTGTACCTATTGCAGTGTGCGTTATTTCTATGTTCCGTTTCACTTTCACATTTAAGTTTCCTAGATCCTCTGGAATAAGAATCGTCTCGTTTACCACACTCAATGTCACTTTTAGAACTTCGCTCTCGTCACTACCAGAACTCACAGTAATGTGATAACCAGTAATTCCCCATGTAACGTCCTGTGCAATAGGTAACCTGTACACCTGCCCCCCTTCTTTACCTTGTTGCAGCTTAGGAATGTCAGGTTTGAAAGGAGCCACTTTAACTCTGACATCGTAACTCACATTGACTGATCCTGCCCCATTGTCCAGCTCACACAGATATCTTCCTGAGTAGAGCGGGGAGTCGGGGACTATTTGTATAAAGCCTTGTAAATCATCTATAACTTGGTACTTGACTCCACGTTCTGACAATGACTGTCCATCTATACTCCAGGTTGGCTCTGCCTCTGGAGGGGACCCGTATCCGTAGCATTGCAGCTGGTGCGGCTCATTTCCTGTAATATCCAACTCCCGCTCTTGTGATTTAATCTGTAACAGGTTATCGCATCAAAGTTGTATCAAAGTAAATTAAAGCGAGAAAAACATAAGATTATTTGGAAATATCAACATGCATTCAGCTAATTTTGTTGACAAACTAAATGTATGAAATGCTAATAATATTATCTTTTAACATTTTGAATTCCTACCTGTGAAACAATGAAGACTTTCTTTAAGAAGAACTGAATTGGAATCAGTTCATCAGGAGTCTCAGAAATGAATTTAACGAGGACCTCTTCGACATGATCATCATGATACAACCAAACAACATGATCCTGATCCATCTCACCAAAACTTTCCATCACCCATGACCCCGCAGTTTGTAGTCTAAAATGTTCTTTTTGGCTGTACTGTGGGTCGTGTGAGGACGAGAATATCTTTATCCCCGGATAGGGGTAACCCTGATAGGAAATATTCAGCTCAACCTTGTCACTCAGTAAAAGAAGATAAGTGCTACAATTGGTTAGTAACTCGTTTTCAACTCGGGCTTTGCTCTCCGTGTGCGATGTTATCGTTATTCGTATTTCGTACGTTACTGGCACGTAGTGATAAGCGTACGCCTCGATTACACGTTCATTGGTTAGACCGGAGTCGGGCAAGAGACCTGGCTTTAGGAGAAGTTTCACTTTACATGTGTATTTTCCTACTTCCATTGCCTTAATTTTTTCTGTATTCTGCAAAGTTCTATTTTCAATAATTTCTCCGCCTTCGTCTCTGAAAGCATTAGTTGATTTATGATATTGTAACAAGTTTCCACTCATGATTGCCCATTATTTATTCTAAACCCAATAAATTACATTTAAAATTGAATCCCAAGATAATGTTAATGCCCGAAAGTTCCAAAGGAAAAATATCAAGTGATCATATACCTAACGGTCCAAGTAAGATTTGACTCAACAATTGCCCGGTTATCCACAGTTATTTTGCTTGCCCTGCACTTAAACTCTCTGGGAGAACCTTTCTTGGTAAAGGTACCGTTCCTAATGTGCCGAGGAAACTTCTCAAATGTTGGAGTCCAAATTTGGTAACTACAGAACAAGTTTCGTTTGGAGGGGGAGTTTCGCTCGTCTTGCATTGGAACGTTGGTAATGCTGAACTTCTCTTCCAGGCGAGACAAGGAAAGACCATAGTTAGCATTAACATCTCTCTCGCACTTCACTTTGATTGGTCCCCCCTGAGAACATTGTTCAGGTTTTTTGTAGGGAAGTGTTATCTTATCAGAGCTGTTGAATTGAGCGATATGTCCGGCCAACCAGCTGATCCCACAGGTAGCTCTGGAGACAAACTCAATGTCTTCGTCGTGTTGCACGCAATACAAAGACATGAAGTTTCTTGCACATGTTTCATTTGCAACCTCTAAAGTCATCCATTTTTTCCGGTAGTACGTCATGACTTCAGCTGGTCGGATCGGTCGGTAGCACACATCGTCCTTGAAGCAGCATCCTGATTTCTCGCATACACTCTCGCTCATACCTGGCCAACCACACTTCTTTACGTTTATCTTCTTAGGCACAAATTCGTCTTTGTTTCCCAAGAAGCAGTAGGAAGGAGAGATGCCGCGATATCGCACCTCATGTCGCACCTTGCTGTTCTGAGTGCAGAACTCACCACCTTCCTCTGAGGCACAAGACTCCTGCACTGACTCTTCAGCATGAATGTGATGCAGAAGGAGGGCGAGGAAAATATAACAAAGCATGGCGAATAAAGGAACAAGTCAGTGATGGCAAGTATGGAAGTGCAGGGTAGAGTGAGTGCGAGTATTGTGGGCATTGTAAGCTGCTGTACATCCGACCTTCTTTTGTTCCTTCATTAGTCGATTTATAGCTCCAAATTTTACAATATAAAGATGGAGTAAATGATTATGTACATCATAAGACAACAACTGTTCATATTTTATCCTCATCAGTAATGGAGTACATGATTCGCAAGTTTTTCTAAAATCAATGAGACTAATATAATAAGACGGAAATATAATAATAATAATATGTACTAGTAAAGTATTCTTCAAAGCTACAAATTATACCATATACAATTTCTGAATCTAGTTTAGACACTATCCTGAGAACAGTACATTGATTATTGAACTCGATGTTGAACATGCGAATTATGTTATGCTGAATATTTTAACTGTACTTTTAAATCCCGCTTTCAAACTCGCATAATATTCAATATAACATGACTGTGATCTGGAAAAATGTTCAATTATTATTTGATCAATACTAAAGGAAATTGATAACATTTAATTTAAGACAACTTAATTCAATAGATTTGATTGTAACACAATCTTCAAGTTCAAGGCAGAAAATCAACCAAATGATGAAGTACCTGGTCGTTCTAGCAGTCTGCATTTACAGCGCAAGTAAGATCTCTAAACAGATATTATTTGTTTATATTATCGGTGCATTTTATATTAACAATTCATAGTACATAATATATGTTATGTACTATACCAGTTCAAGTTATGATTCAATTTCCGAAAAAAATTTCTCAGGAATAATCTAACATCGCATCTTAATCACAACTTTACGCCTTACAGTTTTTAAGAGATTGAGTTCAATTTGAGCCCACCATTAAGCTCCAAATATCTGTAACATTTTTAAAAATTTTTCAGGTGCTGCAATCAAATGTGTACAAGGAACCGACGGTGCTAAGGCAGCATCGGACTGTGCAAAAACTGACGAAACACTCTGTTCACAGTATGTAATATTACACACACTTGCAGTAGGATGATCGATAATTTTTTCAAAATTATCACGATAATATCGGTTATCGCGATAATTTCGGCAAGATAATTGAAGCAATATTTGTATGCACTCTGCATACTTGAATTATGCTCCTATGCTATGTTACATTGTTACATCATCATAATATAGTTACAAAATGACATAGCCATGTAGCAATTATCATAATTGAATTTAGTTTTCAAAAATGAAACACTGCCTGTTAGTTGTCAATAGACCAATCTCCCAAGCAAGAGTATCTATCCTTGGCCTTGCTACTGTAGTCGAATCACTGTGGTTGATTATCGCGATGATTCTTAAAAATGATCGCGATAATATCTATAACGATTTTTGAGAAAAGATCGCCGATATTATCGGCCGATAATATCGGTTGGCAACCCTACCCTGTATCATGTTTGTGATCACAACCTGTATGTTATCTGATGCCATAGTGTTATTTTCATTGTTAATAATAGCAAACAAATTGCAGGCCAAAATTCACTGAGTACACCGGTCTGGCACAAGGAGTAGAGTATGCTTGTGGAGCATGTGCCGGTGAAACCAAGGATTTGACTTGTGAAGAGTGCACTGGTAAAGCTGATGCTGGATGCAACACAGCTAAAACGGTTGCAGCAGACTTCAAATGTTACGCCTACACATACAACGCCACAAGCAAAGCCTTTGATGCCGCCGCCAAAGCCACTACATGCAAACGACTTGAAGCAACCACCATTGTTTGTAACAAGTAAGTCTGCAAATTTATCATAATTGCTGTTTTATCTTTTAATATAGCTTAGAATAGACATTTGAGGTACTTAATTTTCGTAACTTACAGTCCAAATTTCAGGCCTAAAAGTGATGCCACCTTGACAACCTATACGTCCACAACTGGATGTGGGGACTGCACCACCAAAGATACCGCATGCGAAAAGTGCACAACAGACAGTTGCAACACATCAGGAGCAATTAGAGTTGCTGCTCTCTTTGTGCCTCTTCTTGCTGTCCTCATCAACCTTCTCTAATCTCTAATCTTAACAACCAATCTCGGAAACTTATTGATAGGATAATATTCGATGATAATATTGTAATTTCGCACACTAATGTTTTCGTAAAGTGTTGATACAAATATTTATATATAATTGTAACGATCGAGATCTTTTTCTAGCATTATTATAGAGTTATAATTTAAAATCAATTTGGGCAAATTTAATGACATGATAATAATTTCCAGTCAAGAGTTTGAATCTTAATTTAAAGGATAAATGCTGCTTATCATTTGTATAATGTACCTACTACCTATAGGCTATATAATAACTGTTCAAAATTAATTAAACTCTACTAACCTCACATGAGTTCTCGATTTTTAGTTCTTAATTCATTTCCGTTTCGTATAATCTCATTATGCAGGATGACAGATGAAAAATCACAAGTCTTCATTTTTTAGCCTGAATATTAGGTGCTCCCCAGTAGTATCAATTGTAGAATTTAAGGAGTTTCAGTATCGAGAACACATGCTGAAATTAACGAACTTGATACCTCGGTAAACATCAGATTGTTTCACCACATATTTCCCTCCATTGTACAAAACCCGTCTATAGCTTATTTAAAAATTAAATAGTTAAATTGAACTTACATCCGAGTGTGTCGCCTCCATAAGTCCTCTAATTTCCTGGTGTCATAATGTGCTGTATCAACTAGAAGGAAGTTTACATTATATAATATCTCATAATATCTCCTCGGCCTCTCATACTCGCTCTAACGTCGCCTGCTAAACAAATTATCTGAAGTATTAGCCCCTTATAGGTCCAACAGGCTGTATTCCTGTTACTATATAATTATCATAGGTTATTTGGTCACTTTTGGTAGGATTACTTGATTGTTAATATAATTGATAGGTACTTACAATGAAATAACTCAACATTGAACGATCATTAATCAACCGGGGAGAATACCCAACGCTCCAAGTCCTAGCTGCGAACTACTGCAGTCCCTCTACTTCAGTTCTTTAGAAGTCATCACCTTGCGGTCCCTCTACTTCAGTTCTTTAGGAGTCATCGCCATGCAGTCCCTCTACTTAAGTTCTTTAGGATTCATCACCTTGCAGTCTCTCTACTTCAGTTCTTTAGGAGTCATCACCTTGCAGTCCCTCTACTTAAGTTCTTTAGGAGTCATCACTTTGCAGTCCCTCTACTTCAGTTCTTTAGGAGTCATCACCTTGTAGTCCCTCTACTTCAGTTCTTTAGGAATCATCACCTTGCGGCTTGCAGTCCCTCTACTTCAGTTCTTTAGGAGTCATCACCTTGCAGTCCCTCTACTTCAGTTCTTTAGGAATCATCACTTTGCAGTCCCTCTACTTCAGTTCTTTAGGAGTCATCACCTTGTAGTCCCTCTACTTCAGTTCTTTAGGAATCATCACCTTGCAGTCCCTCTACTTCAGTTCTTTAGGAGTCATCACCTTGCAGTCCCTCTACTTCAGTTCTTTAGGAATCATCACCTTGCAGTCCCTCTACTTCAGTTCTTTAGGAATCATCACCTTGCAGTCCCTCTACTTCAGTTCGGTACTTCACGGTAAACACGTCATAGTGAACTATGTCCGCAGTAACTTAGACCCATAACATCGAATTAATCTAAATCCAAAAATTTATGAAAAACTGTTTAATAACAAACAAATCCATGGTGAATAACTGTGGATATAGAGTCAAAATTGGTATTTCAATACGTCAAATTCCAGATACATTAGATACAGGTCTGATATGGTCATTAATGTGTGAGAAGGTGTGTGGGGGAAGTGTGATATGATGTTGAAACTATAGGAAGGTAGATAAAAAAATAAATTAAAAAAATAATAATATGGGGAGCAAAGAGACTAGGTTAGACTGTTGTTTCACTATCCAATAATCATTTCCATAGATGCTTAGTGACCTCAGCTTTGAAACGACTTATATTATATCGATTGATCTTTACCTTTAACCTTACTCAACGACCAACGTGTGTCATTGAATCTACTCATTTACTGAATTAACAACTTCAATTCCTTCAATCTCTTTATTAACAATTTACTTTAAAATAAAAATGGTATAATTTTCTGATTATAATAATATGTGGTCAATTTATAATTCGCAAATTATTAACAGCATTTACAAGTGTATATTATATTTCTGAAACATACAATGAGTTTTATAACATCATAATTTTTGGCCCTGAAGTACTGAAATAGAAACCCTTGTTAACACGTCACTCATAACAAATATATTTTATAAGGAGTAAGGATTGCACATTCACTTTCACTTTCATTATAAGGGGAGACTTTTATTGGATTTCACTGCTGAGTTAACATTAGAAGTCGAGTTATTTGAACGTTTAAGGTTGTAATCGATGTCGTCTGAATTATCACTCTAGAGATTTAAACTTAATTTAAAAGCTTTGTCTTCAATTAATGATACAGTGTCAGTACTGTATCAAAAGAAGATAACCCTATGTACAGTAAAACTTTACTGTTAATTACTGTTAACGCTGACTTACCGTACCTTTTCCCTTTCCCCGAAAATGTTTGGAAAAAGGTATATATTTTAGTTTTATATCATTTGATCGAAGTAACAATTTACAAAACGGCTTATAAACGTGACCATGATTTGAAACAAGTTTTTCAGGCTTGTTATTACCCATATCTACATTCTACAGCTTACTTGTTCAGGCTAGAGGGTAATAAAAAGTAGGGAATAAATACATACTTGCTTTTCTGAGTAGGAGTAGTTTTTCTAACAAAAATCACATTTTCGGACTAAACAATGTAGGTCACCGTCATTATTTTCCCCAAATTATTTTTAGGTCTCGTAAGGTACTTGCTTTTATCTATATTTGTAATGATTAAGTACGATTTTTTCGGGAATCACAGTGGAAATGACTGATTAATGCTCATATTCATGGTTTCACAGTCCACATTACTTTTTGCACCATTTGTTCAGATTTTTGTTTATTTTTGTTTTGATAACTGACATTGAAGGTTTGAGGGAGAGAGAGAGGGAAATTTTGATTTTTTGAGAGGGAAGTCATCATTAACTTAAAGGAAGTTCACCCCAACGGTGAGGCGACCCTAACCTAGGAGAAGAGGCTATAGTTTGGACTTTGGAAGTTTACCTTGAAAGCAACCATCAATCGATTTGTCAATGATCATTCATTTGTATACATATTTCAAATCATACAACTTTAACGTACAATTATCCTGGGTAGCTAGCCTTTATCTCCTTCTGAATAATCATGAAGTATCTGATTGTTTTAGCCATCTGCATATACAGCGCAAGTAAGACTATCATTATTTTATTTATACCATGAAGATATTAGTGTATGATTTTAATTGTATTGAAAATACAATTTAGCCAAGTTACAGTTCTGTCCAGTGTCCATTAATAAAAATAAATATTGTGCAGAATGTTGTTGACTTACTCATTGCATTAACTTACCCAAAATCGTTTCAGATGCCACAATCAAATGTGTGCAAGGAGACGCTAAGGAAGCTACTGCCTGTGCAAGCGCTGACGACAAACTTTGTTCACAGTATGTAACATCAAATTAATGTTAACAATTATTTTGACGTGGCTACACCCAAGGTTCGACCGGGATCCCGGCTTAATCCCGATTCCGGTCAAAAATCGGCCGGACCAGGAATCCAGGTCCCTGCTAATGGGACCGAACTAGGATTTTAGTCTAAATTTTTAAATTTTGTTTTGCTAATTTTGTTAAATTATCGAAAAAATTTTTGCACAAATGAACGATTTTTTGAAAAACTGAAATTTGAAGCAAAATTCTTTACCAATTACTCAACAAAACACTGTCAGAGTTACGTGCTGGTTTGTTGGGTGAGCTGTGCTTGTAATCAGTAACGGATACCAGGTTTTAGTGTCTTAGTGATCTGTCAAGCCCACCTCTCTCGTAGACTTGGAGATCAGGAACCGGTCTTATTCCCGGTCCCCGCTTAATCCCGGTCCCGGCACTTTTTTCCAGTCCTGGTCCCGGCCAAAAAAGCGGCACTGGTCGATTCTTGGCTACACCACAAACGCTTGCAGTAGATTGTGAAGAATGGCACATGTGACCATTGCATTTTTATTTTATTCTGTGCAGATCCTGAAGAAGTCTGCGCACATTTTGTGTTTCGTCGGCATCAGTTTGTTTTGTTGACTTTCAAAACGAAGTTTGGGGCGGTGTTTAGTATCATGTTTGTAATTATAATTTATATTATGTAACATTTAGAAATACATTTAAAACTTCTATTCTGAATTCTGATGCTTACTCGACAGAATTTTGAGATAGGCCTTTAAACATTCTTTATTTGATTTTGAAAATCTTAGGCCTCAAAAAATCGTCAAAAAACGAGGTCCATGATTTTCAAAATCGAATAAAAAAGGCCTTAGATCTCAAAATTCTGAAAATCGCTCACTACAATTACACATATAAGCGCTGACTTTTGACTGACAATAATTTTGGCTAGAAACAATATTTTTCCATTAGACCAAAAGTATCTGATAGATATCCCTTCTATCAGAAACAACTATAAAGTCAATTTCGAGAGAATTTTGATGAAGACCCCCGGCCCCTTAAATAGTTAACTCAATATTCACATTCCCAGGCCAAAATTCACTGAGTTCACCGGATTGGCAACAGGAGTAAAGTATGCATGTGGAGCATGTGCCGGTGAAACCAAGGATTCGACTTGTGAAGAGTGCACTGGTACAGCTGATGCTGGATGCAACACACCTAAAACGGCCGGAGCAGACTTCAAATGTTACACCTACACATACAACGCCACAAGCAAAGCCTTTGCTATGTCTACAGCTGCATCTGCATGTAAACGATTGGAAAAAACAGCAATTGCTTGCAATATGTAAGTGGTACTTGTCAAAATCATAGCAAATAGATCTTAAGGCTGAGCGTGAGTTTGAGACAAATTTAGCTTTCATTTTAGACTTCACGTCTCCCGAAATAAAACTGCGAACAAAGTGAAGCAAGGAACTAAGTAAACTGTAAAACCAAATTTTCGTCACGCATTGGACTTTATCAAGGTTACTTTGTTCGCAGTTTTATTTCGGGAGACGTGAAGTCTAAAATGAAAGCTAAAATCATAGCAACAAAATATGGTAAATAGATGGGAGGAACTGTCCACATTTTTCACCTATCTTTTGTCGACATTATATTTTATTGTTCAACTGTTATGAATTTGTTGATTCTGTAAAATGAGCTAAAAATTAGATTTATTGCTTCATTGAAACATTTCTTGTTTCATTGTTCCTTTGAAAATTTCTATAAATTTTCTACAAAATTAGAAAAGCTTTTGAAAAATAACACAAGATTAATTTCAGGCCCAAGAGCGATGCCACCATGACAACCTATACCCTCAAAACTGGATGTGGAAACTGTACCACCAAAGATACCGCCTGCGAATCATGTGCAAAGGATAGTTGTAACAAAGCAAGTGGTGCCATCAGAGTTGCTACTCTACTTGCTCCTATCCTGGCAGTTCTTATCAACTTCCTCTGAATTCAGAATTCGATGCAATTAGATCTATTAGATTTTTAAAATGATAACTTTGCATAGACAACAAAAAGTCTTGATTGATCATTTTGTAACCCACTTAGTTACCGATAATTGCATACAATAAAGTTCTTTACAGTATATAAACGCATGGGCCTAGAAATTGTCAGTAACATTATCATCTATCATGACGTCATCACTGAAGTAATTTATAAGTTTTCATCTCTGTTCAATAATATTTTCATTTTTATCCATATCAAAATAAGTTAATTTTAATGAGTTATAGTTACGATTTTTATCAGAGAGGCCATATCTTTAATAAACAAGCGTGCTAGATCACTTCACAGTGCAGTGGAAGGTCGATATTTTCCCTTCCCCTGACAAGTCATCGGTAAAAAACTGTTCCGATTATGCACGTGACATGGTTACTGGGTGGCGCTCAGCCTGTCATTCCGAATCTTTATTCGGTTTATGAACATAATAGCCTGGGTAAGTGACATGGCTATATTATAAGGAATTTGGTACAATTTTTCGTTAGGCAGACGCTTGAGATATGAATTGAGTTAGGGTTAAAGTCAGGGTTGAAGTAAAGGGTTAGGTCTTTAAATGTGAGTGAAATGGCCAACTCCAGGCTTTTTAAAAAATCGTCAAAAAACGAGGTCCAAGATTTTCAAAATCGAATAAAAAATGTTAAAGGCCTATCCCAAACGTTTGGCCCGACAATCGTTTTAAATAGTCCCTACTAGAACATATCCTGAAATTTTCAAGGTGATCGCTCAAAAAGTGTAGGATGTAGGATGTAGGAGAAGATAGATTTTTAACTCGATTTTCAGGACCGCACGATTGAAAATCGCTCTGCAAAACAATTACACATAAGCGCTGACCTTAGACTGGACATAATTTTTCATTTTGGCTAGGAACCAGGACCAATATTTTTCCATGGAACCAAAAGCACTCGCCTATTTCAGAAACGTGAAAAAAACAGAAGTTATATGTTTCCAATGCCAATATACTTCGGCTGTTCCCAAATCCTTTGATCTATGTGGAAACACCATCTATCTCACGAAAGCAGCAAAGTCAATGAAACAAGAAATTTCAATGAAACAAGAAATTTAATTTAAGCACATTTTACAGAATAAAAAGATGTAAAACAATTCATAAAATATAATGCCCATTTGGTGTATGACTTTTTGTCCTTGACTGCTAGTTTGGTTTTGGAAGGACAGGTAACTAACGGGGCAAGGAATGCGCGTGCCTGAAAGCTTTTGCACACACCGAAACGCTAGTTCAGTTAGGTTTTTAGAGACAAGGCTCATTTTAGGACTAGAAGAAATTTTTTAGTAAACATTAGGGGTTCTGTTTATAGTTGTTACTATAGGTTGCAGTCTTGTTGTGACAAAAAGCCTACACTAAAACATGCTTTAGTTTATATTGTGTAGTTCAAGGATATAAAATGTAGCTTCAAGGTGGATATTAAAGAGCTGGCCAAAGATTATGGCCTTTGTATCAATGGTTATAATAAGCTATAAATATCTTAAACTATACAGCAAATTAAAAATTTCTTTATACTTCATTCTCAGATTAGATTTAGAAAATTCAAAAAATATACATTTATTTTATTACGTAATACTTTCTCACACATTCTTTACTCACAGGACAAGACTTGGAAAACAGTAGCCTAGGGGAATTTAATCGAGATGTGTTTGAACATCCAGTTATAATGTTTGGAAAATAATATTTGTGCAGGTAAAATCTTTTACGGTCCAATCAAGCAGGGCGTGGTTATGCTGATTGGCTAATAGCGCACGTTTAAGTTTTTGGTATAACACTTGACAGTAAGTTGAGCTTCAAGCAGCACAGCCAGGATGTATACAACAAGCTAATCTACTGCTGGGTTTGTCTGAGCAGGTATACAAACCGTAATTGGGGGATGAACCAAAAAGTCCTAGTGAGGTTGGCCAAGACTGTGATGTTTTCCTCCCTCTTCTATGGCTCGTTTATCTGGCAAACTAATGCCAACATGCTTGAACTGAACAAACTTTGGTACAAGGTTGTAAAATCTGCTGTGAGAGCAGTTTTCAATGTTCAAAATGCCATACTACAGGTCATCCTGGGAATACCCCCACTCCGAGTTAGTAATAGAATAATATCGGTGAAGCACTACCTGATGGTATTCAGTAGTATACATATCGACGCGATGTACACCATGACTTCATATGCAGTGAGATAGTAAAACAAAATTTTTTTTAGTAAAACAAAATTTTTATTTACCACAAAACGATCAATACATATTTAATATTTTTATACATTTACAAATAAATCTAAATTTAAATTCAGCTATATACACACTGTCAAGTCCTATGCCCCCACTCTAAAACCATGAGATACCTTTCAAAAATAGATGACAAAGCCAACCCCCAGCATACCTTGAAGTACATTGCACAGGACCACTATGAAAAATTCCACCTAAAGTTTACCAAGTGGTCTTTGTCTGTACATTCAAAAGCATCAAATATAGGTTGCTGGGGCGAAAGCAGGCGCCACCCTCTATTCTTTGAAGCCTGCAAACTTGCAATAGATTACTATAGTCGCCTTGAAAACACTGAAAACGAACTACTCTGTGCTGCATTTCACGAACAAATCATGTTGGGACTTCCTTGGTATACCAACATCTCAAAGCTTCTCACCAAATACAACTTCACCCCCTCATCTTCCTCAAAATCTAAGCTCTCCACCCAAATCAGTCATAACATGAGGGAAGAATTCGTGAATACCTGGAAAGCTGCCAAGGCCTCCTCGCCAAAACTAGAATTCTATAACTTAATTAAACATGATTTCGAACCAGAGGCATACCTACGAATTATCAAAATACCGGATGTTCGAAAAAGTCTGACAAGGTTTCGTATCAGCTGCCACAACCTCTACATCGAAAGGGGCAGATACGAAACCCCCCTTGTACCAAGAGAAGAACGTTGGTGCACCTACTGCTTTTTCAGCAAAGGGCTCAAGCCTATTGAGGACGAAAGTCACGTATTGATTGACTGTTTGCTCTACTCCTCAGTTAGGGAAAAATTCAATTTCCATCCCCTAAACATTACTGACCTAGTCGGTTTGCTCTCCAACAAAACTCTAGATCCTACCACACTCACTGCCACAGCAAGAGCAATCCATTCAATTCTCTCTGTGAACAAAAATTATACAGCCTACTATAAGAGCCCAGATTTCCACTCAAATACTGGCAAGTGCTTAATGCTATAGGACCTTAAAATAAGATTGAACCATACAAACTCGATTTATATCTATTTTTCTAAAACTAGCATTATATAACATTTCTAAATTATCCCTACACACTTGTAAATAATTAGAATTGTGTAACTTAAATTATTTCAGAATTACAACTATTGTGTACTCAATAAAGTAATTATCACTTTTGTATCCTTGTATCCTTGTATCCTTGTATCCTACACAATACACAGCCCGCCGCGCAGACAGCCACACATTGCTGAGAGATTCTCAGGTGCAGATGTAAGCGCCGCGCGCGCGAGGTTTGTTATCTTACAATTACATGTCACGATATATTATTAATTATCAGAGAATTTTAGAAGCAAAATAATAATTGCATATTGGGAAAATTTCGGTCGTTAACGCAGTACAGGGCGTGGACACTGCAATGCTAATAACGGAAAATTTTGAGGCACGAGTTTCATTCAGCTACCCAATTTATATGTGACATGTACTTGTATTAAATTCAGATAAATGTTAGTAACAATCGACGTCAACATTGTGCAACTGTAAACTGCAAAATGTTAACGTCGATTATCACTAAATCAGATCTCGCAAGTTACTAATTCTTTGCACTATATATGTTACGTCACTATAGCATATGTCATTCATATTGTACGTTATATAAGATAAAAATAAACATTTTATAATTGATAGAATCCGGAAAAACAAAAATTCTGGGCCAGATGCAGGATGTGCTGAAATTTCTAAAGTGAAGGCGAAAGTGTATGCTGACTCTGTCCTGCCAAGTGATTCAATAATAATTGAACAGAATGATGCCTCGAAATTGTTCGAGCTTTCTAGGAAAGCCTGCCATTACACCAAGGTCTTTATCAGACAATTCATAGAATTCGTATGGCAGAAATCTATTAAGAAGCAGTTACAAATGGAGGACTGGTCTCAAGTTCCCATGGTGTCTACCAGAGGCGGCTCGTGGGAGCTGGCTGGCAGTTTTGTTGGGGTCCAATCGATGGACTTGGGGGGAGGGGGCTTGGGAGCCGGCTCAAGCTGATCCCTCCAAACTACCGATTACATTACACACAGGGCCTTGTAAATGTAATGTGTAACACTTTACAGGCGACAGCAAACAAAAACAAAAACTTATAACATGGGTGAAACAGGACACCAGTCCACACGTGTACGATCTCAGCCGCGCAGTATCATATCGCAGTCAAATTGCAAAGGGTCCTGGATCCCCAAACCGAGGCAAATCATAATAGATTACCTATAGTGGGATGCGCACGATGTGCTTTGTAACGTTTACAATTAACTATGTGTTAAAACTGCGCGGCTGAGTAGTCCAGAGGTAGGATTGGACTCCCTACAACACAAAATTTCACAAAGATCACGCGTGCGCTTACATTAAAACGTACCACAGGGGGAGCTGAAACCAGGTTTTCGATCAAACGCTGCCATGTGTAGTCAAACGTCGCCAAAAGTTGCTCTTGTCCAATAAAATCGCTGCATTATGTTAGCCAAGCTCCGCATATGAATATATGTAATTCAATTATGCATACTGACTTGCAAAATGCAGCGATTTCATTGGACGAAAGCAACTGTTGGCGACGTTTGACTACAAATGGCAGCATTTGATCGAAAACCTGGTTTCAGCCCCCCTGTGACGTATGATAGTAAATGAAGACCTTTATATTGCGATTTTTTATTTCCTAACACTATTATTAATTACTATTTCTATTTTATGCACTAGCCACCAGATAATAATTTTAAGGCGCGCACTCGTGCGCGGCGAGTCATACAACGTATGAAAAGGTTGCTCTAACCAGAGCCCTCTCGCTTGCAGTAGCGCGCGACCACCGAAGGCATATGCTGAAATTACCTGAGGACCCCAGGCTATTATGTTCATTAACATATATTAATAATATAGATTTGGCGGAATGACAGGCTGAGCGCGGCCCAGTAAATGCTGAAACCCTAACCCAAACGAGAAATTAGAAGAACTTCCTTATAATATATGGTCATATCACGTGATCGAGACAAACAAAAGGGTTAAATGAAAAAGATAAATTGTAGTACAGTAAACAATATTTTTATATTAATACGATATAGTGAAACAAATTTAGCAGCTTATAATTTTTAAACTCATTTAAATATCTCAAATCAAATTAGAAGCACACCCAAATAATATTCACTATTTAGTGCTGAGTATGATCCTTAATCCTTATTGTAGTAAATACTTCATTTATTTCGTGGTAGGTATTTGATTAATTGATTTTTAACTGAATCTAATTTCCCCTATTTTCTGAAAACGATAAATTTCAATCTGACTAGCCAAATTTTTGCCCGTCAATCACTCATGACATTGCATAATTTATATGCGTATCACTGCTGCAATGAACTTTTTAAAGTCTTTAAATATCAAACACCAATTGCACTATTTGAACTTTTCTGTTTGTCTAAAAGACCCGGCAAAGAAACTCTTCTTATAACGACCATGCCCTCAAACAGTTTCGTTTACCAATGTAGTTGCCTTTGGAATTCATTCCGTCAGTTGTTGGCACTGAACGACCTTGAAATGACTCATGGTGTATTCAAATCGAAGGTAAAAAATTAAAAGTTATTCTCTCGTCCCAGTGTAAAGGTGACCAGAATACCTGGGCCCCTTTGGCTAACTTCCTGAACTCAGGCAGCTTGAACGACTGAATTTGAAAAGTAAAACTTCTTGTCTGAATGAACTATTAGAACCTCAAGAAGCTGATCCGCATGTCTCCGCTACTAAAATGTTTAATGAGCCCAATCACTCATCACTTAACGTATTTTAATCTTCAAAGTGAGTTGTACAATCTAGGTTGTTTTAAGTAGCTGTTGATAGTGTAAAACAGGAGTGACCTGATCGTTTTCATAACTTTGCTTTACAATTTGTACCATAATAAAACTAGCACTGCCATGGGGTTCAAAAAGGGTCATTGTAAGCCTCCAGCGTAATGGTCCTAAGTCTCTGCCCCATGCGGTGCCTGTCAGCATCAGCTAAGAGAATAGCCCTAACATAACGATCAAGTCACAAATTAGGTCCCTATAATGATTTAATATTGTTGAATAAAGAGATTTGAATATATTAATATTTGTTTTATTCTGAATATTTGTTTTATTCTGACTAATTGTTTCTGTTTTGTTTGTGATATGTCTTTCAATACAGTAATTTTATGATGAACCAGACGGTTGAAAGTGTCACTGCGAGTTTATTCCGAGAATATCTCTACCGTAACAACTACAGGTCCACATTGGAGGCTCTTGACAAAGAAGTCCCTAGAACCAATTGTTCTATAACTAACAGGTATGTTTTAAATAATGCCCCTCCAACAGGTATGAAGTTGATTTAAGTGCTTAATAAACGAGTGCTTGAATTAATTTATTCATATCATACTAGATATTGCTCACAGACGTCATCTGCGATCAATTTTGAATTACAAATACCCTCACATCATCTCCAACAAGAACTTGTATAAACGCTGCAATAGCGAACCATTGTCAGCTAAAGTGGCTCGTAGTCGGTGGAGGATGCTCGGACATGTACTGCGTGGGCCTACAGATGGCCCAGCCTATTCGTCGCTTGTTTTTGCTGTCAACACCTTACAGCTTCAAGGGCGGCGTGGAAGACCGCAGTCAAACCTTTTCTCACTGATTCTACACGACCTTAGTGTCCGAAAATTATCGTTAAATAATTTGTGTGATTTGAACTATTTAACGTTAATTGCTCAGAATAGAGTTAAATGGAGAAGTATGCAAATTGCATGACTTTTGTTTGAGAAAGATTAGGGGACAGAAATGTTTACTTTGTTTACTATCTGTTTCTTAGAGCTTTTGTTTATATATATATATCATACTGTTCCCATTGTCAAATCAAAGTGGTTGAATATAATTCTTCTCTTTTCCATAGAGTATGTTAAATTTGTCTAGAAGATAAGTGCAGTGCCTCCACCTCTCCCATAAGTCCTAAAGTTACGTTGGAGTGAATAACCACATTCCTTTATAACAGCAGTGGTTACTGATGAGCTGCTAGTTAGCTAAGTCTCACAAACTGCAGTGATATTTTTATCTTCCAATGAATCTGCGGATCTGATGTACAGCACACCTAGGGTCTATAGTGGAATTAATTAAACATAAACATAAACAGTGTGATGATTAGTATCGTTGTTCCTTGCTTTGACACAGGTACAGGTTGTTGAAAGATTATCAGAGCATTTACACACTTTGTTTCCTTATTTAGCAAGAATGGATCTTATAACATTAATGACATTTACAATTGCCATAGGGGAGGTCAACGTTTTTAGTTGAGCAATATTTTGAAAATGGTTGACCTCATAATTTGGGAACTGAGTCAAATAAAAGATTTGCTACATCAGATTTCTAGATAGTTGTTTAAGGAACCACTGTACCAGACTTCAACTTTTGTTGTCCTACATCATTGTGCACTGCCTAGTATTTGAGTTAAACGCTTATCTAAGGAGCAAAACCTGTTTTGGTCACTTGACAAAGTGACAAGTAACCCGAATTCTATTGTTCAGGATTAGGATTGTTTCCATGACAACCCAAGTATTCTGTTAGCGCACTTGCCAGTAGAATAGTAAAAGCCCTATCTTTGCAATAGCTTTACATAATATTTTTCAGATTGGAGCTTGCAAAGGTTCTCCATATACTGAAGCTCATCAAAGCCAATAAACACAGAGAAAAACCATACCCTTCAATGGCTGAGATGATTGTAGCTGATTTGATAGCAAAGGCAAGTGTGAGAAATCCTGAAATTTGTATAGAGGAGCGTCAGCATTCAGCAGAAATGAACTCTGATGGTCTGGTTATAAAGGGAACATTTTCACTTACTAAATCAGATCCCCATAATGATAAGAAGAAACCGACTGATGCCAGAGCAATGCATCAACAGTGTATGAAAGACCAATCTCTCAACGACAGACCCATGAGCAACTCATTTTCTAAAGCTAGAATGATGCGGAACAGTCATCTAAAAAACATAGGAAAATCCAATAGTACTCCCCTTAAGGAAGCTGGACCACTTCAAGTAGTGGGAAATAGCCAAAAATCACGTGAAATTCCAGTTGCCACCCGACCACCTTCAAGGCAGAAAAATTCTTACACAGAGTTTGAGTCTCTACAAGAAAGAAGCGAAGCAGTGGTGCCAAAAATGCCAGAACCAACATTTAACATGGAGAACAACAACACAAAAATGTCAAAAACCAACGAAAGCCTTGAATTTATTGACATCGAAGAAGATATCGATGATGAACTTCAAAAGTTGGACCTTACATCTTTACGATCAAGAGTGAAACAACCAGCGAAGGCAACTGCAAAACTTGAAGATCTAACTGTGACAGATGCTATCAAGCTTCGGGAAATTGTGTTTGGTAATGCCACTAGCGTCAGTTTTAATCCTGAGTGGGAGCAGCAAAGTTTTACTTTCAATGATAAGTTCGAATTAGAGTTTGGACTTGTTCAGCATAAAGGTGGTCCTTGTGGCATCTTGGCTGCTGTTCAAGCACTTGTTATCAAACACTTGATGGCTCATTACTATGGGAACCTATCACCAAGCAATGCTGAGAGACAACAAGTTTTAACAAAAGTTTTGGCCTCGATCCTTTGGCAAGCGGCCAACTATGATGGAGGAATGAAATATGCTTATGTTTGTTATGATTCAGGTCGGAGCAAATTCCAGTCTTCAATTTTGTATAGAAAAGACGGGATAACCGAAAAATTGCAGTTTTCACGATGCTCTACACTCACAGCTACTGAAAATTGCGTGCAAGAATTTTTGCCTCAGTTCCAGAGTCCAATGGGTAAAGGGTGCATCTTGTTCCTCTACAGTCTTATTCTTAGCCGTGGTATGTATTCCTTTGCTCCTCCATTATTCCACTTAAAATCAAATTGAATATCTTTCCCTGGCTTTCGTTTGAGCTGATGTTTTAATAATATCATAAAGGATACAGGACACGGCTAGAAAGGACCATTTCCTATTTTCATATTTTTATCCAGAAAGACGAACCCATGATATTATGTTGTAACTTAAGAAGCTATATGCAGGTGTGGACGCCATAAAAGCTGACTTGGATGAACCAGGTGTTGCGCTAATGGCAAATCATGGGTACTGCAGCCAGGAGCTTGTTAATCTGTGCATGATGGGCTACTCAGGTGATTTGGCAGTTTATAATGTTTTAATTTCATGGAGGAGTCCTAACTCTCCTCACGTCCGTAAATGGAGTTTTCTTTGTATCATATATGTATATATATATGTATATATTATATAGTACTAGAAAACGCTTGATATGATCCTTTTTAAAGGCTTTAGTAAAAAACTCATTAACAAATTATTTAGCTCTTTATTTACAATGATAATGGTGATTTTAACGTTTGTCTTAAAATCTTCTACCTTTAATTTTATACTGGCAAAAGTAAGACTACTTTTAAACTAGCTACAGTCTAAACGAATTAATGCAATAATTGGTAAATTAGTTATATATTATCAGTATAACTATAATCCCAAATTGCAGCTCAAAATGTTTTTAACGATGTTATTGATTTGGATGGAAAAATCTTAAAAGGAATTCGTGAACCGAGGGATATTGGGTTGTTGACATTGTACGAGTATTACAAAGTATTTGAGGTATATAACTTTCATCATTTTTGGTCTATCCCACAATAACAATTTAGCATTATCCAAGAAGCCTACCCAGTACCTGCAAAAGTGCTACTACGCGAGTTGGCGCGATGGCATGCAGATCATAATAATATTATGGTTGGATGCAATGTTTGTTTTAAAGACTCGTGGGCCACCCTTAAGGGCTTTGAAACCGGTTTATTGAGTACAATATAATATAAAAATAAACTGCAATCGTAACATTCATATCTGGTTATCTGGTTATCTGGTTATCTGGTTATCTGGTTACCTGGTTACCTAGTTATCTGGTTACCTGGATACCTGGTTACCCTGGTTACCTGGTTACCTGGTTACCCGGTTACCTGGTTACCTGGTTACCTGGTTACCTGGTTACCTGGTTATCTGGTTATCTGGTTACCTAGTTATCTGGTTACCTGGATACCTGGTTACCTGGTTACCTGGTTACCCGGTTACCTGGTTACCCGGTTACCCGGTTACCTGGTTACCTGGTTACCTGGTTACCTGGTTACCTGGTTACCTGGTTATATGGTTACCTGGTTACCTGGTTACCTGGTTACCTGGTTATATGGTTACCTGGTTACCTGGTTACCTGGTTACCTGGTTACCTGGTTACCTGGTTATCTGGTTACCTGGTTACCTGGTTATCTGGTTACCTGGTTACCTGGTTACCTGGTTACCTGGTTATCTGGTTACCTGGTTATCTGGTTACCTGGTTACCTGGTTATATGGTTACCTGGTTACCTGGTTACCTGGTTATCTGGTTACCTGGTTACCTGGTTACCTGGTTACATGGTTACCTGGTTACCTGGTTATATGGTTACCTGGTTACCTGGTTACCTGGTTACCTGGTTATCTGGTTACCTGGTTACCTGGTTATCTGGTTACCTGGTTACCTGGTTACCTGGTTACCTGGTTACCTGGTTATATGGTTACCTGGTTACCTGGTTACCTGGTTACCTGGTTACTTGGTTACCTGGTTACCTGGTTACCTGGTTACCTGGTTATCTGGTTACCTGGTTACCTGGTTACCTGGTTACCTGGTTACCTGGTTACTTAATCTTTTAGTTCATTGTGCAGCCCCCAGACTGGTTAGCGCTTCTTGGATATTGCTATAATTTGAACTGGGTGCTGTAACCAATTTTCTAATTGCAACTAAAGATACGAAGTTTAATTTGTTTTTCTTTGAGATGACAGCCCCTTCAGAAATAATCAAAGTTTTGTAAAACCATCAGGTTGGATCTTATCTGAAGCGTCCCTCAAGTGGTATTTGGGTTATTTGTAGTGAGTCCCACTACTCTGTCCTTTTTAGTAAGAGGTCCGGGTGCTCTCCTCATCAGATAACTGACTTGTATTATTATGACAGGTATCTTTTAATCTTTTCTCCCATTAATTTTATCGTTATTCCCTAATTTATCTGCCGTTATTGTGCATTAGTGATGATTGTGAAATGATATTAAGTTTTTGGAATTATGTATGATATGTTCTGCAGTTTGGGAAATCAAGAGTCGCTGTACAAGCTGACTGTGTACCCTGATTCTGGAGTTCTCAGTTCGGACGAGGACCCCCCTTTGGAACTCTGCATCAGAACCCTCTGGAACAGTGCCAGAGTAGATTGGAACGGCTCTGAACCACTCCTATAAAGTTATTACAACATTAGGCCTGAAATTAAAATGAACGATTTCATTTCTGATTATGCTGGATGTATCTATGTATGCTTTTTTATTTTGATGAAACATATTAATAGTTCCATTGTGTTGCTGCAGTGCAGTATAACACAACTTTATTATAATACCTACATTTTATGATTTATGTTCATCATTGTTGAATAACAGTCATATAACATTTTGTTCGTTTCTAAGTTTATACATGTATTCAAAAAAGGTATTTTAGAACTTATGTTACAAACTTTATCGAGATGGGTGAAATAATACGGTATACTGTGTAAACTGTTAATCATTGACTGTTGTCATTTCCAATTTTATCCATTTGCTTTACTGAAGTAACAGAATCTTTTTTGCGTTTGTACGCACATATCATGTATATTTAATACTGTTACGTTTGAATAATATAGATATTAAACACCAGCAATGTTATTCATCACAGTGGAAATTTTTGTTTTGCAATTAAAAATATTTACTTTTTTCAGTTTTGAATTGTTAAGTTGTATGTGTACATTATATATAATACCCGTTTATACCGTGCATTGCTGTAATTGTCATTATAAAACTAACAACTGATTTAATAAAATATGTAACTGTTTTAATGACCTAAGAAGTTGAATGCAATTTTCCAACATTTGAAATAAAGTTTTGAAGTTCGAGTTATCTGATCTCATGATGTGACAGTGTGACAATAATATTAATATCGCTATTGTTTTTCTTAATTACAATTAACGTTATGTGTTTGTTAGCAAGGTATGGATATATCGCTAAATGATACTGGAAATGATGAAGAATATGAACAACTGACCGCTGCCCAGGTCCTTCAAAGGCAAGGAATCCTTTCTCCATTTAGTTTATACAGTCTAGATATTATATTATGTAGGATACGAAAATAGTAAATTATACTGACCTATCTATAGCTTGGACAGAATCGAGATAATTTAGTTCGACATGTCTAGTAACTAGTTTCGCTTTCATAACCTACCAAGTCTGATCAAATTCTGCTTTCCAAATTTGGCTCAAAAGAAAGTGTAATAAAAAATTATTCACATGCCTCCTCATACTATATCAACATATCGGCAAGCCTCATATTTCCCTCTGCAAGCCTCGGGAAATATCAATACTTTCACTTACTCGGCTAGCCTCGTGGGCGAAAGTTTTGATACCGCAAGGATACAAGGATACAAGGATACAAGGATACAAGGATACAAAGATACAAGGATACAAGGATACAAGGATACAAGATACAAGAATACAAGGATACAAGGATACAAAGATACAAGGATACAAGGATACAAGATACAAGGATACAAGGATACAAAGATACAAGGATACAAGGATACAAGGGTCAGGGATACAAGGATACAAGGATACTTGAAGGATACAAGGATACAAGGATACAATGATACAAGGATACAAGGATACAAGGATACAAGGATACAAAGATACAAGGATACAAGGATACAAGGATACAAGGATACAAGGATACAAGATACAAGGCTACAAGGATACAAAGATACAAGCATACAAGGATACAAGGTTACAAAGATACAAGGATACAAGGGTCAAGGATACAAGGATACGATGATACAAGGATACAAGGATACAAGGATACAAGGATACAAGGATACAAGGATACAAGGATACAAGGATACAAGGATACAAGGATACAAGGATACAAGGATACAAGGATACAAGGATACAACCTGACACAAGAGGGATAATTACTTTATTGAGTACACAATACACGTATTCCTGAAATAATGTAAGTTAAAAATAATTATTTACAAATAATATGTTGCAATAATTTAACTTTTATTACTTATCTGTGTCTGTGAGAGTCTCTAAGTTTCGATGGAGAATGTTAGGACATATCTAAAGAGGACAGGAAGACTCACCAGCATACACCTCTATGTTATTTGCTATAAATTCTGATATTTTTATGGAAGGGAGACGGGGTAGACCATGTTTAAACTTATTAGATGTTATTAGAAAAGACTTGACTAGTAGAAATCTTGATATTAGACTTAAGAATTTGACTGATTTCGAAGACCTTAGATTTTTAGCTTTAGATAGGGAGGAGTGGAAGAAGTTAGAAGATGGTTGATGTTTTTTGTTTTCTTTTTTATGCGTTTTGATATCTATAAGGTGCCTAGGATGCTCTTTTAAAGAGATATTTCGTACTTTGAAAGATTTACTACTACTACTTATTATTATTATTTGTTGATTTCATATTCTCTCGAATTTTCTGTACACCAATGACACTGCGACTAAAGGAACTAATGACAAATAAAACAATTTTTTTTTTGTTGGGGACCGGCCCGAAGTACCAGCCAATGTTTACTCAAAAAATAATATATATAATAAGTGTTATCACTTCAAACTCAAAACTCATACAAGATTATATCTCATTAAAACGATTAAAATGTATATAATAGAGCTTGTCGAACAAAACATAGCTGAGCACATATAAAGTTGCCTTTAGTTGAAATTATCATATTAATATGCTTTTAGAGTTGTTAGAGTGGAGACAGGCGCATAGCTACTGCTAGCTAGCTATTCCAAAATTTTTAAAATTTAACGACTGTTATCAGTCGCATAGCGTCATGCCGTTTTTGCTGGCGAATTGATGGCAGTGTAACTGAGATGGTATGCAGTGAAATTGATTCTGTGATGGCGTGCTTATGGGACAGAGTTATTATTAGCATTACGGTTGATGTTGTGCTCTGATGACTGATTTCCTTAGTCCCGTTATATTGTATAACATAAAGTTAGGCCATTCGTCTGCAATGCCCTCGTTTTGTTGATCAATGAGCATGTTTTTTATGCACCTTTTGTAGATGTTAAGGTTGAATAGACTTGGCAAGGAAGTTGCTGCGACACTATATCTGTTTATTGCTAATAGTGGACCTTTGTAGAATACTGAATTATTGTAAGGGTGTTTACCGTATTCATCTGACCATAAAGCTGTAAGACTCGAATCCGGATCGGCGACGTTAAATATTGGTGCACTGTTAGGTATTGTTTTCTTTATAGAGGGAGGCACTAGACTTGGGAAGTTTTTTAGCTTATGTATAAAAACTAATGCGTTCTTTACGATGATACTATGAACTGTCAATATTTTGTGTACATAGAAACCAGACTTGGTACTTGCTGGTGGTGTACCATCTTTGTACCAGTAATTAACAAAACCTGGTAGTATTGCTCTAAGACCCATTTTCTGTTTAACAAATAGTGTTTCTATATGGGATTTGGCAGCAAAACCCCAGACGAGGGAGCAGTAATTAAGGTGAGACTGCACAAAGCTGTGATATATTTGTAAACGTGCTTCCAGAGGCAAATATTTTTTAAGTTTGTACATGACTCCAATGTATCTGGCCATTTTCATTTTCATGGCAGAAATATGTTGCGACCAGTTCAGTTTGTTATCTATTATAACACCTAAGAAACGGGCTTCTGTTTTTCTTTCGATTGTGACACCAGAAATTACTACATCGCGATAAATGAGGTTTCTTTGTCGAGAAAAGATCATATAATTCGTTTTTTTAAGATTTAGAGCTAATCCGTTGTTATCTACCCATTTAACTAAGACATCGCTAAGAATTTTGAGCTTATCATAAACCTCGTTTATATTTTCTCCTGTTAGGAAAATGTTTGCATCATCTGCGTACATGATGAAATTAGCTATTTCTGATATTTGAGGAAGATCGTTTATGTAGATTATAAAAAGGAGAGGTCCCAAAATTGAACCTTGGGGTACACCGTAAATAATTGGATTGGCTGAGGATTCAGAGGATCCAATTGATACAAACTGGTTTCTGTTCATAAGATATGATTTAAACCAGTTTAAAGCTAGACCTCTTATGCCATAGTGCTCGAGCTTATTCAGGAGTATGGAGTGATCCACAAGGTCAAAGGCTTTGCTAAAGTCAATCAAAAGGAGCAAAGTAACTTGCTTTTTAGACATTGAATTGAGGATTCTGTCTTTAGCATTAAGAAGTGCATGTTCACAAGACCTACCTGGGCGGAAGCCGTATTGATTTTCACAAAGTATATTGTAGGTATCCAAGAAATTTATGACTCGATTGTGCATAAGCTTTTCGTAGACTTTTGAGAAAGTGGCAAGTAGAGATATCGGTCTGTAATTTTTGATGTCAGTTTTAGATCCACCTTTATGTACAGGAACTACTTTTGCCGTTTTCAAGGCTTCGGGAAAGACCCCTTGTTCGAACGAGCTGTTAACAACGTGGGCCAATACAGTGGTAAAATTATGACAGCTGTTGGCAATTTTGAGTGGTTGGATTTTGGTGTCAAGAGTAGCTTTATTCTTAAATAGGTTAATAACGTCTTGAACTTCGGTAGTTGTGACTGGTTTTATGTAGATACTATTTGGAGAAGGGTTACGTAGTGTCCCCTGGGCCCCACCAGGATCGAAAGTGGTCCTACTACTAATTTCAGATTTAATTTTTGGAGCGATGTTTGAGAAGTGATCATTAAATTTTTCTGCTACTGCTGCCGGAGTGCTGACTTGTCCGTTTTCGTCCGACAGTTTTATCGATGTAGGTTTGCCTGGTTTCTTATTCAGAAGTCCGTTAATCATCTGCCACTGCTTCTTAGAATTATCTGTGTTGTTCAAAGAATTTTTTGTAGTGTATGTTTTTGGCTTTGTCAACGTGTTTGGTGCAAAACTTTTTCAAACGGTCATATTTTAGCTGGTTCCTATCAACTGGTTCCTTAACAAAATCATGATATGCCTGATTTTTACGTTCTATAGCTTCTTCAAGCCAGGGCAGTATCCATGGTTTGGGATTAACACGTTCATTTTGTCTGCGCTCGGACTGTCTTTTTGTCGGGTAGGCAGCGTTATAAATCCTGTTGTAAGCCGAATTTAAACAATCAAACTGCTGGTTAGCATCAGGGGTATTTGTTAGTATTACAGACCAATTTTCTTCCATTATTAAATCTCTAAATTTATGGTTGTTGGCCTCATTAAAACTACGTACGTTGGTTTGTGTTGGATTTTGATTATAAGATGCGGAGCGGTAATTGCTGGTGGATGTATTATCAAGATTAATTGTTGTAACTATCGCTAAGTGATCCGACAGATCTGTCGTTAATACGTTGCAGCTTATTGTATCTTCAAGATTGTTCGTGTAGATATGATCAATAAGCGTGGCACTGTGGTCTGTTATGCGAGACAATAACAAAGTAACAAAAATAGCCAATATTTCGGTAGCACAGCCGGTACCGTCAAAACGTTCCTCGAGAGTGTGCCTCCACACCATATTCTGTAATAATTTAGAAATCTTATATTATGCTAATTTAAAAGCATAAATATAAGATAAAATAATATAAGCACCATATTTAATAATAGCAATTAATAGTATTACTAGATTTACACAAAAGTATTAACTAAGATATCTCCAGATTAGAGGAGTACTGGGTAAACGAGCGGTTGTCGCCCTATCTACTGGAGACTCAACAAGAAGTTGTAGACTGCTTGCTGGAACAATGCCAGACTGTGGAGAACAACTTCCCTCAGGCATCCTCATTCGCTGTTGGAATACATCAACTTGAGATACAGGTATTATGTTCATTTCGTTTCAGCGTATAAAATACATGGTGACTGACTACGTTAGAACTCACTAATTAACATCCTTTCAGCGTATAAAATACATGGTGACTGACTACGTTAGAACTCACTAATTAACATCCTTTCAGCGTATAAAATACATGGTGACTGACTACGTTAGAACTCACTAATTAACATCCTTTCAGTGTATAAAATACATGGTGACTGACTACGTTAGAACTCACTAATTAACATCCTTTCAGCGTATAAAATACATGGTGACTGACTACTTTAGAACTCACTAATTAACATCCTTTCAGCGTATAAAATACATGGTGACTGACTACGTTAGAACTCACTAATTAATATCCTTTCAGCGTATAAAATACATGGTGACTGACTACGTTAGAACTCACTAATTAACATCCTTTCAGCGTATAAAATACATGGTGACTGACTACGTTAGAACTCACTAATTAACATCCTTTCAGCGTATAAAATACATGGTGACTGACTACGTTAGAACTCACTAATTAATATCATTTCAGCGTATAAAATACATGGTGACTGACTACGTTAGAACTCACTAATTAACATCCTTTCAGCGTATAAAATACATGGTGACTGACTACGTTAGAACTCACTACTTAACATCCTTTCAGCGTATAAAATACATGGTGACTGACTACGTTAGAACTCACTAATTAACATCCTTTCAGCGTATAAAATACATGGTGACTGACTACGTTAGAACTCACTAATTAACATCATTTCAGCGTATAAAATACATGGTGACTGACTACGTTAGAACTCACTAATTAACATCATTTCAGCGTATAAAATACATGGTGACTGACTACGTTAGAACTCACTAATTAACATCCTTTCAGCGTATAAAATACATGGTGACTGACTACGTTAGAACTCACTAATTAACATCCTTTCAGCGTATAAAATACATGGTGACTGACTACGTTAGAACTCACTAATTAACATCCGTTCAGCGTATAAAATACATGGTGACTGACTACGTTAGAACTCACTAATTAACATCCTTTCAGCGTATAAAATACATGGTGACTGACTACGTTAGAACTCGCTAATTAACATCCTTTCAGCGTATAAAATACATGGTGACTGACTACGTTAGAACTCACTAATTAACATCCTTTCAGCGTATAAAATACATGGTGACTGACTACGTTAGAACTCACTAATTAACATCCTTTCAGCGTATAAAATACATGGTGACTGACTACGTTAGAACTCACTAATTAACATCCTTTCAGCGTATAAAATACATGGTGACTGACTACGTTAGAACTCACTAATTAACATCCTTTCAGCGTATAAAATACATGGTGACTGACTACGTTAGAACTCACTAATTAACATCCTTTCAGCGTATAAAATACATGGTGACTGACTACGTTAGAACTCACTAATTAACATCCTTTCAGCGTATAAAATACATGGTGACTGACTACGTTAGAACTCACTACTTAACATCCTTTCAGCGTATAAAATACATGGTGACTGACTACGTTAGAACTCACTAATTAACATCCTTTCAGCGTATAAAATACATGGTGACTGACTACGTTAGAACTCGCTATTTAACATCCTTTCAGCGTATAAAATACATGGTGACTGACTACGTTAGAACTCGCTATTTAACATCCTTTCAGCGTATAAAATACATGGTGACTGACTACGTTAGAACTCACTAATTAACATCCTTTCAGCGTATAAAATACATGGTGACTGACTACGTTAGAACTCACTAATTAACATCCTTTCAGCGTATAAAATACATGGTGACTGACTACGTTAGAACTCACTAATTAACATCCTTTCAGCGTATAAAATACATGGTGACTGACTACGTTAGAACTCGCTATCTAACATCCTTTCAGCGTATAAAATACATGGTGACTGACTACGTTAGAACTCACTAATTAACATCCTTTCAGCGTATAAAATACATGGTGACTGACTACGTTAGAACTCGCTATTTAACATCCTTTCAGCGTATAAAATACATGGTAGCTGACTACGTTAGAACTCACTAATTAACATCCTTTCAGCGTATAAAATACATGGTGACTGACTATGTTAGAACTCACTAATTAACATCCTTTCAGCGTATAAAATACATGGTGACTGACTACGTTAGAACTCACTAATTAACATCCTTTCAGCGTATAAAATACATGGTGACTGACTACGTTAGAACTCACTAATTAACATCCTTTCAGCGTATAAAATACATGGTGACTGACTACGTTAGAACTCACTAATTAACATCCTTTCAGCGTATAAAATACATGGTGACTGACTACGTTAGAACTCACTATTTAACATCCTTTCAGCGTATAAAATACATGGTGACTGACTACGTTAGAACTCACTAATTAACATCCTTTCAGCGTATAAAATACATGGTGACTGACTACGTTAGAACTCACTAATTAACATCCTTTCAGCGTATAAAATACATGGTGACTGACTACGTTAGAACTCACTAATTAACATCCTTTCAGCGTATAAAATACATGGTGACTGACTACGTTAGAACTCACTAATTAACATCCTTTCAGCGTATAAAATACATGGTGACTGACTACGTTAGAACTCACTAATTAACATCCTTTCAGCGTATAAAATACATGGTGACTGACTACGTTAGAACTCACTAATTAACATCCTTTCAGCGTATAAAATACATGGTGACTGACTACGTTAGAACTCGCTATCTAACATCCTTTCAGCGTATAAAATACATGGTGACTGACTACGTTAGAACTCACTAATTAACATCCTTTCAGCGTATAAAATACATGGTGACTGACTACGTTAGAACTCGCTATTTAACATCCTTTCAGCGTATAAAATACATGGTAGCTGACTACGTTAGAACTCACTAATTAACATCCTTTCAGCGTATAAAATACATGGTGACTGACTATGTTAGAACTCACTAATTAACATCCTTTCAGCGTATAAAATACATGGTGACTGACTACGTTAGAACTCACTAATTAACATCCTTTCAGCGTATAAAATACATGGTGACTGACTACGTTAGAACTCACTAATTAACATCCTTTCAGCGTATAAAATACATGGTGACTGACTACGTTAGAACTCACTAATTAACATCCTTTCAGCGTATAAAATACATGGTGACTGACTACGTTAGAACTCACTATTTAACATCCTTTCAGCGTATAAAATACATGGTGACTGACTACGTTAGAACTCACTAATTAACATCCTTTCAGCGTATAAAATACATGGTGACTGACTACGTTAGAACTCACTAATTAATATCCTTTCAGCGTATAAAATACATGGTGACTGACTACGTTAGAACTCACTAATTAATATCCTTTCAGCGTATAAAATACATGGTGACTGACTATGTTAGATGCCGACTGAAGAAAATAGAGCAGCACGCTGAGTACGCTCTGGAAGAAGAACTGGTTAAAGATGATCAGAGTGTCCCCCATCTTTCTCCATCTGAATTTGTTTTTGCCAGAGAATTTCATAGGTTCGCTATATTGTTTTCTTAATTTGACTTTTATATCAGAATTTCGGCACGGTATAGAGAGGCACGGTATAGAGAGGCACGGTATAGAGAGGCACGGTATAGAGAGGCACGGTATAGAGAGGCACGGTATAGAGAGGCACGGTATAGAGAGGCACGGTATAGAGAGGCACGGTATAGAGAGGCACGGTATAGAGAGGCACGGTATAGAGAGGCACGGTATAGAGAGGCACGGTATAGAGAGGTTTTACTGTAACTCTCAAAGTTAGCACTCGCACTGAAGTATTCAAATTGTCAAAATTATTGTATATAACGTCATGCTGCATGCACTGTCAGTTCTACAATAATTTATTCTTCATAACATTATAAATGAACTAGTGTAACCCGGCCTTCGGCCGGGATTTCACTGCCGCAGTTAAAAAGGGTAGGAGTATTTACCCACTGAGTAAAACCCGCATTAGGTGATCAATTCTATTCGGAGTGCCCTCACGTATCCAATAGTATCTTAAACAATAGTATCTTAAACAGTAATCAATAGAAATTAACCCTTATTAACTCCGCACCACACCCGCATATTTAAAAACATGCATTACATATTTACATTGTTGTATAAAAGTATGAACTCTCTCTACAGTTCAAACAGACCGCTATAAGCGCTCCCTCCCCTAATAAGTTTAAAGTATCCATGACAGTATAATTATGATATATGTACCAACGCTACATAATATTATGCAGTAATGGGAGAGAGAGCAAGCCCCGAAACTCTTACCGTTTTCTTGATTAAGCTGCTCAAGCCATTTTATCTAACATTTGTGGTACAAAACCATCAATTAAACCACTTACCACCAACCGATCTAAAACCCCTTTACCATTTGACTCCCTCATAGTTTTGTCGGCACTATACCGAAAAAACCAGCCCCGTAACTCTTACCGTTTTCTTGATTAAGCCGCTCGGAAATTACACGCAGACACACAGACAGAACACACACACACACACACACATTCTGAGATTATTGTTTAAGATGATGTTATACATATTTCATGATAAAATTATTGTTAAGAATACAATATGTTAAGAATACCATCATAACACGATAATATGATCTCATTATAATCAGTAATTTTGATCAGTGACAGTAACCATGGTAACTATCAGGAATACACAGAATCATTTCTCGGAAATAGCCTTGAAACACATGCCATCGGCATTTCAAAAGCTCGGCAAGCAAAAGAGCATGACAGTACCCAACCTGAATACCTTCATCTTCTTCAAAGTCAAGGAGGATGTGAACGATGTGAGTTGTCACCTTTATTCGCTCTTAAAAGTTAAAACGTAGAGGGACATACTATCCTCAACTAGCAGGAACTCGTCTAACCCTAAATGGTGTCAACAGTCAAGAGACTAAAATTATTATTACCTATTTAATTCGCGTTTTTGACGCCACTTGGGGGTCCACATTTTTTTATTTTTTTCATGCTGATTTGAAGGCCATTTGCATTAAGGCATTTGACCCAGTCAAAAAAGTTTCAGTTTTATATCTTTTACGGAACGTAGTGTTAAAGTTGATGCCGTGGTGTCAGTAAAATGGTACGGATATATATAATATAACTATACAATTCGAACAATCGAAACAAACCAAATTGGCGGGCAAACGATCCGTATCATGATATGTATAAAACAATACCAATCATCAGTGCCAAATAGAATAATGAATTGTAGCGCTATGACATGTTGCTCCTTTATAAAATAATTTGTATCGATCATGAAACATTTTCAAAATTATAGAAATTTACAAAATTTCCAAAAAATCTTCTTACGTAACAGTTTATTGTGTCCGTCAAAATTTTAGAATTGTCTATGAAGTAAGGCCTTCGTGAAGTGGTAGAGGAAAATTCTTTACTGAGTTCCGTGAAGCTGGTAGAATTAGGATCCGTATTTGAGAGTTAATTGTTGATTCTGGTTATCAAACGAGAGTGCTCAACAACGACGAGTCGAAGGAGCATAACTAATAAATAGTTGTTGCTTGGTTTCCCAAGGAGAGTGCTCGACTGCAGTTAAGCAGGAGCATTATAATTCGAACAACTGAAACAAATCAAATTGGCGGGCAAACGATCCGTTTCATGATATGTATAAAACAATACCAATCATCAGTGCCAAATAGAATATTAACTCTCTTTGGGAAACCAAGCAACAACTATTTATTAGTTATGCTCCGAAAATTGGACCCCCAAGTGGTGTCAAAATCACAAAATAAATAAATATTGTTTTAGCTTGACACCACTTATTATTTAAAAACGTTAGACGGGTTTCTGCTAGTATCGATAATAGATACTACTTCCATACATACACAATAATATACACCAATACTATACAGAAATAATTACAACAACCAAACGAGATCTTCAGGAAACGATTGCCTATAAAGCACCAGAATAAAGGATTAAATAATATTACAATTAGTGTATTAAGCTGAAGAGAAAATTATATTTCTAATTGTTTCGTAACGTTTCTAATCTTTTAAAGATGTTTTGAAACACTGAGTGGAGACTCTCACAAGTCACATTGTCCCAAAACATCAATTATATGATCTACCCACTCAAAAAAGCGAAAACAGACTATTATTGTTTCTTATCTTTGTAATTTCTTCAGGTGCAAATTGATCCTCGCGAGACTCCAGTTGATCTGTCTAAGGATGAGATCCACATATCAAAATACTTGCCCATCGCTCCATTATTAGAACAATCTAAGTTGAAATTAGTTTAGTGTAATTAATTTTTTTGAAGTAAGCTTCTCAAGATATTATAATGTATTATCTTAGCTTCTTAAGTTCACCCTGATTTTTTTTGAAACTTGATTTCGAGATAGACCAACAAACTAGTAACGGTGACCAAAGCTTTTAGGGGGTCCCGGACCCCAACCGCCAAACGATGCCCGCAGGGCAGCCATGCCCATATTTGGTCCAAATTAGGCCCAATTTAACCAAATACCCTTTAAACATATTTGGCGGCCAAATTCTACAATTTGCTGTGCATTTTTCAGAATTTGGCCGCCAATTTTTTTAAAGGCCTAACTCAAAATTCTACTACAAAACTTAAATGCGATTCTGCGTTGATTCTGAAAATTTCATGAAAAAATATTGAAACCCTATTGAGTTCTATTGTTTTGAGCGAAATCAGTTTCGAAAATATCGTGAATTGAGTTTAATGGGCGATTTTGTTCATAATTTTTACAATTATTTGAACACAGAATCCACAGTTAGGTAGATATTGAGCTGATAATCGTAGATAATGCGTAGTTTAGGCTTACCTAAGTATAAAGTTGGTTTCATTCAAAAATATTGATATTTGACCAATTTACATATAATTATGGGCCAAAATCGATCGAATTTGGTGCGTATGCCCAAATATGGGCATATAGTTTTCAGCTCATAACTCAGTAATTTTTTGTCCAATCTTAATGAAACTTCATATACGAGTTCAGGGGACCACTAGCTACAAGTAGAGCACCTAAAACCTGGGTTTTGGGCATGTTTCTGGTTATTTGGTTAAATTGGGTCTAATTTGGACCAAATATGGGCGCGCTGCCCCGCGGTCCTAGTTTGCTGGTCAACTGCTATCTCGAAACCAAGTTTCACAAAAACATCAGGGTGAACCCCCCTAAAGATATAATGTATTATCTTTTGGAATACAGTAAAACCCTGGTTTACTAAATTTACTGTGGTCATTTCATTCTCCAAAGGGATTAACATTATAGTATTAAATATATTATACATATAATTATAATATACATACCTTAGTTTATTTATAGCGGGTTTTATTTTGGCGGGTAAAAATAATGGCGGGTTAAAATATGGCGGAATTTCCGAAAAATCGGCCGAATTTAACCCGCCATAATTAAACGAACTAAGGTTAGTAGGTACATACCGCAGATTTACTACTTCGTTTTCCCAATTTTACGGTAAACCAGGGTTTGTAATTTAATTTTCAATAATATTTGACTTTCAAGATAAAACTCTCTTTATGTTTATTGACCACGGTAATATTTTATCTTTTAAAATTGTCATTAATTGTTTTTGCTGAGATTTTTTATAACAGCGATCATTTTGGTTGCTTGGTTACTTATATTTTCGTATATTTGATAGCTCCAAAGAGCATTATATTTGGGAATACAGCCGATCCTACTTTGTATGCGAAATAAGAACAGTTGTTCCTTCAAAAATGTGTTCTAAAATTCAAGTTGCGATGAACTGCCCATATTTTATTAAGTAATTAGAAGTATCGTTCATAAATAATATAATCAGGAGATTCATTTTATGACGTTATATCCAAATTAACATTAAGCAAATGGGATGATACAAACTATTCAGGCTCTTTACTGCACCTTACCTGGGCACTAATTACCGATTAAGCTTAAATATCTAGTATAATCAAATACTATTAACTTTCACTCACCCGTAATACTATGATACCATCATTAGGCAGAGTAAGCTTCAAGGAGATTAAAATGCAGGGGTGCATTCATCGGATCACAACAAAATATTATGACGAAAAATGGTCCATCTTAATGGTATATTTATATGTTTCTGTCTAGTTCTTATGTACCGTCACAATAGTGACTTTAATATAACAGAATTTGTTTGTTTCACAGCGCTTATAAAGTTTATGATTGTTGATTTAATGGGCCAATGGGAGTGTAACTAGGGAGTGTAATATCTAGCTATTCAAGTGTAACTAGGGAGTGTAACTAGGGTAATATCTAGCTGTTCAAGTGTAACTAGGGAGTGTAACTAGGGTAATATCTAGCTGTTCAAGTGTAACTAGGGAGTGTAACTAGGGTAATATCTAGCTGTTCAAGTGTAACTAGGGAGTGTAACTAGGGTAATATCTAGCTGTTCAAGTGTAACTAGGGAGTGTAACTAGGGTAATATCTAGCTGTTCAAGTGTAACTACTAGTGTAACTAGGGTAATATCTAGCTATTCAAGTGTAACTAGGGAGTGTAACTAGGGTAATATCTAGCTGTTCAAGTGTAACTAGGGAGTGTAACTAGGGTAATATCTAGCTGTTCAAGTGTAACTAGGGAGTGTAACTAGGGTAATATCTAGCTGTTCAAGTGTAACTAGGGAGTGTAACTAGGGTAATATCTAGCTGTTCAAGTGTAACTAGGGAGTGTAACTAGGGTAATATCTAGCTGTTCAAGTGTAACTAGGGAGTGTAACTAGGGTAATATCTAGCTATTCAAGTGTAACTAGGGAGTGTAACTAGGGTAATATCTAGCTGTTCAAGTGTAACTAGGGAGTGTAACTAGGGTAATATCTAGCTGTTCAAGTGTAACTAGGGAGTGTAACTAGGGTAATATCTAGCTGTTCAAGTGTAACTAGGGAGTGTAACTAGGGTAATATCTAGCTGTTCAAGTGTAACTAGGGAGTGTAACTAGGGAGTGTAACTAGGGTAATATCTAGCTGTTCAAGTGTAACTACTAGTGTAACTAGGGTAATATCTAGCTGTTCAAGTGTAACTACTAGTGTAACTAGGGTAATATCTAGCTGTTCAAGTGTAACTAGGGAGTGTAACTAGGGTAATATCTAGCTGTTCAAGTGTAACTAGGGAGTGTAACTAGGGTAATATCTAGCTGTTCAAGTGTAACTAGGGTAATATCTAGCTGTTCAAGTGTAACTAGGGAGTGTAACTAGGGTAATATCTAGCTGTTCAAGTGTAACTAGGGAGTGTAACTAGGGTAATATCTAGCTGTTCAAGTGCAACTAGGGAGTGTAACTAGGGTAATATCTAGCTGTTCAAGTGTAACCCGAGTGTAACTAGGGTAATATCTAGCTGTTCAAGTGTAACTAGGGAGTGTAACTAGGGTAATATCTAGCTGTTCAAGTGTAACTAGGGAGTGTAACTAGGGTTATATCTAGCTGTTCAAGTGTAACTAGGGAGTGTAACTAGGGTAATATCTAGCTGTTCAAGTGTAACTAGGGAGTGTAACTAGGGAGTGTAATATCTAGCTGTTCAAGTGTAACTAGGGAGTGTAACTAGGGTAATATCTAGCTGTTCAAGTGTAACTAGGGAGTGTAACTAGGGTAATATCTAGCTGTTCAAGTGTAACTAGGGAGTGTAACTAGGGAGTGTAATATCTAGCTGTTCAAGTGTAACTAGGGAGTGTAACTAGGGTAATATCTAGCTGTTCAAGTGTAACTAGGGAGTGTAACTAGGGTAATATCTAGCTGTTCAAGTGTAACTAGGGAGTGTAACTAGGGTAATATCTAGCTGTTCAAGTGTAACTAGGGAGTGTAACTAGGGTTATATCTAGCTATTCAAGTGTAACTAGGGAGTGTAACTAGGGTAATATCTAGCTGTTCAAGTGTAACTAGGGAGTGTAACTAGGGAGTGTAACTAGGGAGTGTAATATCTAGCTGTTCAAGTGTAACTAGGGAGTGTAACTAGGGTGATATCTAGCTGTTCAAGTGTAACTAGGGAGTGTAACTAGGGTAATATCTAGCTGTTCAAGTGTAACTACTAGTGTAACTAGGGTAATATCTAGCTATTCAAGTGTAACTAGGGAGTGTAACTAGGGTAATATCTAGCTGTTCAAGTGTAACTAGGGAGTGTAACTAGGGTAATATCTAGCTGTTCAAGTGTAACTAGGGTAATATCTAGCTGTTCAAGTGTAACTAGGGAGTGTAACTAGGGTAATATCTAGCTGTTCAAGTGTAACTACTAGTGTAACTTCCTAGTAACAGTAACTAGGGAAGCAGCGCAGCTCTTACTGCTAGATATATTAGTATCTTATCGCACACGAATGTTCATTTACAATTTGTGTTTCATTGCATTGTTTGTCTCATCCTAAATATTAAATAAACATGAGCTTCATTGAATATTTTAACTATTTGACGCCACTCAAATTAATTGACCATGTCATTGAAATTCACTTATCTAGCGTGAAATGTGCCTTGTAATTGTTGGAATTAACTACCATTTTCTTTAGCATGGTCAATGGAAGAAGACCCATTTCATCATGAAAAATTAGCTAATACATTAGTCAAACAAACGTTAACTGTGGCTGCAGTAGAGAAGAACAGGTTATCGAGTAAGTTTCTTAAAGGTGTACAGGTGTCCCGAAGAAGGCACCCCTAATAACTCAGCTTTAGTCTTAATACAATGTGAAAATTCGCAAAGTCCTTGATACCAGTTAGTAACTTAGTAACCAGTAAGATACCAGCTGTAATTAACTAACCTAGTCTAGGTCTCGACCCTATTTCAGAAGAAGGTGGGACTTTGGAATCAGAAGAGTTAAAAACAGCATTAGATAAGCTCAATGTTTCAGTAGGAAATGGTGAAGAGGTTATCGAAGAGGTAAGACGTGAGCTTTTTTATTCCCATCTATTAGAGGGGGGGGGGCGGGGGGGGGGGGGGGGGTGACACGTCCCATCTATTAATTTGATATCCCAAATTGTCACTGATTTGCCCTCTATAAAAATAGTAAAGATAATCTGCTTAAAAATACCAAAATTAATTTACAGAAAATATTTTTCAGATTATTCCCCATCATGAATCTGCTCAAAAGCGCAATTTGACGAATGATTCTGAATGTCTTCTCGATTCTCTTGGAGAAAATGATCGCTCAGTCTCTGAAGAATCTTCGGAAAAGTCGTCCAAATCGTCTAGTTCTAGCTCTACATCATCAAGTTCATCTTCTTCCCCTTCATCTGCATCACTAAAACAAACTAAACCAACGAGGTTAGCACAAACTTTCAAAAAAGGAGACTTAGTTCATGAACTGAATAAGACAAGGGTATTAGACAAGAGTGCAGGCCCCAAAAGGGATGCTATTCCAATTATCAAAAAAGCTGACATCAAAGCTAAGAAAGCTGCTCCTAGAGTTAACTCTTGGATTGATCCAAAATCTGTGAGAGGTACTCCGCATGATAAACAGAAAATTAAAGACTGGGTGACCTACAAAGACGAGCAAAAGAGAAAACATCAGCAACAGGTTAAAAAAGAGGAACAGGATGTAATCGAACGTGAGAGGGAGGAGTATGAAATAAAGGACCAACTTCAAAAGAAGAATTTCCAACAATGGCAAAGCAATAAGAAAAACCTTCTTGAACAGAAAATGAAGCACTCTCTTGAGCTAAAGGCACGCAAAAAAGAAAAGCAGCTCGAAGAAATCGAAAAACTTGAATATAGTGAGAAAGCTTTTCGAAGTTGGAAATCACGTAAGGAGGAGAAGTCCAGGGAAGAAAACAAGGTTAAAAAACTATGGGAACTGGGCAAAAAAGAGGAAGATAATAAGTTAAGAATCGAAAAAGAGCGAGATCAAAAGAAAAGTTTTGAAATGTGGTGTCAAGCTCAGACAAAAGAGGATGAAAAGAAAAGGGAAGCTCAAAGAAAAGCGAAGGAAGCAGAAACGGAGTTGGAAATCTTGCAGGAGTATAGAAAACAGGATTCAGAAGAGGAATATTTTCAGTGGAAAAAAGAGAAGTCGCTCAACCGTTCATTGTCTCCTAAACCTGCAGAGCATCGATTAGGTTGGGCACCAGCGGGAAAGTCGGATGGACGACATCGGTCATCCTCATTTGTAGGACCGACCTCTCCGAATGAACCTCTCTCCAAAACCCTGGCCACTTTGCAAGATGGTCCCTCATATCACAGAAAATTGAAGACAGTTGATGTCTGCTGTAGGAAGATATCATTTTGGTGTCATTGCCATATCGAACATGAAGTACATGTATCTAATGGCTTCCACGATGAAAACTTTCGACAAATCCGATCACAGCCGACCAGAAGTTCTACACCAAAAACCAGTCCAAGATTTTCTAGGCTTGAACCAGAATACTACGAGTACGAAAGAAGCAACGGATTTGAAAGTCCAATGCAGCTGAGTCGACACACAACTCCTGTTAACAGTAGACCTTCTACACCTAGACACGGTCCTTAACCAAACCTTAACCTTGTGGGTGGTTGCAGAACTTATAATATTATATAAATAGTTACAATCATTCAGATAGACACTGCAGGTGTGTTCTGAGTTTTTAACAATAAGAGATGTGTTTAACAATATTTGTTGTCACCTTGTTGCCACCAGTTGATCAAATGTGATGGTTAATGACTAATGACCCTGGTTCAACTTTATTAGATTATTTGAACCTGGCATGGATGTGGCAAACTTGCGAGGTTAGACGGAACGTATTATAACTATTTCAAAGTCAAATTACTACGGTGATAACATAAACTTCCAGAATTAGTATTGCTGTAGCACTAGGTAGCAGTAAACCACGGACTATATTAATGTAGATTTGTTATTTATTTCAGCTATACCTATTACTATACGTTATATGAAACTATACATTTTATTATGAAACAGATTTTGTAAATTAAATACAGATGTACAGAAACCAGATTTATTACCATTTGCATTGGTATATTAAGATAATATAATGATATTGTAGCAGTAGCTTCATGAAATATGATTATAATAATATGTATTTTTGTACACCATTGTTTTACAATTTTAGAACATGTTATTAAAGTTTACTTACTTTGATTGACAATAACATATATTTTAAACATTGTCTTCAACTATAATCAACTTCTTCTTTTCCGTCTGGTGAGCACAGTTTTACCACGGGGCGGTTTGGGCGGAGCTTCAGATGTTGAGTCGCTATTTTTCCAGGGAAAGGTTTTTCCTGCAATATTAAGATATTAGTGTTTGAGGGGTGAGGGCTGGCAGCGGGGTGTAGTGTTTAAGTGTTACGTTAGTAGGGAGGGGTGCAGGAAGGAGGGAGGGAGGGAGGGAGGGAGGGAGGGAGGGAGGGAGGGAGGGAGGGAGGGAGGGAGGGAGGGAGGGAGGGAGGGGTGCAGGAAGGAGGTGGGAGGGAGAGAGGGGTGCAGGAAGGAGGTGGGAGGGAGGGAGGGAGGGAGGGAGGGAGGGATTGACCTAATCTACTATATTTTAGACCAATGAATGCTAATTGGGGGTAATTGGGCAGCTATGGTTAACACAGTCACAAAAATGTGACATTTTAGCCATTGTATTGCCTAAAAACAATACATTTTCGTTCTGAGCAGTGCATATGGGAGTATGGGTCACGTGGCTAATGTTCAGAACTTCTGAACACGCTAGATTAATAGATGCTAAAATTACGCCACTGTCGTCGAAAACGCTCTTTATTTTGTTAACCAATATCCTCAAAATTCAATGAACATGTCCATATAATATAATAATACTAACCTGGATATGCTCGGTGATCTCTTCTCACAATGGGCCTCTCAGCAATGTAGGGAATATACTTAAACTGGTGCATCTCCACAAAATACTGTACAATCTTCAAATAAGAGGTGAACAGGTATTTATTTTTCCCCAATCTGTATTGACCTTTTTGCACTGTCTTTATGTGGAAGTGCTTGAACATTTTCTCCCCTTTCTTTCCGTGCGCTAGTGATTGAAACGGTTATTAATTGTTGGGAGAGGATACGCTTTCTCCCCTTTCTTACCGTGCGCTAGTGATTGAAATGGTTATTAATTGTTGGGAGAGGAAACACTTTCTCCCCTTTCTTACCGTGCGCTAGTGATTGAAATGGTTATTATTTGTTGGAAGAGGAAACACTTTCTCCCCTTTCTTACCGTGCGCTAGTGATTGAAATGGTTATTAATTGTTGGGAGAGGAAACACTTTCTCCCCCTTCTTACCGTGCGCTAGTGATTGAAATGGTTATTAATTGTTGGGAGAGGAAACACTTTCTCCCCTTTCTTACCGTGCACTAGTGATTGAAATGGTTATTAATTGTTGGGAGAGGAAACACTTTCTCCCCTTTCTTACCGTGCGCTAGTGATTGAAATGGTTATGAAGTGTTGGGAGAGGAAACATTTTCTCCCCTTTCTTACCGTGCGCTAGTGATTGTAATGGTTATTAATTGTTGGGAGAGGAAACACTTTCTCCCCTTTCTTACCGTGCGCTAGTGATTGAAATGGTTATTAATTGTTGGGAGAGGAAACACTTTCTCCCCTTTCTTACCGTGCGCTAGTGATTGAAATGGTTATTAATTGTTGGGAGAGGAAACACTTTCTCCCCTTTCTTACCGTGCGCTAGTGATTGAAATGGTTATTAATTGTTGGGAGAGGAAACACTTTCTCCCCTTTCTTACCGTGCGCTAGTGATTGAAATGGTTATAAACTGTTGGGAGAGGAAACATGTTTGTTCGTACGTTTATTTCATTGGTTAAACCCATATGTAGGCTATTTTTAAAGCTCATGCAGGCTCTTTTTAAAGCTCATGTTAAAAGCAAAAGTTTTCCTTCCTCCCTCATCATTTCTTGAGCAGGTCTGGATTAACCTACCAAATACCAAATACCAGATACCAGATACCAGATACCAGATACCAGATACCAGATACCAGATACCAGATACCAGATACCAGATACCAGATACCAGATACCAGATATCTAGCCAGCTAGTGGGATACCAGATACTGGATGATGGATTACTCTGGAAGCTTGAGGTATTATACCGTAATAGGCCCCTAACTAATTCCACTCAGTGAAAGCAGTATTAATGACATTCTCACTTTTCAGAACTAAGTGCCTAATATAATTAAGATAGAACATCTAAACAGTTTTATTCCTGTTCCATATGATCGAGGATAGTCAGGGCTACAAAACCTGACCAAGTTTAGCTCAATCCAGTACTGCGCGTTCGAGATATGAGGTTAAATATACCAAAAATAGAGGTTTTCTGGTGTGACATCATTGTAAATTATTTGGAGTATAACCTCAATATCTCACAAACTATACATTTGTGGTCTTTCTGAGTTACACTATCTGTTTCCTCTGGCAATTTCGGTTCAGAGTCAATTAAGTTTGAAACAAAATCTCAGTATATGTGAAAGGACTGAGGATATCAAGTTTGTAAAAGCGCGCGCGCACACACATATAATGACCTCATATCTTCCACATTTAATGATTTTTTACAGAAATTCTTTCACCATCCTGTAGCATTCATGTGCTGAGTAGGATAGCATTCAAATCATGTCTTTAAAAGCTTTAGATAGATACTGAGGGAGAAAATTCATGTTTGTAAAAGCGCGCGTGCGCGTGCGCATGGCCCAGACTATATCAATGGACGGCCACGGGAGGATAAAAGTACTTTTATATACACCAGCATGCTCATTGATGGCTTAAAATGAAGCTAAGACATACTCCTATCAGATCCACCATAAGTTAGATACCATAATAATCATTAAATGTGTCTAAAATGAGGAAGCTTTGACAAGTGCGAGTGGTTTTGGCAAATTTTGGTATAAAATGGGCCCTGAGATCATATTTTTCTCATTAAAATCACATATATCACGAATATTTATGTGTGTTGGGTGTATCCTCATTGGTATCAACCATTTCAATCATCTAGAGCAGCTTTCCTGATTCTTTATCTCATGAAAATGGGCAAAAAAGCTCATAAATAGTCCAAAATCGGTCATTTTCGCCGCTTTAATAACCTCATTCCTGGCACCCAGAACGCTTTGGGTACTCAAAACATGATTTTTCGGATACCTCAGACCCCTAACTAGCACATGGAGCCAGAAAGAACAGCATGTAGGGACTTCTAAATTTCCATGGTTGAGAACCCAATGTCACACTATTCGTTCATTAATCCTGCTTTCACTGCACCTTGTTTTTGTGCTGAATGTTAAATATTAGTTGAAATTGACTTGGTTACTAATTGGTGTTATGATATAATAATTCTTCTGACACATGGAATTTATTGATTACTAGAAGCTGATTGGATGTTTCATTATAAAAGAACAGGCCTACTCACACAGAGTAACATTTGACGGAAGTTTAAATCATTTCGAAAACTTTTCGACCACCAGTGACTAAAGAATTATTAAAGAACTGTTCAATTTGACCCCTGACACTTTTGTTATTACTTTTCTTGTTAAGAAACGCCATGCGGATATCAAATTGCGCAGTGACAGAATTGAAGTTTAAAACTCAATTGATTTCTCAACATATCATATTATCAAGTAATGTAAATATACAATAGAATAGCACGTGACACTATTGTGTGCTAATAAGTGCTCACCTGCAGTTAACGCGAAGTGTTGTGTCCCCATCCCCCGTGTCCCCATCTCCCGGCCCCCTTTGCTCTTTCTTATCACCACCATATTCTCGTACCTATCATTCAGCAGCCTCTCTGCCAACTGGTAGGTCACATGGGGCCAGAACCACTCATGATCATACCAAACATCAGGGAGAGGAAACTGAACATTCTCACTTGAGGAAGAGTGAGTCTCATAGCCCGGGTACCCTAATGTGAGCATCAGTTTACTGTACCCCCTACCTAGACAAGAGTGAATAAATGTTACGTCCTGTAAACGAGTACAGCAGTAGAATTCACCATCTTTCTCGTAAACGTGCTCGTCTTTGTGGGGTAGGGGGTATTTGTCTTTGTTTTCAATCATCATCATTTCTTCAATCGGCTCGTATTGGCAGTACATTTCTGCATCGTTCCTTGAAAGAAGCGATATCTGGAAGCCTTCTTCTTCGTACAGTAACCTTACAATTATTGCGTTAGTATTGTAGCAGTATCAATCTTACAAACAGTGCGTTATTATTGTAGTACATCAATCTTACAAACAGTGCGTTATTATTATAAATATCTCCGGGATTTCGACGCGGGATCATATTATCACTCAGCCCGGCCCGCTGTTAGATAAACATCTCAAGGTGATATCATCCCGCCCCGGAAATTTGTATAAACCCGGCCCGCTTTTTAGTCGTAACTGATGTTTATCATTCAATTCTCCGACTTACAATAATCAATGATACTGCTGATTAGAACTCGATAATAGTAGAACAGTTAGACGCGCGATCACGTGGGTGCGTCACGTGCGTACCACGTGCCACCAATAGCATACGCCGAGTCTATACCACGTGACACGAAAGCGCACCACGTGATATGAAACATCGTAACCGTCCACTTCTTTTACACGCAAATTCCTGGGAACGTTACCAAAGCAGCTAATTCTTGGAATTTCTCCAACGTGTGGCGTGAGAAGTTGGCGACTAGCCAGCTACCCTTGTCCGTGCCCTAAAAATAGTATTGTTTTGCTTGCTCTCCTTCCAGCTCTTGTTCCTGCTAACGTTCAAGCTATTGCTCCACTATGACAGATCGGTTTGACATTCAGATTGATGAACTGCTTTCCAATCGTGTTCCGGACAGTACAGTTAGAGTCAACAACTGGGCTCTAAACAAATAAATCCCTTGTCGAAATCGCCGGAGATAATTATAATCCATAAACACTTCACGCTCAGGGCTAAATAAATGTAATCCCTCAGCTGGCGCTTCGGGATTACATATTAACACAAAACTCGTGCGCTGCGCGCACTCGTATGTGTTTATCAGATCATCCCGCTAGCGCGGGATGATCTATTATATAAACCCTTTGCGTGGCGGGTTTATGTTATTGTAGTACATCAATCTTACAAACAGTGCGTTATTATTGTAGTACATCAATCTTACAAACAGTGCGTTATCATTGTAGTACATCAATCTTACAAATAGTGCGTTATTATTGTAGTACATCAATCTTACAAACAGTGCGTTATTATTGTAGTAAGGGGATGCTACCTCTGAAAGTAGTGTTTAAGAGAGTAGTGTTCCCCCTCATTTACGCATCTGATTCTCAATGTAGAACTCTCTCCTCGATCGATACTCGAGTTATCACCAACACTCCACCAATATTGAGACGACGCAACATCCTCACAGACTATTGTTATCTGCCCTTCTTTTGACCAGCACTCTGTTACCTTAGCGAACGGTGGTTACAATGTGGGTACTAGTAATGGGTGATGGAGTACATGTAACTCTCCTCACGTCCAAAAATGGCGTTTCTCTTGTCGCTAATATAGTACATGTTTTTAAGTATACCTTACTGAAGTGAAAAAGCACTGTCAGAAATCCCAAGGTTCCAGCTAGAGGTATTATAAGTACTTTGTCATGGAAAGCTAATAAAGTACATTCCTCTCCCGAGTGTTGTGGCACCTTGACTTTATACACTTCTGTAAAATAAGAGAACTAAATAGCTCAAAGAGCAATAATTTAAATCTAAATACTTACATGGGCATGCAATGGTGCAGTGAAAATAAAGATAAATTGTTCCTTTTAATGTTACCAAAGTAGTGGGTGCAGATAGCAAAACACTCCCCCACATCGTTACCACATCCATACAGACAAACCTCTGTATTTTCCTCTTCTCTTTCGAAACCTACTTTCGATAGCCTGGCTGAATTAGAGAGAAGAGTTAGCTGTTAATGTTCGATGAGGTGAAACAAGAAACTTCACAGCCAGTTGTGGGACAGACTTTGCGTGAAGTTACTCTTCACTCTGATTAGAGTCAACTGATAGCAACTTAGGGAGGTGGGCTCCTTCAGAGGCGCTGTAATATTACATCGTATTGTTTCTGTCTCAATCCCGCTCAGTTATATTATACATGTTTAGACATCTGTGTATTTGTTACATCAACTCCTTGTGTGATTAGTTAAAATGAAAATCTGCCAAACATGCCCCACAAAATAGAGATGATGATCATTTAAGTATTTTGAAAGCTCCCAATGAAGTGATTTGACACCCTATAATATAACCTTAACAGGAGAGCACTCGTAGTTGCGACATGGTAAATGGTTCTCAGAGATTCAGCCTTCCCATTGGTCAGCTTTTTAAATCGAATATATTACAATCGAGCTTGTTCTTTAAATCTGTGCGCTGTCGTAACTACGCTAAATTAGTAATTTGCTTGGGTTTTTAAACTGTCACGTCAATTTCAATTTGCTTAGCTTCTGCAGTTTTAATAGATAATCTTGAATCAACCTGCACGCTTGTTTTACCTTCAGCTTGTGCAAATATTGTTTCCTTTTTCTGTAAGCAGTAGGCATAATAATTATCCCAGTTGCTTGGTGTGGGCATTTATTAGGTAAACCTTTTGAGGTTATCCTACTCCAACTGCAACTGGGATAATAATTCTTCTCATACCGTAGTGAAATAATATAAGGTGAAGTGAGTGCAAAAGGTGCGTTTATATAGGAGAATGTTATTGTAGGAAAGGAAGGAAGCAGGGCTACAAAAACAGCCAGTAGTAATAACAACCACTCAGTAATATAATGTCATAGACAGCAATAATAATAGAAATTAACAAAGACCCTACTAAAATTCATTTCATTGCTTGTAATCACACTTCAATTCACAAACCATTATAAACTATCTTAATATTGTTGCCAAAAGGTACATTAGTAAAAGATTTCAGGCAGGAAATCAGGGAACTGCTGATTTGGGTAAATCAAACTGCTTAAACTTTCTCACAAAAGTGCTATTGTGTCGATCTTGGCCGATGAGGGCTAAATTAGGGGGGGGGGGGGGGGGGGGGGGGGGGAAGGGGGGGCTAAATGCCAGGTTGCAATTACACCACTGCTCACTTACCTATGAAAGTTTGGTCATCTCCAAAGCCAGGTTGCAATTCAACGTGATAATCATTTAACAGGAAATCCATCAATTCCGACTGTTCCGGCCCCGTAACACGTAGCATTGTCTCACCTGTATAATCATTAATAACTGGGATTCAAATTCAGTGACAAATAGCTTATTATCATTGCCATTGAATTCCACTGGCAAATTTGTTTTTTATTAAAATTCGAGGGAAAGATCGGGATACTGATCCTGCTATGTTCAAATCCCAATTAAGGGGGGGGGGGGGGGGTTCACCCAAATCCCAATTAACTGAACCCTTTTGATGGCATCTTAGTGTCAATCTTATATAATCTACTTGCCATTTTCTCTGAGCTCTAATTCGACATACACCTCTTCATTCTGAAAGTTTATGATTAACATTGGGAATCATTATCATGCCACAAAGGGAATAAACGATATTTGAGTACTTGAAGTTCAGAGCTATATATTATATATCACGCCAATTATATTATATAATATCTACATTCTATATAATAATACGCCTACGTAATCGCTTTAGCATATTTGAAATGTTACTAATAGCACTTGACTAATAACACTATAGGATAAAACCTTATTTCTTACCCACTGTTTTTGATTTGTTGTCAAGTTAAGTGGTGTTCTCAGTAGTAACATTTCCTTCGTGAGATTTGCTATCAAATTTTGAAATGTGGCAAAATTGAGTTGACTTTATTTAAAGGCCGCAGTGGCTCAATGGCACTAGACGAACACGAACAAAAGTACTTCATGATTAATTGTGGTTCTGGTTTGAAATCAAGAAAAAGTGGTCCGAACACTACGGTGCGAGACTCTACGGTATGAGATCGGCTCAAAAAATTTGGGTTCGGGTTTGTGTAAGTTTTTCTCACTACTACTATGTCCCTACTACTACTACTACTATGTCCCTACTACTTAACCCTAATCCTAATTTTTAAAGCTGAAACATCCCACGCCGTAGAGTCCTGGACCCAAAATATTATGTCCTACAAGTTTGAACCGAATCTTTACTTGTTTACTTCAGCAGTCAGCACTGCTGTCAAACCAAGTTTAAAGATAGACTTCAAAACAAACCAATTAACAACAAATACACTAGCATTGATCTTTGTTTATTTTGTTGCAATTAACTCTGGTATGTTAACCAATTAACCTGCCAAGAATGTAGCTCATTTGTAATAATATAAGACTGTAGCTGATAATTTCAACTGTGTTTCTGACTTTCTCAATCATCGCTGACACTTCCGTACTTCCAAGCCATATCAATTGTCAAACGGCTCAGTTCTTTTTGCCTCTCTCTTACTAGTGTTACCATGGTTACACTAAACCCCTTCTCTCACCAACCCCCCCCCCCCCTCAGCGTTTGAAGAATTAAACATAATGTCCTGAGTGTGATGGGGTGGAGGACTCTAAAAGCTGGCTTTTTAGTGGTAACGGATGCAGAAGAGAGTGAAAAGGTTTGTAAAGCACATAATTTCAATACTGAGAAGTGAATATTAAATATATTATAGTATATAAATATTAAAGTGTGCAATAATATTTAATTTAGTTTACACGATGGGAGCTCTTGCTACTCAGATGACTGAGATATCAAGTACTAGAAACCCGCTAGTCGAAAGCTTTGTTCGAGGAAATTTTAAAAATCAGTTACGTTTTAATTTCTCTTCATCATCAAGCTCTGTTATACTGTAGAAATTATGGATTTTTTCGTCAAGTTTAAAATATAAATAGATATAATATTGTCGATAGTATTGCCTGAATAAATAGTATCTGAGGAGAAGATTTGTAGGATACAATACTTGAGTAGGAACAGTGTGCCTCGTGACGTGTAAACAGTAAAGCTGTAGGTGCTTCGCACGACAATAGCTGGATAACACAACGTTGTTCACACACGTTTCGTGTACCTTCTTAGCTTAAAAATGACAGTGAATGGGATATTGACTTTGAGTAAGGAATGTTAGGACATGATTGGATCTGGTGATATAAAGTAAGAATAGCTCATTACATAATATAATCCTCAACAAGCTAGTATATTTTTACTACAAGCTTACAGGAAAAATGTTTCATCCTTTTATTTTGTGCTCGATAGCACTGCTAGAGGGACAGGTCCCGGAACTGCTAGAGGGACAGGTCCCGGAGCTGCTAGAGGGACAGGTCCCGGAGCTGCTAGAGGGACAGGTCCCGGAGCTGCTAGAGGGACAGGTCCGGGAGCTGCTAGAGGGACAGGTCCCGGAGCTGCTAGAGGGACAGGTCCGGGAGCTGCTAGAGGGACAGGTCCCGGAGCTGCTAGAGGGACAGGTCCGGGAGCTGCTAGAGGGACAGGTCCCGGAGCTGCTAGAGGGACAGGTCCCGGAGCTGCTAGAGGGACAGGTCCCGGAGCTGCTAGAGGGACAGGCCCGGGAGCTGCTAGAGGGACAGGTCCGGAAGCTGCTAGAGGGACAGGTCCCGGAGCTGCTAGAGGGACAGGTCCCGGAGCTGCTAGAGGGACAGGTCCCGGAGCTGCTAGAGGGACAGGTCCGGGAGCTAGAGGGACAGGTCCGGGAGCTGCTAGAGGGACAGGTACCGGAGCTGCTAGAGGGACAGGTCCGGGAGCTGCTAGAGGGACAGGTACCGGAGCTGCTAGAGGGACAGGTCCCGGAGCTGCTAGAGGGACAGGTCCCGGAGCTGCTAAAGGGACAGGTCCGGGAGCTGCTAGAGGGACAGGTCCCGAAGCTGCTAGAGGGACAGGTCCGGGAGCTGCTAGAGGGACAGGTCCCGGAGCTGCTAGAGGGACAGGTCCCGGAGCTGCTAGAGGGACAGGTCCCGGAACTGCTAGAGGGACAGGTCCGGGTGCTGCTAGAGGGACAGGTCCCGGAGCTGCTAGAGGGACAGGTCCCGGAACTGCTAGAGGGACAGGTCCCGGAGCTGCTAGAGGGACAGGTCCCGGAGCTGCTAGAGGGACAGGTCCCGGAGCTGCTAGAGGGACAGGTCCGGGAACTGCTAGAGGGACAGGTCCCGGAACTGCTAGAGGGACAGGTCCCGGAGCTGCTAGAGGGACAGGTCCGGGAGCTGCTAGAGGGACAGGTCCGGGAGCTGCTAGAGGGACAGGTCCGGGAGCTGCTAGAGGGACAGGTCCCGGAGCTGCTAGAGGGACAGGTCCGGGAGCTGCTAGAGGGACAGGTCCCGGAGCTGCTAGAGGGACAGGTCCGGGAGCTGCTAGAGGGACAGGTCCCGGAGCTGCTAGAGGGACAGGTCCGGAAGCTAGAGGGACAGGTCTGGGAGCTAGAGCTGCTAGAGGGACAGGTCCGGGAGGCTGGACCATGATCAATACGGTTACGGGTAAAGCACCATCCTATACTGGCAAAATCAAGGAAAACTCACTAAATCAAGAGAAACTCACTAAATCAAGAGAAACTTACTAAATCAAGGGAAACTCACTAAATCAAGAGAAACTCACTAAGTCAAAAAAAACTCACTAAGTCTAAATCAAGGGAAACTAACGGAACGAGTTCAAAATTGAAAGAACTATTTTGCTTCTTTTCCAACAGTTGAGAATGAGGAAAATAGTGAGGTCCACCTCTGAATATATCAGAGCCGTTTACGTTAGAGGAGTACAGGATAGCAAAGACCAGCATAAAGGAAGGGAAATCATGGGGTGACGAAAACATAGCCCCATAAGTCTTCTTATATCAGACCTTTTATCTATTTCATCTAAAATTTGAAACACATGTTCCAGGTTCCTGAGATAGCGATTTTAAAAATTTTGCTGTTAGCTATTTTTATGAGGTTTACTGTGGACGATTTTGTGATGCGCACTCATCGTTAACTTCATATCTCAGCTTTGGAGCAACAAATCAAAAATCGCTAGTACGTATTATTATAGGACAAGACCTTGAACTCTTGAAGAGCACGTCTGCCAAGTTAACTCTTGAAGAGCACGTCTGCCAAGTTAACTCTTGAAGAGCACGTCTGCCAAGTTAACTCTTGAAGAGCACGTCTGCCAAGTTATGAAGTTACAAGGTCTCTGTCTAATACCGGACACGTTTAGCCACCACAATGTGTTCCTTTACTCAGGTCCAGTCGGGTAAGTTGGTGGTACAGTGGGTGTCTCTCTTGTACAATGTATTCCTTTACCCAGGTTCAGTCGGGTAAGTTGGTGGTACAGTGGGTGTCTCTCTTGTACGACTTCAACACTAAGATGATGAAGCTGGAGGTCAGAGAATGCAGGACTCTTCAACTTCCTCAGATGTCCCTGGTTCTGAAAGCCAATCTCGTGAATATCACCTTCGCTAGTCACGATCCTAATTTTTTGGGTTAGTTTTAGGTGCCAGATATTACACAGTGTAAATATCTGTATTATATGTTTCTCATTGTAACGGTCGAAGTAATTAGTGTTTATTTAATTACCTTCAACCCCCACAGTTTTATCTCACAAATTACTTTATACTAACATATCTTTTTAAAAGCTGATTTGAATGTCCCAGCAGATTGAAACTTCTTTAAAGCTTTTAATATTATTAATAATATGTAACTGGTGTTACTTGTTTGGTTTGTTTTTTGAAAGTTAGTTATAAATATTGCAGTAATATGATATATATTTTTTCGATATTAGAAAAAAAAACTTAAGGATTATTTGACCGGAGTTTTCTCATTTATATTTGGGCTGAATTTATAGTAGCGAGTACATTATTTACAATCTCGATAAATATCAGACAATTTTGGAGTTAACATAATACAATAATACAATAATTAAATACAATTCCTCACAGTTTGCGTGGAGAGTAAGCGTGTGGGAAATCTAACTCTCAGTTTTAGTACAGATACCTTTCTATCAGAAGTGTTGGAATGGCAAACACTTTTTAAGAGTGCAATTAGTCCAAATGGTATGTTTTGAAAACTGTAAACACTAAGCAACTTTATCCAGTTTGAATTATTAGGCCTGTAGTTCGTGTAACAAAGTTTTGATAAATAAGAGCAAGTTTATTTATTTAAGATCACATCTTGTTAATATTATAGTCCTGACTCGTCTGGTTGCAGTGACGTACGCTGTTACGATGATACAAGATAAAACAGAGCTACCTGCTATACTGTGTGTCAGTGAGAGGAGTGTTGAGTTGTCTGTAGCAGAGCGCACTACTCCGCATACAATCATGGAGAAGAAGGGATCTAGTGGTATCTCTAGTGGAGATACTCTGCTGACTACACATTCTACTGTTATCTCTACTAATGTTGATTTGGTAAATTCCTGTCTCTTTCATTTTTTCCGTTCACTATTTTTGCAACAATTTTAAGTGAAAGGTTATGAATGGACGTTTTTGCAGAAAAAGATGGATTTTCACTTTTTGCTTCCAATTTCTTAAATTACAGATAAAAGTTAAGTTTTACAGCAATTTCTACGGCAATTGAATTGGAATATCGTATTTAAAGCATGATATTATGAAGTTAACTAATCAGAGCTTGTAGTGAACGGAAATATAGCGTCCGCTACTTCTCAACCTTAGCTTTTCAGTTAAATTGAATAATTGTCTCAGATAAAACTGACGGTTGAAGATACCCTGATGTTGACGCTCAACCAGCAGACAGTTATTCTTCGTACGAACCGCTTGGTAGAGCTCTACCAGCACCTCATGTCCTACTTTACTGACCGTGACTACGTGAACACCAGGACACACTCTCGGAGCAAGGTTCTTGAAGAGGACGAAGCTAATCTTCACATTCCTTATTCAACCCACTCTACAAGCCCTAGAAATACCTCTCCTTCTAGCAGGAGGGAGACACCTCATCCCATTTCCTCTCCGTCAATACAACACACACACACAACAACAATACCATCTCCTAATCTGCCCTCATTTGACTCAGCACCTCTGTCTTTAACCAAACTTCCTAAACTTGCCCCCCTTGCTAAGATATTAAGGGGACCTCTTTCTAAACCGGAACCACCGCCTAAACCAAAAAATGCAAAAGAAATTCTGTCACAATTTGAATTTGGAAGCACAAGTTCTTCTCATAATTCTGGTGAACCGATTTACAAATCAGTTCGTAAGCCTAAATCAACCATTTCTGCATCTTCCATAGGTATCCGTGGTTTATCCGAATCCTCTGAGAAACCTGAAGACATTCCAGCTCTCCCTAGCACACCACCTGAGTATGCAAATCACATTCCAGCTCTCCCCGGTACACCACCTGAGTATGCATATCATTTGCTAAAAGAAGCAACATCTCCCCGACTATCAGGAATAAGCACTGATGTTGACTACGTTAATACCAGGATTACCAAACACAAGTACAAGTCTGATTTGAGATCACCTGTTGCAGAGGAAGATATGTATTCCTACACCCCTGATGATAATGATATGTATTCCTACACCCCTGAAGATAATGATACGTATGAGAGTCTATACTCGTTAAGAAGTTACCCCCTCGCTAAGCTGCCCCCACCAACAGAAACCTGGCTCTATCAGCCCACTTCTACTCTGGATATCAACAAACAGCAACGTGTACAGAGCAAAATGTTGTTTAATAAGATTCAGCTGTTTGACAAGAACATTTTACGTAAGGTCAACTCAAAAACTTAAGTCAACTAGTTTGAAGATATTAGCTGTTGATATGTATTTCTCGGGTTATATTTCTCAATTTCTCAATTTCTCAATTTCTCAATTGATTTGACGACAATATTTGTTCTTGGGGAGAGGGATTCCAGAATAATTGTAATAAATGTGGCATATATTATTATATTAAGTTCCCCCCAACTTCCCTCTTGTTACAACCAAGCCTAGTTACTTCAAAGTTCGTCAAGTTCAATTAACGATAATAGATCTGAAAAGTGCAAAATAATGTTTCAATTTTAACACACTTAAATATTGTAGCTTACTTGAATGATGGACAGTAACAGAGGAAAAACTGTGCTGATAAGCTCTACCAAAGGGGAGCAGTTTCACATGAACGCAGGTAAACACCCAACTAGTGACTAATATAATGAAACGCAGGTAAACAGTAAACACCCAACTAGTGACTAATATAATGAAACGCAGGTAAACAGTAAACACCCAACTAGTGACTAATATAATGACGAAGTTTCAATACTCACGTATTCGATTCTTAATACTATCATAGTACTACATAGTATTACTATGTAGTACTAGTATATATCTAGATCATATCCCGGCTCTCTCCAGCAATTCTTACTGACTATCCAGTATCCGGGACGAATATATAATGTATTTTATAATGAGACCATTACTCACAGCTTGTCTCAGTATATAATGTATTTTATAATGAGACCATTACTCACAGATTGTCTCAGTATATAATGTATTTTATAATGAGACCATTACTCACAGCTTGTCTCAGTATATAATGTATTTTATAATGAGACCATTACTCACAGCTTGTCTCAGTATATAATGTATTTTATAATGAGACCATTACTCACAGCTTGTCTCAGTATATAATGTATTTTATATAATGAGACCATTACTCACAGCTTGTCTCAGTATATAATGTATTTTATAATGAGACCATTACTCACAGCTTGTCTCAGTATATAATGTATTTTATATAATGAGACCATTACTCACAGCTTGTGTCAGTATATAATGTATTTTATAATGAGACCATTACTCACAGCTTGTCTCAGTATATAATGTATTTTATATAATGAGACCATTACTCACAGCTTGTCTCAGTATATAATGTATTTTATAATGAGACCATTACTCACAGCTTGTCTCAGTATATAATGTATTTTATAATGAGACCATTACTCACAGCTTGTCTCAGTATATAATGTATTTTATAATGAGACCATTACTCACAGCTTGTCTCAGTATATAATGTATTTTATAATGAGACCATTACTCACAGCTTGTCTCAGTATATAATGTATTTTATAATGAGACCATTACTCACAGCTTGTCTCAGTATATAATGTATTTTATAATGAGACCATTACTCACAGCTTGTCTCAGTATATAATGTATTTTATATAATGAGACCATTACTCACAGCTTGTGTCAGTATATAATGTATTTTATAATGAGACCATTACTCACAGCTTGTCTCAGTATATAATGTATTTTATATAATGAGACCATTACTCACAGCTTGTCTCAGTATATAATGTATTTTATAATGAGACCATTACTCACAGCTTGTCTCAGTATATAATGTATTTTATAATGAGACCATTACTCACAGCTTGTCTCAGTATATAATGTATTTTATAATGAGACCATTACTCACAGCTTGTCTCAGTATATAATGTATTTTATATAATGAGACCATTACTCACAGCTTGTGTCAGTATATAATGTATTTTATAATGAGACCATTACTCACAGCTTGTCTCAGTATATAATGTATTTTATATAATGAGACCATTACTCACAGCTTGTCTCAGTATATAATGTATTTTATAATGAGACCATTACTCACAGCTTGTCTCAGTATATAATGTATTTTATAATGAGACCATTACTCACAGCTTGTCTCAGTATATAATGTATTTTATAATGAGACCATTACTCACAGCTTGTCTCAGTATATGATGTATTTTATATAATGAGACCATTACTCACAGCTTGTCTCAGTATATAATGTATTTTATAATGAGACCATTACTCACAGCTTGTCTCAGTATATAATGTATTTTATATAATGAGACCATTACTCACAGCTTGTGTCAGTATATAATGTATTTTATAATGAGACCATTACTCACAGCTTGTCTCAGTATATAATGTATTTTATATAATGAGACCATTACTCACAGCTTGTCTCAGTATATAATGTATTTTATAATGAGACCATTACTCACAGCTTGTCTCAGTATATAATGTATTTTATAATGAGACCATTACTCACAGCTTGTCTCAGTATATAATGTATTTTATAATGAGACCATTACTCACAGCTTGTCTCAGTATATAATGTATTTTATATAATGAGACCATTACTCACAGCTTGTCTCAGTATATAATGTATTTTATAATGAGACCATTACTCACAGCTTGTCTCAGTATATAATGTATTTTATAATGAGACCATTACTCACAGCTTGTCTCAGTATATAATGTATTTTATAATGAGACCATTACTCACAGCTTGTCTCAGTATATAATGTATTTTATAATGAGACCATTACTCACAGCTTGTCTCAGTATATAATGTATTTTATAATGAGACCATTACTCACAGCTTGTCTCAGTATATAATGTATTTTATAATGAGACCATTACTCACAGCTTGTCTCAGTATATAATGTATTTTATAATGAGACCATTACTCACAGCTTGTCTCAGTATATAATGTATTTTATAATGAGACCATTACTCACAGCTTGTCTCAGTATATAATGTATTTTATAATGAGACCATTACTCACAGCTTGTCTCAGTATATAATGTATTTTATAATGAGACCATTACTCACAGCTTGTCTCAGTATATAATGTATTTCATAATGAGACCATTACTCACAGCTTGTCTCAGTATATAATGTATTTTATAATGAGACCATTACTCACAGCTTGTCTCAGTATATAATGTATTTTATAATGAGACCATTACTCACAGCTTGTCTCAGTATATAATGTATTTTATAATGAGACCATTACTCACAGCTTGTCTCAGTATATAATGTATTTTATAATGAGACCATTACTCACAGCTTGTCTCAGTATATAATGTATTTTATAATGAGAACATTACTCACAGCTTGTCTCAGTATATAATGTATTTTATAATGAGACCATTACTCACAGCTTGTCTCAGTATATAATGTATTTTATAATGAGACCATTACTCACAGCTTGTCTCAGTATATAATGTATTTTATAATGAGACCATTACTCACAGCTTGTCTCAGTATATAATGTATTTTATAATGAGACCATTACTCACAGCTTGTCTCAGTATATAATGTATTTTATAATGAGACCATTACTCACAGCTTGTCTCAGTATATAATGTATTTTATAATGAGACCATTACTCACAGCTTGTCTCAGTATATAATGTATTTTATAATGAGACCATTACTTACAGCTTGTCTCAGTATATAATGTATTTCATAATGAGACCATTACTCACAGCTTGTCTCAGTATATAATGTATTTTATAATGAGACCATTACTCACAGCTTGTCTCAGTATATAATGTATTTTATAATGAGACCATTACTCACAGCTTGTCTCAGTATATAATGTATTTTATAATGAGACCATTACTCACAGCTTGTCTCAGTATATAATGTATTTTATATAATGAGACCATTACTCACAGCTTGTCTCAGTATATAATGTATTTTATAATGAGACCATTACTCACAGCTTGTCTCAGTATATAATGTATTTTATATAATGAGACCATTACTCACAGCTTGTCTCAGTATATAATGTATTTTATAATGAGACCATTACTCACAGCTTGTCTCAGTATATAATGTATTTTATATAATGAGACCATTACTCACAGCTTGTGTCAGTATATAATGTATTTTATAATGAGACCATTACTCACAGCTTGTCTCAGTATATAATGTATTTTATATAATGAGACCATTACTCACAGCTTGTCTCAGTATATAATGTATTTTATAATGAGACCATTACTCACAGCTTGTCTCAGTATATAATGTATTTTATAATGAGACCATTACTCACAGCTTGTCTCAGTATATAATGTATTTTATAATGAGACCATTACTCACAGCTTGTCTCAGTATATAATGTATTTTATAATGAGACCATTACTCACAGCTTGTCTCAGTATATAATGTATTTTATAATGAGACCATTACTCACAGCTTGTCTCAGTATATAATGTATTTTATAATGAGACCATTACTCACAGCTTGTCTCAGTATATAATGTATTTTATATAATGAGACCATTACTCACAGCTTGTGTCAGTATATAATGTATTTTATAATGAGACCATTACTCACAGCTTGTCTCAGTATATAATGTATTTTATATAATGAGACCATTACTCACAGCTTGTCTCAGTATATAATGTATTTTATAATGAGACCATTACTCACAGCTTGTCTCAGTATATAATGTATTTTATAATGAGACCATTACTCACAGCTTGTCTCAGTATATAATGTATTTTATAATGAGACCATTACTCACAGCTTGTCTCAGTATATAATGTATTTTATATAATGAGACCATTACTCACAGCTTGTGTCAGTATATAATGTATTTTATAATGAGACCATTACTCACAGCTTGTCTCAGTATATAATGTATTTTATATAATGAGACCATTACTCACAGCTTGTCTCAGTATATAATGTATTTTATAATGAGACCATTACTCACAGCTTGTCTCAGTATATAATGTATTTTATAATGAGACCATTACTCACAGCTTGTCTCAGTATATAATGTATTTTATAATGAGACCATTACTCACAGCTTGTCTCAGTATATGATGTATTTTATATAATGAGACCATTACTCACAGCTTGTCTCAGTATATAATGTATTTTATAATGAGACCATTACTCACAGCTTGTCTCAGTATATAATGTATTTTATATAATGAGACCATTACTCACAGCTTGTGTCAGTATATAATGTATTTTATAATGAGACCATTACTCACAGCTTGTCTCAGTATATAATGTATTTTATATAATGAGACCATTACTCACAGCTTGTCTCAGTATATAATGTATTTTATAATGAGACCATTACTCACAGCTTGTCTCAGTATATAATGTATTTTATAATGAGACCATTACTCACAGCTTGTCTCAGTATATAATGTATTTTATAATGAGACCATTACTCACAGCTTGTCTCAGTATATAATGTATTTTATATAATGAGACCATTACTCACAGCTTGTCTCAGTATATAATGTATTTTATAATGAGACCATTACTCACAGCTTGTCTCAGTATATAATGTATTTTATAATGAGACCATTACTCACAGCTT